CGCGCGGCCAGAAAGGGAAAAGAAACGGCCGGTGGCGAAAGGAAGGAGCGCGGGAGGGGTGGGCCTATTGTTGGTTTGCTGAAAGATTCGTCACAGAAGCCAGGGGGCGCGATGCCAAGCAAAAGCGGAAGCGCTATTGCCTCATATCTGTCCCATCGCCCGCTGTGTTCCATCATGGGCGGCCGGAAACGACAGCAGGGCGCCCCCCGGTTTCCACCGCACTTGATCGCGCAAGTCGTCCTCAATTTCCACTCTTTGTTTTTTATGATGATGAATAAAGCATGGGATGCTGTCGACAACAGTGAAACAAGGAAGGAGAAACAACTGCGCGGCAGCGCAGAACTCACATTTACTCTAGGTTCGCAGATCGCTTTTATCGAGAACGCCGCGTTACTAAAAAAAAGGTACAAAAATAAAGGACGCTATCAGCTTTCAGGTGTTAATCAGCAGAAAAGAGAGGAGTGCCTAAGAAGATCGACAGATACATTAAAAATATAAATATATGAAAGCACTAAAAATAGTAATAGTAATCAAGAGCAATATTCCTATCACTTGAGCACACAGGAAAAGAAACTTTCTAGCGCGAAAGCACCGGGGAAGAAAAATGAACCATCAGTTTCACTTTGAGTAAGCAAAGCTGAGCGAGGCATCGTCGGCATCAAAGACGGTGTAAACGCGCTTCATGAAGACATCGCCCAGAATCCACGCAGGTCCGATCGGGCCTGGCAAATCCAGCCCCATGATGCCGACAATGCACGTCGACTCGTCGCCGATGATGTAGTCCTTGCCGCGCAGCACCCATTGCTTACCGCCAATCGTGAGGGTGATGTCCGGCAGGCTCGGTACGGCGGAGCACTCCACCGAGTACTGCCCGTTGAACGCCGCCTTGGCGTTCAGCATGGCAATTATGGTGGGGTGAAGCGCCTTGGGCACCGTCATCATCGATGTGCCCGAGTCCACAATCACAGTGACGGCGGCGCTGATGTTCTGGCTGCCGATGGTGGCGCTGGTCATGTCCACCGTCCAGTATGTCTTGGTCGAAAGATCGACGCGGACCAGCTCACCGTCGACATGGTTCGGGTCGTAGCCGCCAAGAACGAGATCGCCTTCGTCGTTGTTGTTTTGCGGGAGGTAAAAGGCGAACTTGTTCGCAAAGCCGGGGTTCGACTTGGCAATCGAGAACATCGGCGGCTCAATCCCGTCGACGGAGATGCTCGGCCACGCCATGCCGCAGATACCGTCCCACTTCGACAGCGCGTAGGCCAGTCCGAGACCGGAGGCGTCCGTGATGCCGGCGAATCCCTGCGGACCTGAGAAGCCGCCGACCGTGACGGTGTCGGCGATGATGTACCCGCCAACCGGGCCGCTGCCGTACATGATTTTGAACTCGCGGCCGTCGGGCCGGTTCGTGGAGCTCGAAGTCGGCTGGTAACGCTTCTTCAGGAGGCACGAAATGGAGCAGTTGTGCGCCGGGACCCACAGGTTGCTGCTGCCGGTGTCGTAGATCACCTGGAACTCCTGCGGCGGGGTGCCGAGGGAGATGGCACCGTAGAACTGCACACCGAGGTAGTCGTGGATGACCACCTCGCCCTGCGGGCCCATGAAGCGGCGCGTGGGGATAAGCGGCATGCCAAGCGAGTGCGCGGTGGCGGCGTTCATGGCACGCCTCAGCGAGACGTGCTTTACCTCCTGTGCGCTGACAACCGCAAGGGTCAGCAACGCACACATCAAAGCCACGATCACACGCATTTTTAACCTTTCAGTCGGCAAGGAAGAGCAGCAGGAAAATATGTAGGCACGTAAACGAGCACAGAGACACAAAATAGGAACACAGTAATGATGACTAGCAACAACGATAATCGACTTCGTGCACAGGGTACTTCAGGAAAACAAGGGGCAGAATAAAAAAACAGGAAATAAAGATGGCGCTGAAAATCGTTAGCATCCCGCAGCAGGTTTAGCGACAGCGACTGACAAAAGGAGAGTATCCTACGGAATGTGGTGTGCGTGGTTCTTCGCTGTGCTGCAAACACCGCGTTACATTCAGGTGAAGTTAAAGTAGAAGTTTTCTTTTCTGAAAAGCCACCTTTTTTTTTTTAACAGCAGTAGCGTATACGTTCTAATAGAAAAACGCGACCACCCAAACACAGCAAATATAATTCGTCTATTTGCACGCACAACAGCTACCATGCGCAACACCTCTTCGAAACCCGCGACTCACGCCTTTCATGCTTCTTTGGGTGCGTGTGTATGTGTGTGCACTCAAGTAAAGAGATTCTGTGAAGAAACGGAGACTGTGCTACCCACAGGGAGGTCGCCACGCGCAAGGAGAGCCCAGTACGCACACGCATCATCCTTGGACAAGAGTGCTTGCCGAACGCCACGAAGGTCCTCGGACAAGTACTTCTCCGCTACGTCCTTGGCTGTACACGCCATCAGCGAAACGTTCGCCTTGCCGCCGTTCCTCAGCAAAACATCCAGCACTGGTGCGACAGCGAGTGCTGCCGGGGGTGACGGTGCACCGGCATCGACAGCCGCTGCGGCAGGCTTGAAAAACGAAGACGCACGAACGTAGCGCAGAGCTGCCAGGAAGACGGACTGCGGCGCGCTCACGTACTCGCGAGCTGCACGTTCCCACAACGCACACGCGGGGCGAACGTCGATGGAGTTTGAACGCGCGGTGCTGCACAGGTCGAGTTGGTGGGCATACCAGTCGTTTGGTTTTGTGTAGTAGCGCTGCGAGAGGTAATACGCCAGGTACATTTCGTCCAGCTGCGCCGTGTCGTCGTGAAGCATCTCTAGCATCTCAGCAGGTGGTGGTGCGAGCCCGTCCACATCTGCATCCAGCGCCGCTTGACAGGTGAGCATTGCTGCGTCGGCTAACACGAGGAGGGGCGTCCCAGCGCCTACGTTGCTGGACACCGTCATGGACAGCTCTTCTCCTTTGTGCTTTCTGTTGACAGCGCTGTGCGAAAGGTTGACATGCTTTGACATCCCAATTCCGAATGGGGAGAGTAATGCGCGCATCGGCGCAGCGCCTGTCTCATGGACCACTCGCCCACTCATTGATCCAACCTCCAACGACAAAAGAGAGGAACTCAACACAGTTACAGGCGCGCCACCACAAACGCGGAAACGAAAGGCGGAAAGTGAGGAACGAAGAAAGGCTTGAGAGGGAAACCGCCCTGTGCTATTATGGCGCGCTCAGCAACGAAATGAGTCGCGCGCTGCTAAAACGCAGCGGAAGGAGAAGGGCAATCTAACGTCCTTTCCTTTTGAAAAGACGCCAAATTCTCACGAAAAGAGAGAGACCCTTCTTGCAGGCGCCTCTTCCTCCATTCCTATACTTTTTTTTTGTTCGTCTGCTACAGCCATCATCTCGGTGGCTTTGTTGTTGATTTCAATGCGATACGCTTTCCTACACCCCTTGTTCGGATATTTTTCTTTTCCGGGGGGCGCACTGAAAACGGAAGATGAGAAAAAGACCGAAGTGCAACGAAGCAGAGACTCTCTGAGAGAAAAACAAATACGTAACGGGCCCGTTCCAGAAACAGTCACCGCGGGAGCTCCTTGTTTCTGTTTAGTGAACTGCGGTAGCGGAGAAAGGTCCCAAATACTTGACCCCTGCACACGCGACGACAGGTTAATAGCATGAGGGTTCAGAAAATGCAGGTACTGGGGAAAAAAAAGAACACTAGCAAAAACGGTGGTGCGTCTCAGAAAGCGGACTTGTAGCAGAATGCGAGCAACAGCGCAGCCACTACCAACGCCACGGCGAGGAGGTTCGTCTCGGACGGCGGCGGGACTGTGAGGCAGTCCGAGTCGGTATAGCGCTCAATGCGAATTATGGCCGTCCCCGCCGCGTCTACCACGTCAGAAACTTCCTCGCCGTCGAACTGGCAGCTGTGACACGCCGTCGCAATCTCGACACGACTCCCCTGACCGAGCTTCCTGCCGTAGCACCATCCCAGTCGTACGAGAGCGAGGTGCCAGATGCCGTAGAAGCACACGATCTCCACCTTGCCGTCGCAGACAGAGGGCTTCGTGTAGCAGTCACGCGCCCCGCCATTCCACGCTACTGCGCCGCCAGCGTAGGAGAGCATGTTGCACACCGCCACCGCCTTGGCGCTCCGCGGCACCACCACTCGCTGACCGTCGATGGTGAGTGCTACGGTTGCGCCAATCTTCTTCTCTGAGAAGAGCACTATGGCGGCGAAGGCGGCGTACCACAGCTTCACGACAGGTCGCGTGACGAAGAGGTGCGGGTGCTTCTTGCGAAATTGATTGAGACGGTTCGCCACCGCTGCGTCGAAGCCGATGGAGAAATAATTGTTAAGGATGTAGGAGTGCTCCACCGGCTGCTGCTGCTGCTGTGCTGTCGTCGTGGACACCTGTAATGACCACCGATCGACCTTCGTGACAGTCGCCGTTTCGTAGGAGCGAAAAAGACGCCGAAAGCGAACACCGCCGAGCACAAACCACCGCGCAAACCCGCTGCCGAAGCCGAGGGTGAAGCTAAGGTCGTTGCCGGTGCCGAGCGGAAAAGGCGCGATGATGCCGCGGTCGTCCGCGAGGAGGCGCGTCGAGTGCAATTTCTTCACCACGTCCATGACGAACGAGATGGTCCCGTCACCGCCCGCAACGACGACAAACTTGGGGGACTCGTTGCGCAGAAACCTCTCCAGCTCCGCGTGATCGCGCTCCTCATCGCCGGTGTTGAAGAGCACCCACACGTGCTCCTGACCTAGCCGCTCGCGTAGCTTGCGGAGAACGTACTCCGCGGCACGCCGCCCCCCACTGCGAAGATTAACCAGCGCAGCATATTTCGGCATGGTGGCGCTTTTTTTGTGTTCTCCCGCCCACTTCTCCACGTACGACCACAATGAGATGGGCAACGAAAAAACAGCGTTGCAGAGAATCTATGACAACTCCGACTTGCGCGCACGCTTGAAATGATCGAGGCGCTATGTGCTTACGTAGGAGTTCTTGATATAAACAAAGATAAAAGAAGAAGAAAGGAGGGAAGACATCAGCGATGGCGGTAGTGGGAGAAGGATGACGGCATACACCATGCGGAATACGATGGACATGAAAAAAACAAAACCCAAAGCGTTGTTTTTCAGAAGTCTTTTCCCCCGAAAGTGAGCGCCAATCAACGCAACAACGAAGAAAAGAAAAGGACTACATAGCAGATTTCAGCAGAATTAGAGTTCGCGGATTTCCCTCCAACAAGATTCTTTTTCGATCTTTCCATGACCTCATCAGCACCAGAAGGAAAAGAAGATAAACAGCTAACAAACGATAATGTTGTACAACGCCAGTGTCATTATACAACTTAACGCGTTATGTGATCGGTGTTATTCGTTACTTTAATTCAGACAAAAAAGGGTGTTTTCTTTCGTAGTATTACAGCGGGCAAGGCTGGTTGTTGCGATGCATCATGCATCACGCACCAAGCACCATATCCGGGGGAAACAAACAAACCAACATAGAGGAACAGAACGAGTGGAGATGGCGCGCGAAGTTTCTTAAATAAATAAATGAATAAATAAATGTATCCTGTTTGTCGTTCTGCGCAAACAGTTGCCCGCCATCCGCTTACAACCCAAAGAGCACAAAGAAGCCTAACATGAAACCGACGAAACCAAAGCCGTACATGGCCAGCACGGCGTAGCGCTCATACCCAACGTACGGCGCGATACCTAACACATGCAATCGCTGGCGAAACAGCGCGGGGTAGGTGAAACACAGTGTGCTACTACAGAAGGCGCCCATGAGGGCAACTATGAAGAGGAATCCAGGTGCCATCAGCGCGAAGCACAGGCAAGCAAGGGACAGCAGCACACTCACGATGATGTTGCTGTGGTTCGGGATGTCCAGCGACTCGTGTGTGTGGCTGAAGCCGTAGGCCATCTGAAAAATTGCGTCGCGGCAGGGAATGAGAATCAGCACGTACGCGACGTTCACCGTGATGGAGTAGAGAATCTCCCCCACGGCAAAAAGATGGTCGCGCAGCGGGTTGTAGTTGGTGAGGATGTTGCCGTGCACATGCGGCGTGTGGGACGCGTAGCCGAAGAAGCCGACGAGGCCGTAAATGAGGCTCGTCACCAGCACACTCGTCGTGGCCACCTTTGCCATGCTGTACCGCGTCGGCACCTTCAGCCCGGTGTAAACCTGGAACACAAGGGACTGGCAGTCGAAGGAGAACATCACCACCGGCAGGGCGAGGAGAGAGCGGTAGGAGAAGCGGAAGTACTTGATGTCTTCGTCGACGCCGCGCTCGGCTGGGATGGGACGGAGAGGAACGAAGTAGCGGTAAACAATGATGCTCGACATGATGAAGGTGGCCGCGATGGCGAGGAAAGAGGTGGCGTGCAGGTGCGACACTTTCGGGAAGCACGACAGGGGCAGCATGATGAGCGCCCACGAGGCGATCATGACGTGCGACGACGTCGAAAACCACGGCACGTACATTTGAATGACGGGCAGCATGGGTGTAAAGATCTCGCCGATGACGACGATGTAGCCGACAGCCGTGCCGATGTTGTAGGCGATGAGCATCCACCGAATGATCTCCTTGAAGATGCGACCGAGCAGCTCGTCAGAGATCTCTTCGTAGCTTTTCGCACCCAGTTTGATGACGCACAGGATGAGGAAGTCGATCGATATGACGGTGAAGACGCCCACGGCGATCAGCGCCAGCGCGACGAGGGCAACGCCGTCCGATTCGAAGGTGGCGGGGATGGCGAGCACACCTGCACCAATAGTGGTGACGGACATACTCAGCGCCGCACCGAGAAGGGATACATGCGACATGATCAACTAATTAAGCTTGTTAGGGGGACCAAAACAAATAAAAAGGAAAGGAAAAAGCGCTCTGTGACGTCTTCTTCTCTGTTGCTCGCATGCCAACTGCAGGAGACAAAAAAGAGAGGAAGATGCGTTTTCAAAGACAAATTGTGGTGAGTTGAGGAGAATCCTTGAGATCGAACAAAAGGCATTTACCAAACGACCACCAGTGGGGTGGCGAAGACCCTTTCAGGCGGGGAAGAAAAAAAAGGCGATGCACGCTTGAGAGTGACGACAGCTGTTGTATGTGCCCACTGTTGCAAATACAAAAACTACTCGAGAAGGAGAGAAAAGTTACGAGTAAAAGCGTGACTGTCGTTGAGGTCTCCATTCTCACGCCCACTTAAAAAGAAGGTATGTCACCAAGCGGACCTTGTATGTAGAAGTGCTTTTGTTATTGCCGTAGTTATTATATACGAGAACAATACTTAACAACTGAAAAACGAGCGCGCAAGATGAATTGAGACAGAAGAAAATGCATTTTCTTTCGCCCTCTTCGACCTGGCACGCACCCCCCCCCTGTGTTTCCTCAAACAAAGCCCAACGATTACTCGACGTCGCCAAACGCGAGGATGAAATTAGAGACACCAAAGTTCCCATATTATACACAAAAACAAAAACAAGATTCTGAGAAAAAACAATCGATGCGACGCGACGCTTTTTGAAACACCGGAAGAGAAAAGCGAAATGCATGAAACGTTAGTAGGGTGAAGAACTCAACAGCACAACGTCCCCACCTCGTTTCTGTGGTTGGAGACGTTGACGGAGCGCGACTTCCACGCCTTTCTTCGCCCTGGCTCGCCGAACTGCATTAATTAATGTGTCGGCACAACAACCGCGATTCTAAGTACTTTTCACCTCCGCCACACACAGGAACAACAAAATAAACATTAGCCTTGATAGCATAAACAAGAAAGGGACAAACGATTTAGAGCGTGAACAAAAAGATGTAAAAAGAAAGCGGCTTTTTCTTTGGCCTTACAGATGCGGCAAATCAACAGAAGCGGGCTCGAAAAGGCGGGAGGCACAAACCGCCGTCTCAGATGCGGATGGCAATGAAGGTGCCTACAATACCGCCAACGACGCCAAAGACAAACATGAAGACGGCAAGGGCGAACTCGAGCGGTTTGCAGCGGTCAAGTCCTCTAACGTGCAACATAACGCGAAAGGCGGCTGGGTAGGCAAAGCAAAGCGTGCTGCTGCAAAGGCCACCGAGAAGGGCAATGATGAAGATGATGCCCGGCGCACGCAGGGCGAGCACGATGCTGAGCACTGAGAGCAAAATGCTGACGACGAGGTTCTGCCGCGGGCTGATGGCCTCGTGGGCGAGCTCGTGTGTGTTGGTGTTGAAGCCGAACAGCAGGATGAAGACGGCGTCGCGACTGGGGAACAGCACCAGTACGTACGCGCTGATCACCGTCAAGGAGTAGATCGCTTCACCAAGGGCAAAGAGGTGGTCCTTGAGAGGATCGTAGTTGGTGAGAACGTTGCCGGTGATGTGCGGGGCGTTTGTCAGGTATCCAAAGATACCCACCGCGGCGTAGACGACGCTGGTGATGACGACGCTCACGACGGACACATTAAACATGTTTCTGCGCGTGACCTTTCCCAAATTGGTGTATATTTGAAACGAAAGCGACTGACAGTCGAACGAGAACATCAGCACCGGCAGCGCCAACAGCGCCTTTTCGCTCATGGAAAAGTACACCACCTTGTGGGCGTTGCGCTTCCCATCAATCGGAACAAAGTAACGGTAAACGATGATCCCCGAAATGAGAAAGGTCGCAGAGATGGCCACAAACGAGATGTAGTTCATCTTTGTGATGTGAGGGATGCAGGAGAGCGGCAACATCACAAAGGCCCACGCGAAGAGCATCACGTGGATTCTATCGGTCAGGAACGGCATGTAGGGTTGGATGATAGGCAGCAGCGACGTGAAAATCTCACCAATCACGACAATGTAGCCGGCGGCAATGCCGACGTTGTAGACGATGAGAACCCAACGCACCGCTTCCTCGCAGTAGCGACCCAACAGCTCACGCGAGATGTCCTCATACGACTTGAGGTGCAGGCAGTCGACGCAGCGGATTAGGTAGTCGATCGACAACACGGTCAACGTGCCCACCAACGCAAAGATGGCAAGTACAAAGACAATGCCGCCGTCTTGGAAAGCGGAAGGGAGGGCGAGGACACCAGCGCCGATGGTGGTCACCGAGAGGCTCAGCGCGGCGCCAAGAACGCTGCGACCGGAAAAGTTGTCCAAGAAACCCATTCGCCTGAATTTCTGTTCGGCAAAGAGAGCGAGAGAGAGGATTTTGTCGAATCCCCCAAAAAACACAAGCAACGGGCATAACGCGGGAGCGCGACGTGAAAACGCCCGATCGGGAAAGAAGAAAAGGGAAAGGATGCGACGAAATAAAGAGGGCTGGTAAGAGAAAGCGAAGGGCATGAATCAATTATGAAATCTAATTCCCCGTAAGTGCAGCACAGCGGAGAAAGGAAGGAGAACACGCGCCTTTGAAGTGAAGCGATTCAGGGACATGCAGGATTGTAAACATGCTCGCAGCGGAAAATCTTCGGCCGAATTAAGCCGCTTGTCTTCCTTCAGAGCGTTGTCTTTCCGTAAAGCAGGACGCCAAAAAAAAAAAAGGCATGACTTCTACGTGCTTGCGGTGATTGTGTTTTGCAACGGGTGATGGACAAGTATACGCAGAGATGATGCCCATGTACAACTACAGGAGACCAAAAATCGACAAGAACAGAAGAGGTAGTGCTACTCTACCCGAGAACGAAATAAAAAAAACATGAAGAACAACACAACTGAATACCCAGAGTGTGAAATTCGAGGCACTTTTTCTTTCGGTGGCAATAATACATAGAGTTGTCTATACATATGAACTCGTGTGTGTGTGCGTGCGTTTGCTAGTTTACATGTTATTGCGCCGCTCTGCGATGTACGCAGCCACTTCGAGAGCAGTGTCGGGGTGCGAGTCGGCGCGGAAGCCTTCGTACTTAGCGAAAAGGTCTGCGCCACCCTCCACAAGCACTCTCGCCAGGTCTATGTCGTCAATCGACATGAAAAGTGGCGGTCGGCCGTCGCTCGCACGCGGGGCATTCGGGTTAGCGCCGAGAGCGAGAAGCGCCTGCACCGACTCGGTCAGCTGCTTACAGCACGCGTACTGCAGTGGTGTCATTCCGTCTTTGATTGGGCGCGAGAGGTCGACGTCGCCGCTCTTGACAAGTCGCTCCATCGTCGCTGCGTCCCGCGTGTCGATCGCTTGCATCATCTCGTGCTTCGCCAGGGTCACTGGCGACTGTTCAATTTCCTGGTTGCGCTGCGCGGCACGGTAGAAGAGTACGCCGGAGATTTTATCTGTCTCGTCCAAATCGCTCTCGCTGTCGCTCTCCCGGCCCACCTCGCGTCGCTTTTGGTGCTTCGTGGCGGCCGCAGAGAACAGCGGCTCGTCTGCCGGCATTATGCGCGACCACTTCGATCCCTGCGTCGACGTCGGCCGGGCTACGATGGCGTTGTGCATGAAAAGAGGAGGGAAGGGCTGACCTACGGGAGCGTTCAGATCGAAGGGCACCGACACGCCAAAGAAGCAGCGAAATACTTCGCGACGAGGGTACTTGAGGGGCTCGGGCAGCAGGTGGTACAGCGTGCGCGCCACTTCGCGGAAATAGGATGCGCCTACAAGGTCGCAGTTGGTGATGAAGACCCAGTCACCGTTGTTGAGACCCACGTCGATGTAGTCCATGATGTTCTGTGCACTCTGCAGCAGCGAGACATCGAAGCTCCACACCGCCGAGTCGCACTGCTTGGCGAGATAGCACACGGATTGAAAGGTGTCTCCGTCTTGCTGAACAAAGACGATCGGCGTCCTGCAGTCGGAGTTCTTGATCGCCCTCTCCATGTACTCCACCGGCACGAAGTCCGCCGGTAGTTCAGCGATGGCACGCAAGGCCATTTTGGTGTTTCGCTGAGCAGCAAGGAACGATGTCGAGTGTGGAGTGCACTGAACCTCTTCTTTTTGTTCGCGCCGACAACCGTTTTTACCATCACCGCAATCCCAGCGTAATGGTGAGGATGTTGTGGTGTGGCGTCAGAAACAACGGAAGAAGAGGGAGAACAAAAAAGAAGGGAGAGGAAGAGGATACTAGCAGAAGAGGAGCAAGGCGGCCAGAGGTTCACCTGCTTCACAAATTCAAGGTTGGAGGAAACACTAAAACTGCTAAACAGCTGCGCAACACCTGCGCAAAAACAAACAAACAAACATGCAAACGAGACAAATTGTGATACGTGCGCCACGGCAATCCGAAAAGAGGAAGAGAGTCGTGCTGCCTCCAACGGCATGTGCACATCAACACTCCATCGTACAACTTTTTCCATTTCTCTGATGACAATACGCTGTGCAATTAAACAGAGTATTCCTGAATACTGATAAAAAAATAGAGAGGACTGATAGCATTGGAGCCGGTGTTGCAGGTCCACCATGCAGCAGACGAAGCTCATGTACAGTCCCTGCTGTCTTTTTCCGTTGATTTAAAACAACCACAACAGGTAGTCGCGTTCCCCAATCGGACAAGGCTCAGAAACCGGGTTGTACAAGGTTACATTAAAGACGCTTGGTCTCTATGCGAAAGCCACAACACAAACACACCCAAGCAGACCGCGTCACCTCTTTCTCTTTCATCCATGAGGACAGACCAAACACTGGTACACTACAAGAAAAGAAGACAATAAGGTTAGACGAGCAAACGTCATTTCTTAACGAGAGTCTGCCAAGCACAGCACGCACGACATGGGCCAAGACACAGAAGAAAACATCAACGCGGTTTCTACAGATGGCCCAGCTCAATCACCTTCATGCGACGCAGCTCCGACACGTTGCGGGCGCCGCACGTAAACATAGACACCAGGAATTCGCGACGCATACGCTGGATCACTTTACTCACCGCCTCGGGGCTCTCGAGGGCTGCCGCGAGAAAGGGCATGGCTGCCGTGGCGTACTCGGCACCCATCATGAGCGTCTTAGCGACGTCCATGCCGCTGCGGATGCCGCCGCCGGCAATTAAATGGAAGTCGTCGTGGACGGCAAGCCGGGCTCCCTCTTGCAGGCACACGTCCGTTGGCACGCCGATGTCGCGGAAGATGTAGCCGATGTTCTCCGCCTCTACTTCATAGGACTGACGGCGTCCTTCGATCCACGCCCACGAGGTGCCGCCGCAGCCGGAGACGTCGACGTACTTCACACCGCACGCCTTGATCGCCACCATCGCTTCGTAGTCAATGCCGTGGCCGACACCCTTCACAATGACGGGCACCTTGATGTGAGGCATGAGGTTGCGCAGTTTATCGATGAGGCCCTCGAAGTTCGTGTCGCCCTCCGGCTGACACACTTCCTGTGTGTGGTTGAGGTGGATGCACAGGCCATCCGCCTTGACGGAGTTGATGATGTTGTTCACTTCCTTCGGACCAAAGCCATAGTTCAGCTGCACCAGCCCGATGTTGGCGAGCATCGGCACGGACGGGCAGAACTCCTTCACCGCAAAGGTGTGCGCCGCGGACGCGTAGCGGTTGACGATGCGCATGCTGCCCAGCCCAAATGGGATGCGCTCCGCCTCGCACGCCTTGGCGAGGTTCTCGTTAATCACGCGGCCGTGCGCCTCGCCGCCGGTCATGGAGGAGACGAAGAAGGGGAAGGAGATGCGTTTGCCCAAAAACTCGCACGAGGGGTCGATCTTGCGCAGGTCGACCTCCGGCAGCGCCTTGTACGGCAGCGCGTACTTGTTCCAGATAGAGGTGAGCCCCTTGTGTGGCTCCACGTTTTTGTGGAGGCAGATGTCGATGTGCGCCTTCTTGCGCTGCTGCACCGCGGCCTCGCGGTCAACTTCAGCGTGAGGAGACGTCATGGCAGAGTGAAAGGAAATAACAAGAGAAAAGATGCTTTCAGAGAGAAGCTAGTGTTGTTCTATGACGTGTCAATCGTTGTGTCTGGTTGAACTGCAGTGAGCAGTATTTTTAAAACCATAGCGCATTGGGAGAGTTGTAGAAGAGAGGGGAGCGAGTGACACGGAGAGGAGGCAGCGCACGATGTGCACACTTGGCTGTCACATCGATCAGTTGAGTGTGAGGAGACAGCACCTGCAGAGAAAGCCGCCGCGTTTACGTCCAGCAAAGGGAGCGCAAAAACCACCACCACCACCACCACAACAACAACAGAGGTGCTGTCCGCGACGAAGGCGGGTGTGACACAAATAAGCCTCACAGGACCCCCATTCTCGCACGCTTGAATGAGACTACGTTTGTCTTTCTGGAAGGGTTGGTTTTGTGAACAGAGCGTTCAATTTTCACATCACTTACACAAACTCTTACTACAACAGAATAAGGGGGAGGCCACGCTACCCCAGCCCTGCATCTTTGCGGGTGCTGAGGTACGAAAGGTACTCGTTCACGGCCTTGAGCGCAGACGCCGCGTCGAGAGAGGGGAAGTGCGCGTTCGGGTTTGGCCCTGTGTGTCTTGTCCGCTGCACCTCCGCCTCAAAAGAAAAGTTCGTTGGGAGGTCCACCTTCAGCGTCTTGAACAGCTCCGTCACACGCGCTGCGGCCTCGTCCGCGGAGCCGTCCAACCAAAACGTGTGAGACTGCTGTTGTGTCTGCTTCTGCTGTGCGTTGACTTCCACGACGGGGGTAAAGCCCAGACTAGCCATCAAGAAGCGCATCGTCAGTGACCCCTTCATGGCCGTGAGAATCTCCTGTAGCCACATAATGCGCAGTTTCTGAAGGTAAATGCGCACCAAATAGCTCATCTCCTCCTTGAAATCCATGAGCAGCCGGCAGATCGTCGAGGTATCGCCGTTGATGCACGCATTGCAGAGCGCCAGGGTGCGGTTCACCGCCTCCTTGTCGATGTCCATGCCGGGACGCGTCGCGCCCTTCAGCTGTGCATTGGTGAAGTTTATCAGCTCCGTCGAGAGCGAGTCGTACTGCTCACTCAACGTCAGATAGACAACGCGGTAGAGAAAGAACTCCTCTGCATGGCAGTGCTGCAGTTTCACCGTCGGCGCAGCGTAGAACTGCTTGAGGGCCGCCTGGCACTGGTTGAACTCGCCGACGTCGCCCGTCCCGAGACACAGACGCGCGTGTGTCTCGTACACTCGCACGGTGAATTCGTTGACGATGTTCTGCACCCGTAGGTCCTGCCGCAGTCCTTTCAGTTGATCACTCAGGTACTTCTGCCCCGCCTTGACGCCTTCGGCTTCCTCTACTTCCTTCGAGCGAGTGACAATGTAAGCGAATGCGTTTGTCAGCACCGGCAGAGGCCGGATGTCGTCGACGAGGGGTTCGTAGCGCGTGTAGGCACGTTCCATGGCGGTGGAGCGGCCAAGAAACACGGGCGGTGGCGCCGACTCCGCTTCGAAGCTGCCCGCCAGCTGCATAAAGAAAGGGCGGTCAGTTTGTGAAGTCGCCGCGGCCGGCGCGACCACGTATTTCTTCTTTGCGGGTGGCTCGAATGCGGTGGCAGGGGCGCTGCGCTTCTGTTCAACGGGAAAGGAGGAAGAGGAGGGGGAAGAGAACGTCGCCTCTGCTGACGTTGCCGTCGCGGGTCGCTCTGCAAGGCGCTTGTGGGAGTGCGGTGCCAGCTCTGACGAAACAGGGTTTGCTTTGTACGTCGGTGGAGTTGGTGACAGCATTAACGGTTCCTTTGGTCGTTGCTGTCGCTGGGACAGTGGAGCCTTGGCAAAAAGGCTCTTCGCAATGTTTAGCATCTCCACAAAGCTCACTTGCGCGTAGGTGCGCTGTCCTCGCGCTACTTCGCGGTCGTACAAGCCAAAACCTTGGCGCACAAACGGCTCCAAGTCCGCCGGGGCACGCCGCAACGTCTCCTCCAAGAGCGCATCGCGGGCGGAGCTGCTTGAGTGCGGAGGCTGCGATACCGCATCACCTGTGGGCCACCATGTTGGCATTTGGTCTGAAGCGTCAGGGGGCATGGCGGTGCTTTGCTTAGCCCACTTCACCGCGGCTACACCCCCTGGTGCCTTGACGGCCTCCTCTACTGTGCGCAGCGCCCATTTCTCGTAGCGCTCCCGCTTCGCCTCATCGGTCTGCGCTCTGGCTAAGAAGGAAACACGGGTGAGCCAGTCGCGCAGAGGCTTTACAACCGTCACTCCGTGCGCTTGAAGGAAGCCAACAGTCAACACGTCGCGGTGGCTCATGCGTCTGCGCTGCGTGCATGCGCTTGCGGCTATGCGTTGGTTCCGTCACGCGGACAGGCTTCCTTTTTCCTGTTATTATTACCGTCGAGTTCGACTAAAGCCGAGCAGACGGAGTGGGCAACAAACACGTACCGCAGGTCGAAAGAGAGCGAGACGAGAATCGGAGGAGAAGTTTTACAAAAAAGCACGCACGCACACAACAGCGGTGAAGCCGTAGCATGCCGTCTTGAAAAGAAAATATGATGCGCGCCCTCTTTTCAAAATGCGCGAGCGGCACTTTTTTGATGGAACGCAGTGGCGTACAACAGAGTTGCCTCGGCTTCGTGCTTCTAAGCCGTGGGTGAAAAGACAATGTCGCGTGATCATCACATGCGCACTACATCGATTGGTTTTAGAAGTCGTCACTTATATCCGAAGAGGAAAACGTAGAAAACTATCCGCCCCACACACAAAAAGACCAATCCCCCACCCTCACACCTCGCCCGCATCGTTACTCGTTGGCCGTCCGCAGCATAATCTGGAGGACATCCTCGTCTTCTAACTCGTGCGCAATGCCCACACGCTGCGGTTGATGTTTGGCGCTGGTGCCCCACACAAGCGCGTATTTGAACCGGGACGCGATATCCTTGTGAATGCGCTTGCAGATGTGCTCTACGCTGGAGTCGCGCTTCACTACAAACGGCTTGCCAAAGTCTGGGTGCTCGCCGTGCTTTTTGGTGTAAATGCGGATGATGTTCAGGTGCTCCCACACCTCGTCGATCACCTCATCCACGTTCAAATCCCAGTGCAGTGACAGCACCACCGCGTGCGGCAGACGGCTGAGACGGTCCATCTCCTCCATGGTGATCGTATCAATTTTGTTGTACACGTAGAGGCACGGCATGTACTTGCGGTTGCCCTCAATGACGTCGATCAGTTGATCAACGGTGATGTCCTCGCGCAGCGCCACATCCGCGTTGAAGATGCCGTAGTCCTTCAGCACCTCCTTGACCATCTGCTCTGACACACCGCGCGTCTGCGGCACCGTGGAGCTGTAGCTCACGACATTCATGCTGCACGACGCCTTCTTCTTAAACGTTACGTTGGGGAAACGCTGATTCAGGCGGATGCCAACCGACTCTAGTTCATTTTCAATTTTAGACCGTTGTGCCTCAGCTCTGGCGGCGTCGAGCATCAAGATAATCATGTCGGCCGTGCGTGCGGTGGCAATCACTTGGCGACCACGGCCCTTGCCCTCCGCCGCACCCTCGATGATACCGGGCAGGTCCAAAATTTGGATCTCCGTCCCTTTGTGCATCAACTTGCCAGGAATGCAGGTGAGGGTGGTGAACTCGTAGTTCGCCGCCTCGCTCTCCGTCTGCGTGACCCGCGACAGAAACGACGACTTTCCGACGGAGGGGAAGCCGACAAGGGTGCAGCGGACGTCACCGCTGCGGCGCACGTCAAAGCCGTCTCCGCCCTTCGCGCCGGCCGCACGGGCCGCGTTTTCGAGCATCTCGGTCTTAATGCGGGCCAACTGGCCCTTTAGGCGACCCACATGGTACTCGGTCTTTTTGTTCTTCTGCGTGCGCGCGATCTCTTCTTCGATGGCCTTTCGGCGCTCCAGCAGACCCATGCTGTCACGCGGCGATGAGCAGCGAAGAAGAAACGAGAAAGAGACGGTGGGTGGTGGCGTACACCGTTGGGTGCGGACGAGCGGCGTAGCAACAAACGTCCTCCACTCACGTCAGAGGCGAAGATGACTTGTACTGCCTCAGAGCGCTTTTATCCTTCCTTTGAGCGGCGAAGAAGAGAGAGAGAGAGAGGTGAGATGGAGAGAGACAGATAAAAAGGGGATTTGAAGAAGAACGATCGAAAACATAACGAAGAGCGCGCCCAGGGTGGAGAAAGGGAGAGAAAAGCATCAATATACGTCGTCACAGTGGAATCTCCCCCCCCCCACGGTGGGAGTATGTGCCGTTGACGTACACCAAGACGCTGCGTACGGTGCTCCGATAGTAGCCGCAACAACAAGAAGAATGTGCGTCCGCTGCAATGAGTTGTGTTGGCACAGACTTACTTCTAAACACCTTCTACTTCAGTTCTGTGATCTTGTTTTACAGACATTCAGCGGTTCAAACTCACTCAGGTATTAGCGTTCGTCTTTCGGGTGGGTGTTGCGGCCGTGCCACTTTCAGGGACAATCCCCCAAAAGCACTCGAGCGGCACAAAGGAGAACTTCTTCGCCTCGGCGCGCACGACGGGGTTCGATAGCACCTTTGGAATCCAATGGCTGTCGATGATTTTCTTGAGTTCCTGCGCCGTGTACGCCAGCGCACGCCGGCGGCGCAGCGGTGTCCATGTCATGTAGGGTATCTGGTTCGTTCGCTGGGCCCCCTTGCGGTGCTCCTCCAGCAACGTGAAGAGAATGGTGGAGAAGTAGTGAACGCCGTCGTCGACTGACACGACAGAGACCGCCCCACCATCCTCAACGCTGCCGGAGAAGTTCTCCGCCGCGTCAACGTCGATGTCGTGCGCGCGATGGCCGAACGTGAGCCCGGAGATGCTCGCCTTCCCCTCCGACCACGGCTGCGTGCCGTGCGAGTCGCAGATGTAAAAGCTCCACGCCTCTCTGTAGCGGCTCTTCGAGTTCTTGGCAATATCGTGCTCCACCGCAAAGATCGAGACGGTGTAATCGCCAGATACGATGACGTAGCCGTACACCGGGTAAACACCCTCGCTGGACCGAGTGCGCTTCCGCGACGCACACATGGCGTGCAGCAGCTGAATCGCCTTCGTGCCCTGGTTGTAAAACACAACCTCAAACTCGTCTGCGTTCGCCTTGCTTGGGAAAAAGTCGCGGAGGTGCAGGCACGCGTTGAGGTCGCCGATAGTGGGACGCTCCCGCTTTTGCGGCCAGCACGGCAGCGTCAGTTGATGCATCCAAGCCGATATGTACAAGAGGTAGTTCACCGTGGAGAGGGAGTGACACTCACTCAGCATTGCGGCAAAGCCTAGAGAAGACAGCAGCACCGCCGACAAGGTGGAGAAGGTTTGACAGCAGTCGCAGGTCAGCGGCGGAAGGATGTCTCTCATGCGTCCGAGGCGGGCGTCGAACTGGGACTTGGAGCCCTGTATGCACACGAGCACATTCTGTTTAATAAAGTCTGGTTTACCGCCTCGCACGCAGGCGATGTCAGAGAAAGTGAGGTCGATCAATTTGCCGCGCAGGCGCTCCTCGCGCTCCCGTTCCCGCTGAAGTCGCCTCGATAGCTTCGAGTTGTCCTCCGGCGACGGCGAGGGAGAAGCGGAGGGCTGAGGTGTGCGCTCCGCCGGCGTGGTGCTCATGACACGCCACAAACGGAAGCCAACGCGGAAACGCCTAATAGCAGATGAAGAAGGACAACAACGCTTGCCAGGAGGGGAAAGCGCCACGCGTGCGGTTGAGGAGAGCTAAATGCAGCGGCGTTCTTCAAAAGCAACCAAGAGTCAGCAATGAGGGAAACATGAAAAGATAAAGATGCGGTCGGGCATAAGCAGGTAGGCTGCGGTGCATGCATGAAGCCACAACAAGGCAAGAGAGAAGAAGCGCTCGTGGCGCTGGATAAGAGCTCGCTATCCGGAACCGTAAGAAACAAAGAAGATGGCGGCAGGGTCGCAAAGGAAAAGAAGAGGAAGCGAGAACAGTTGGGGAGAGAATGGTGGAAGTGGTGATCACAAAACACCCATTTATCAATTGGGCTTTCTCTTGTCTACTTGTCTCAAACCTCCCTCAAAACGGACACTCCGAGAACGTCGAAGAGAGCACGCCGAGAGGTGAACGAGAAAGCCGCGCTTGCATCTCCCATTTAAAAAAAAAAGCTGCCGTCATCGCTGGAAAGCAGAGGTGATCATCTTTTTTAGAGACGCATCTACCTGCTTTCATCACGAAATGCATACGCAATGTCTGGCGACAACGCTTGTGACGTAAAAACACCGCATTTAAATTTTCACTGACGTCATGCTCGCAGTAAAAAGCCACCAGAAAAAAAAAACCAGCTCAGAAAATTTTGAGTTCACGTTCCTTTTTCGCCTTCGTTATCCTGTTAAACAACCGACTCAAAAGCCACGTAAACATGCATCTCCATAACAACTTTTTAAGCACCAAGCCCTACAACCACAACTCCACAACAAAAGCACTTTTCTTTCGCGACACAAGGAAAAATCCGCTGACGAACACCCGAAAAAGAAAAGAACATCTATGAGACAGCAGGCAAGAAAACAGGAAGAATGCTTGTCTTACTTCTTGCCGTTGCTGAGCGCGACCTGCAGCCGATCGGCGAACTGTTTCTCCTTGTCCGAGGCACCGTCGACGAGCACCGCCTTTGGAGTCTTCCAATCAGGATCGCCCACAACGATAACAGTGTCAGAGACCTGGATGACGCCCTCGTCCTTGTTCCACTCGATAAAGGGGTACAACCGCAGCAGCTTCAGGTACGCGTCAACGGCCGCAATCGGTGTGTCGGCCGTCACCTCGCTGAAGTGCTTCTCGCGGGTGGCTTCGGCGTTCTTCAGCTGCGTGGTGGCGTGCTTGAAAATAGACTTGTCGCGGCCGGCGTGCATCGACGGCAGCTCGCTGAAGGAGTCCAGCGCGGGTGGCAGGTGCGATTCTTCCTCGGCGTTGCTCAGCTGGAACTCTTTAATGTATGGGGTGCGCACCATCTTCATGTTCGTCTGCTCGTCGTGCTTCTGCAACAGAACTAAAAGACCCTCTTTCGGGTTGTACGTAAATATCGTCCCTTCCACCTTCGTGTCGTCCACGAGCGTGAGCGTCGCGTAGTAGCCGACGGCGTCGTCTTCCTTAATGATACTCATTATGGGAAAGAAAGAGATACAAACACGGGAGAAGCAGCAATGGGTTTCAATTAAACGACAATAGCAATAATAATAAGTAAACAACGTCACTAGCTGTACAAATATATGGGTGGCTGTGGATGTGGACGTTGGGAGTTACTGACTAAGCAACAGAAGAGTTCAAGGGCGGCCCTGCACGGCTTTCAAACGCAAAGCGGGAAATACAATCTGCACCAACAAAACATGAAAAAAGAGAAGGAGGAAAGACGTAAGTGGAGGAGGGGTTTAGAGAGCTTCGTTTTGAAATTCAGAAATTCAAGAAGGATGTAAGAGCTGTGTCAACTTATGCTATAAGAATCGACACATCCGGCTCGCTAAGGTCATGGCACAGCGACGTGCTGATTGTCTTGATCAATGGGTTTCCAAAACAAACACAAAAAGAAGTCTCCTGGAGGTGACGATTCGCCAAAACACTTTTGTGCTTCCGTGTGGTGAAGAGCAAAAAAAAATGTTGTTGACCTTTCTTCTCTTTTTTTTTTTAGTACTTGTCTTTTCTGCAAACTGAGAAAAACAACGTTTTTCCATCTTCCCGCTCCCTCGTTCAGTAAAAGCATACACCATCTGCTGCGGCACCCCGTGGCCCTTCAACGACAGGGGTTCCCACACCTGCCCTCGCTCGCACAAAGAAAACAAACGGCACTCAATCCTCTCCCCCTTCTCCCCCGACATAAACACATTCATAACAGCGCCATCCCCCACACAGCAGCAGCAACAGCAGCACACAGACTGCATTCTGCCGAGTAGAAACAAAACAAACAAAAGAACGAACTGTGAAGAGTGATCATAAGAAAACAATGCGTTAGACGGAAAAAACAATATTAAAAAAGAGGAGACATAAGCTGTAAGCAGCAACGAAAGCCAACAACACATCCGCTCCTGCTGAGTTCCACCCATCAACACACACATACTCTTTACACGACATACTGATAAACAAGTCCTTTCTTCGCGTACACAAAGATGTTCTTCGACTTTGCGTAGTTCAGTAGCTCGCGCCCTGGCACGGTGTTGGTGCCGAGAAACAAGTGTGTTGGGTTTGCCAGCAGCGCCCTGTAGTTCTCTTTGAGTTGCCGGTGGCGATCTCCATCGTCAGGCAGCTTCATAAAGAAAGAAAGGAATTGGTGGCATCCCATTAAGCTGTTCACATGCCCCGGTGTGAGGGAGTTTTGAAACATCAGCAACGCGGACGCTGCTGGTGATTGCATTAGCCCATCTAAGAAAATCGTTTGTGAGACTTTATCGGCGTTCTTCAAGTTGAACTCGTTGCGAACCTCGTGATCCTGTGCCGCTTTGAAGACGAGCTTGTAGTCCATCGGCTCGAGACAATTCTCCATCGTGAAGGGCGACCCGGCGCTCCAGCAGATGGCCTTCAATACGCCGTAGGCTCCGTTGGAGCGGGCCTTGCGTGGCATCAGTTGATATTGGTTTTCCGGTTTGTGAAGCTGCACCAACTCCGCCCACGAGTCCACCAGCAGCGGCTGCCCAATGGGGTGCAGTTGGGGGATGCGCCCGCCAAACTGCTGCATCACGGCTTGTTGAGCAGGCGTGATCACCTCAAAGGCGAGGGACTTCGCCTCGTACGCGTCAAACACGCGGTTGTGCAGCTTCTGCTGTGTGACGTTGCCGGAGATGTCCCGCAGCCGAACCACCAGCGTCTGCAGCGTGGTGTTCAGCAGCGCCATTCCGTGTTCTCTCTCGTTCTATGGTTTCTGTGTCGTCTGTTGACAATGCGCACCTCCACACGCACACGAATGGAAACGGCGATCGAGAAAGCAAAAGCTGTGCATAAAGAACGTCCTCTTCAGAAGCACGAAAAAAAGTCGCAACCAGGAAGAAAAAAAAAAGAAAAGGCTCTTTCATGACGAGGTGAGCGTAGCAAGTGCCATTTTGGTTAGGCAAAATACAGGAGAGAATGTGCGTTGTAATGCGCGGGTGTGTTGCGAAGCAGGAAAACACGGGAGGTATGAACGCTGTGTATAAGTCGCTGTTAGAGTACATTCATACGTGAGCAGGAAACCTTCAACACATATATACATATATGCATTTTGGGAGAGGAAGAGATGCCATGGCATGCTGCGTCACAATCGAATTTGGTGAAGGAGTACCAGAAGCAAACACTCACTGTGCTTCTTCTTGGTAATAGAACGCATATCAATCTTTTGTTTGTAGAGCAAACCGGCAGAAAGACGCATGACGACGTCAACAACAAAACAAAACAAAACAGAGGCAGCATCGTAAAAAACAATAATAATAATAAACAGCTGCAGGGCACAACGAGTCTGTTGAGAAGCCTGTCCATGAGCACTGAAGCAGCAGCCACTTTTCTTCTTGGTTGTGATCTTCAATGACGTAGCCAACACACCGAAACGCGCCCCGTGCAGCAACACGCAAGAAAGCGACGACGGTCCCCTCCCTCCCTTCGCCATTACGGTAAGATTTACAGCAGCAGTCTTCACTCGAAAAACTTGTTCCCCGCTTCTAGACAACAGCGCTACAGAGGAGCTACAGGCGGAGCAGCTGCGCCCCCTCTGACGTCGTGATGGCCATCCAGTCTTCGTTCTGCGGTCGGCGCCACGCCACATTATTAATCGGGACTTCGCAGTCGCACAGCATGAGGGAGAGTCCCCGCTCTGCACTCGCCTCCCAAATACAAACGAGGCCGTCCTCACCGACGGTGCAGATGTTCTGCGCATTCTGCGGCGACCACGCCATGCTGTTGACCGGCAGCTGGTGGAGCTGCGAGAGCTGCGAGGCGGGGACGGTTGGGTAGCGCATATCGATCACCACCGCTTCCGGGCTGTCGATGCCGAAGGTGGAAATGAAGTACGGGTCGAGCTGGTTCCAGGCTACGCGCAGCAGCGGAGACAGCCCCTGCGTCTCGTACAGAATCGTACAGTGGTCCATGTTGCGCAGGTCGAAGAAGCGGACGGAGCCGTCGGCGCCGCAGCTGGCAAAGGTGTGAGCCGAGGCAAAGGCGATGTCGTAGACGTCTTTGTCGTGGGCCACCAACTTTGTCTTCTGTGCCCCCGTCTCGACGTCCCAGAGCGTCACGGTGGAGTCGATGCTGCAGCACGCGACGGTGTTCGCGTCCTCGTTGTTCCAGTCGCAGGAAGTGACGGGGGAGCAGAAATCGTTGGGCTTCGCGCTGTCAAACACCCGTTTCATTGCGACTTTGGAATCCACCGTTTCCATCTTGGCGGCCTGGCGCGCGTCGCCGCGGGCAGCGGTGTTCTTCTCTGCCTTCGGCGGCCCTTCCGTGATCTCCCACAGGCGCAGGTAGTCTGCCGTGGTGATGACAACGTCCGACTGCAGGGGGCGTGGAGGGAACATGACTTTTGTTGGGGGGTAGCAGTGCTCCCAGGTGGCGCGGCACACAAGAACGTTGTCGTCGTTCTTCTCCACTATGTCGACGTAGTTGCGGTAGTCTTTGATGTACGAGGAGATGGCGAAGCGGAAGGGCTTATCGGGCTGGTTGGCCCAGGAAAGTCCGTTGGCGACCCACGACGTTGCGTAGGACGCGTTGCTGTGCTGCTTGCCGCCGTCTTCGGCGCCGTCGATCGCCTCCATTGTGGCTCCGAGATGACAATGTCGAGAAGTAAAAAATGAGAGAGTAAATCTATTGTATAAGCGAGAAGAAGAAGAACAGCGAGGACGCAAAACTGCAGCGTGTACGAGCAGGCGGGAAGGGAACACGCAAAGCGGAAAAAAAAAACGTCCAGCAGTCGAATGAAAACCTCAAAAATAAGTACTGCAACCAAATGCGGTGCCAGCGCGACACTCTCGAGCTGATTTCTTCGCGATTCGAAGTACACAGAAATCGATATATGGTGCTGATAACAACAAACGTGGGGGAGGAAGAAGAAGAAAAAAAGAAACAGAGAGAAGAAGCGTAGCAGTTGGAACGGGTGACGGCCAGGAGAGAGTGGAAAGCACGCCGCTCGGCGTATAAACTTATCGATTGTTGAACACGTAAAACAACGATTTGCAACACAAGCCTGCAAAGCCCGTTTGCGGTGAGTGAATAAGAACTCCCAGAGTTACTGCCCATTGGAAAATGTGCAGCTGGCCTTTCCATGCTCCTGTTCTTGACAGGATTGCCGATATTCGTTCGCTGTGTACCTCTCTCAGCACCACACGTGAACGTGTCTTTCGTTTTTTCTCTTCTTTCTATTTTCGTTATGTACATCCTGAAACAAATCGAGGCAACAACGCACGTACACGGACGCGGCTGCATCAACGGTTCTTGCTTTCTTGTTTATCTTCGAGGCACGACTTATATTGCTGCACGTAGTTCAAAGCAACAACTCTCGCAGCACAAACAAAGACACCCACAAGTTTCAGTTTAACGCTGTTCGTTGAGCTGCTTCTTGAGGGACTCCACCTCTGCGCGCAGGCGAGCATTTTCTTGCTGCAACGCTTCGTAGTCCGCCGAGGACGCGCCGCCCAGCACGCGCTTGATGTAGTCGACCGGGTCCTCCGGCTTCTCCTCCTCCTCGTAGAGATTCACGAGGACGCGGGTGAGGGCGTCAACTACCTGAGTGGACTCCAAATACTTGCGGAACTCCTCCTTCTTGGCCTCGCTGGAACGGTAAGACATGATGTTGACAGGAGGTGGGAATAAAAAGAGGGGTGCGTAAAACGCTGGGGCTGGCTGTGAGAACGGAGGAGATGAGGAGTTGGCTGCCGGTGTAAGAGCGGTCGACAAAGGACAATCTCGCGTAGTGTAATGTGGAAGAGAAAACAAAAAAAAAAACGACGAGGCGGTTACGTTAAATAAGGGAAAGGAAGTGGATGAGCCGCAATTAGTCAGAGCGTCTTTTCTGAGAGCTTTCGCTGTTGTTTCTTTTGACGTTTACCAAGATGTGTCACGGTTCTGCTCTTCAACACATGTGACATCCGTTTACGCTGATGGAGGCAGTTTTTTTTTTTTTGATCGGAGTCCACTGGATGGGGAAACAGAGAGAGAGAGAAGGCAAGCAGCGCGCACGCGTACACAAGATGGAAACTTGACGTCTCACCGCGGTGATCACGCAGCGTAGAAGTAGGTGTTTAGCAACGCCACAAAACGCTCACGGAACGTGGCGTCGTCGAAGGAGCTGACGTGCTCGCGGCAGCGCTGCTGAAACCGCTCGAACTCGTCGGGGTGGTGCTGATGCATGTCGAAGATCTTTGCCATCGCCTCTGCGTACTCGTCTTGCGTGCAGGCTAAAAACCCCAAATCAGCAGAGTTGACGATGTCCAGCTGCACCCCTCCGCTGCGGTGTCCCAGTGGAATGCACCCAGCCGCCATGTACTCCAGCAGCACAATCCCAAAGTGCTCATCCACCATCGTGTGGAGGCCAATGACGCAGCTCCCCAGCGCCTCTCGCACCTCGTTCACCGCGGCATTCACGCGCAGTTCCACTCGACCCTCGATCCCCAGCTTCTTCGCGTGAGTCCGCAGCGCCGCCACACGTTCCTCGTCGGCTACGTTACGGGCACCGCCAATCACGACAAGACGTGCGTCCGCCGGCAGGTGCGGCAGCGCCTGATGAAAGGCACCCAGCTGGAGGCAGTGGTTCTTCTCCGGTCGGAACTGGCCTACGCTGACGATGCTGGGACGCCGCTCCACAGCAGGCTTGCTGGCCGCCGCAAAGCCCGCCGTGTCGCATGGTGGAAAGAGCCGAATGCAGGTGCGGGGCCAGAACGCCGCCTGCACGTGGTTCTGCGTCCACGACGAGTTGGTAAAGACGACGTGCGGGAACCAGCCCATGCAGCGATACAAAAGATACACAACTTTGTAGTAGGCGAGCTTGCCCCAACGCAGAGCCGGGTTGTGTGCGATGAAGCCGGCGTTGTTGTGTCCCGCCTCCCCGTTCCGCACCCGCTGCGTCATGGCACTGGAGATGATCGGGTAGTGAGTGTAGGAAATCACTGTGCAGCCCGCCAGCAGCCGCAGCAGCGGGTACACAAAAGGTACTCCGACCGTCTCCACCACCGTTGGCGTCATGGAGTTCATCACGGCCGACTCAAAAAACAACGCGGCACCGCCGTAGAGGGTCTGTAGAAGCAGCGTAAAGTGCGGGTAGACGTCGCCGCTCAGCCACTTGGTAAAGCCCTTCCGCAAGTACACAAACGTCACGGGACGCGCCAAGCGCACGTTGAACTGCGTCTCCACCAGACTGAGGAGGTATTCGTCCGACGACTCGGTCGGCGTGGGATCATTTGGCGTGTACTCCTGCGTGAAGACAACGTATTGACGCTCCACCTTCTTTGCCATGTCAGACCTCTGCAATCCATCAAGGGCGACCCACAGCACCCGCTCCCCTCCACCGCCAGCGCCGGCGGAGGCGTGCAGAAAGCCAACAGTGTTCTGCGCGTAGCCGCGCGTGCAGGCACGGCAAAAGACGCACAATGCGCTAACGATAAACAGGAACAAGGTAAGCATCCCTGCAATACATATATTTTCCCTAACGATAAAACCAAGGCCACTGAGCTGCCGTTCTCTCTAAAAAAAAAGGGGAGGAAAGGAAGAGGAGAAGGTAAGGTGTCCATTACAGAGGAGCAAAGCTGCGTTGGTCACGTATTTTAAAAATGGCTGTTTGACGCGCCTTCGAAGGTGGGGGCAGAAGGCGTCGCCATTCCGGCCAAGGAAAGAAGAACCGTTCCAGCGCCGAGGACGATGAGGAGAGGAGAGCCAAAACAAATGCGGCACACGTGGTAAACGGGGGAGAGCCCAGCGACGTCTTTTGCTATTCATTGACATCGTTGTTTTCGTCTTTGCCAAGAGCGTACCGTTACGTCAAAGCAGCACCGCGCACGTGAGAGAGTAACGAACACTGAAGACCGCCGCAGCGATCGTTGGTACAATGTGTGACGCTTCACCACGGCGCCTTACAATTTGGACGGCAACCGCAAAAAATCACTTCTTCGTCGAGGTGCTAGGCAAGGCAGGGGGCTGCTCTTCATTGGCAAATCCTCGCAGCAGCCCTCTCGGTGCGGCACGGTTCACGGAGCGGCCTTTACCCATCACGTGAGTGTCAACGCCCTGGTCGTAGGCGCTTCCGCTGCCGCGTGCGCTGATGCGGCCCCACTTGATGGTTTTGTCTAGGTCAGCAGCCCCGCGCTTCGAGGTGGGCAACGTCCACTTGTGCAAGAGGGTGCACCGCGAACGTCCACTGAACATGACCAGTGGAGCAAAAAAAAAAACTAAGCGCGGATCGTTTCTGTGACGTTGACAATAAGGCGGCTGCCCAAGTCAATCGGCCTTGCGCATCTGATGACGGATGGCGGCCCTCTCTTCGAGCGACACGGCTGACGTCACACGTGTCTTGGGTGCTTGCGACCACAGGTAGACAAAGAGTCCGCCTACGAGTAAGACGTGAACCACGACCAGCACAACGGCAAACAACGTGGCGGTCGAATCAATCGACAGCTGCATGGCCACTTGGAGGTGCTCAATTTGTGTCTCTTGCCGTAATGTGACTCTAAGAAGACCACTGTGATGAATTTTTAAAAATTAAACCTGTCGGAATCGTGCAGAATGAAAAGAGAGAAAAACTTGGAGAAAGTGCGAGGAGATCCAGCGTACACTTTTCCTATGGTTGCCTCGTGGGTTGGGGCCGACAGGCCCCTTTTCAGCATGCCTGCATCACCGCTCACAAGTTGAACTTTCTTCCATGTTGAAAACAGAGTAAGCGCAAAAAAAAAACCCAACATCAAGTCCAGAAAATTTCATCGTTAAAGCGCGAAGACTTAAAAATATGTATGTGGTTCTCTTTTACGTATGTTCTTTTCCTTTTACGATGGGTTGCTTTTAAAGGCAACCGAACCACGAAACAGAAAGAGAAAAATACAAACACGTGAGCACAGCCAAGGAGAGAATTGTATAAAAGCTCTGCAGCATCGACCGCACGGAGGTGAGTGGCAACACGTGCGAAGAAAAGCGCTGGGTAGCTTCACGTGTCAATGCAGAGTCCGATGCGAATGTGGGGACCAGTTAGAACAAAAAAAGAAAAATAATCTACACGGCCTGCGCGCACCCTAATTGTGCTTACAGGAGGAGGCCAATACATTCCATTAGCCGAAGTTGCTGAGTTCCAGAAAAAGCAGTGTTCCATCGCTGTTGTGGGAGCCGCCTTATTTCCGATTGTACAGAGAAGAAAACGCTTTCCAGTGCCCTCACAGAAGACCCACCACAAGCAGCACTAGACAAGCAAACCAAACAGCCCCCTGCCTCACGACACCCACGGCTTCGTTTCGCCCGAAGCACGGCGTCTTGTTGTAGTCGTACTTCGGATCGCTGTCGTTCACCACCACAAACTGAAAGTCCGGCATGCTCTGCGTGATGACTGAGAGCATCGTCACCGCGGGGTCGGACGCACCGGCGAACGCGACCGAGGGAATTACCAGTTCGTTTACCGGCGTGCACGTCGAGCTGGGTTTTTCAAAGGTGGCGGTGGTGATGTTAAACACCGGGGTGGCCATGCACGAGCTCACGAACACACCACACTGCGCGTACCGCGATCCGCGATCCCCCCAGAGACCTTCGTTGGTGCTGACTGCTCCGTACAGAAACGAGCGGCAGATGCGCCAGGTCTGCTCCCCTGCCACGGAGCCGGCAGACGGCGGGACGACTCCGCCGTCGACGATGTCGCCCTTCACGCTCTCAAAGCGGTAGGACGGCTCACTCGGGTCGCAGGGCAGACAGAGGTACTGCCGCAGCGCGTAGAGGGACGCGTAGATGCGCTGCCCGCCCGGCCCGCAGCCCTGCCCGTTAGGCACCAAGCTGGAGTACGCGGTTTGGATTTCTTGATCAAACCCCGGCAGACAACACGCCTTGTGCGAATGCATGTAGCACAGCTCTAAACCGTAAGGAACGAAGGGCGTTTTGTCGGTTACAAGGCACTTTTTGGACGCTGCCCGTGCCTGCGCGAACAACAGCGCGAGAACGCACAACACCACCCAGCTGCGAGCCCGCGGCTTCATTTCTCCAAAAAGAATTATATATATATTTAGAAGAAAGAGCAGTGTGCTTTGCGGGAAAGTGGAGTACAAAAATAGGCTTTGCCACCGTTGTCCCCCGTTTCTGTTTGCCGTCTCTTCCAGCAAAGCGGGCTGCTGAAACGGTCGTGGGTTGCTGTTGACGTCGAAAGAAAAAAAAAGAATGATTGCAAAACAAGCACAGGAAGAGGCGGATCCGTTCGGGCGTGAAACGAAGAGCGGAAATTGAGTACTGAGAAAAGAGACATTGCAATGCACACACACAACTCTTCTAGAAGTGTTGAAGTGAAGAATCGTGTCGGCACACACACATACACACAAAGCAAAACATGTACTTCGATGCACGACAGACGGATACTTTGCAGGCTTCTCCCAGAGCAATCCAACAAACACAGCTACCGGGACTGTCTCGTTCAGGTTATACAAGACTGCATTGAACGAACAGCTTGCAAACATGTAGCTGGTACGCGTGCGACGCGAACGGTTTATACACCTAAAAAAAGTGTTACTCGTTACGAAAACATCCACCACCAACCACGTAAGGACGCATACGCATGTGCACAGCCCTTTAGAGACGCACGTGCACGGCGAAGTTCTTCTTCAGTCCTTTGCGGACCGTGCGCTGCGCATCCTCGCTGGAGTCCGTCACCACATCCAGCACCGTTTTCTGCTCCGGGCTGCTCAGCTCCGCCTCCGTCAGGCGGCGAAACAGGGGAGACTCGTCGAGACACTGCACCATCCACTCCTCCACCTCCTCAACGTCGGAGACGGTGTAGAGGAGGCCGCCGCGGCGCAGCCAATACGCGTACTCCTGCACCAGTCCAGGTGAAATAATGCGACGTCGAATGTTCTTGCGCTTCCAGTGCGGATCCGGGTAGCAGAAGAAGAGCCGCGACAGCTGCCCCTTCACAAAGCAGTTGGAGCCGAACTTCATGACGTTCATCTGCTCAAACCAAATGTTGCGGTAGTGCTGTGTCGACGACGCCGCGTTCTCCTGCCGCAGGGCGAGCGTCTTCTCTCGTGCAAAGCGCACCACCTTGGGTCGAATCTCGAGGCCCAGCATGCACGTCTGCGGGAAGAGTTCGCCGAGAGCAAACAGCATCCCACCAAAGGCGCAGCCCACATCAACAAACTCGACAACAGGGTTGGGCATGTTCGGGTAAAACTCGGAGTAGCGCTCCGCAAACTGCGCAGGACTCTCGGGGCGCTCGTCATCGTTTTCGGCGAGTGGGTTGCGATGGGGCCGCGTGCGGATAGGCAGCCGCGTCCACTTGGGCTGCTGCTCCTGGGTGGCCATTTTAGCGTTGTCGTTGTCTAGAATGAACTGCGGCTGAGGAAGGATAGCGCAGGACTCACTCCTTTAATATGACTTCTCGGGTAGAATGGGGATGAGGGAGGAATGATTTTTTCGTTTTGGGAGAGATGCATCCCAGTAAGCGCTCAAACGCCAAAGGGAAGGAGAGAGAAGAAAAGAGAATAGTTATGCGTGTTGTAGTTCCGTTCTGTTTACCCCTCAAAAAAGTTTCGGTGCTGCCCTTCTGAGAACTACAGCGGGGAGCAGCCGTCATCCACTCCGTTATGCGCCCGTCTTACAAGTCGAGGCGAGTAGAGATACACGGATTGGCAGCTGTATAGGAAAAACAAGCTCTTCACACTTTATCGTGTTTGTATCCTTCGCTTTCTTTGATACTCGAAGGTGTGTTGGTGAAAGCAATGGAGGCACAATGATGAAAACCAGAATGATACTCGGTATAACGTACACAAGGTGGACTCAGCTTCCTATATGCACAACGGTGCGCAGCTTTTGCTTCAGTTGCGCGTTTTCATGGATCAGCTGCTCCAGTTCCAGAGACAGGCGGCCCAACACGGCGTCGCACTCGGCCACCTGATCGTCATGTCTGCGCTGCGCCTCACAATTATGCTGTTTCAGCCGGTTCATCTCCGTCGCACTCGCGCGCGATAGGGCCGCATAGTTTTCGTGCAGCAGCGCCAATTCGTTGTTGAGGGTCTGCACCGTCTTCTCGTAGGCGATTACTCGTGCCTGTGCGAAGCGAACGGCGGATGGCTTCGTTTCTTCACCTTTGCTAGAGTCGTGCGAGACAGCAAGGGCGACGGCAGGAGGGCCGAGTGCTGACGTGGTAGCACCGACCGCTACGAGACGAGTCAGTTCATCCATGCGTGCACGAAGACCCTGCAGTTCGGCATTTTCGGAGGAGGCGTTGAGTTGCATGCTGTCTAGTTTTGAGGCAGCCTTCGTGAGCGCGTCGAAGAGTACCACCTTGTGCTGGAGAAGACGGTGCATAACTTCTGCGCTCGCAGTTGGCAAGAGAGGTGACGGCGGCGGCGGTGGTGGTGCCACATCTTCTGTCGATACTCCTTTTTCTAAAGAGTCCGCCAGTGGGGGTAGAAGAAGTGAGTTGCCGTCCGCACGCCGCTCCGAATTCTTTGCCGTGAGCTGCTCCAGTCGAGCCTCCACGTCCGTGCGTGCGTGAAGAAGATCCTGCCGACTTGAAGACGTTGTCGGCAACCACGCAAGAAGACTTGGCAGCACCACACATTCTATTTGGCAGGTGTAGCGGCACAAGTACTCTAGAGCAGTAAAGGTGTCATTCAGCGCGTTTTTTTGGTTGCTAATTTGAGAAGCAAGGCGGCGTTCCATCAACTCTCGCTGTCGCTCCACAAACACACACTCGTCGATGACCTCCACCAGGTACTGCTGGGTGCGACGCAGCTCATCCTGTGTGGAGGAGCTCATTTCATAGAGAAAGCGATTTATTTGTGTGTCCTTCGAGGTACACGTTCAGCTGCCAGCGCGTCAGCAACGCCAACAACAACCAAACGCACCGAATCCAACGAGAAAAGAAAAGGAGAGACGAGAGAATGGGCAGCACTGTGCAACAAAACAAAACAAAAAGATGTCCCTACAGAACCACTGGAAACGTTGTAGCGGAAAAGAAGGGGAAGAGCGTTCTTTACAAACAACCGCAAGAAGGATACAAGGCAAGTCCACCGTTATCCACGTCACCGTTTCAAAAAATGTATATACTTAAATGCTCTTTCATCATTTCTGTAGTCAGCTGGAAAGCTGCACGCCATAAAACAGACAGAGGAAGTATTAATAATAATAAAAACCAATTCTGCTATGACTCTGTGATGATGTACGTAAGCTTGGAGGTGTGGCTGCTTGCGCACCATGACGACCTCTTCCTCGATTCAACATTCGATGATTAATCTTGACTCAGGTACACGCGTGTTCGAAGTCGTGCGTAGCATCATTTTCGCTTTCTTTGCTTAGCTGACTCTAGCGACCAGGTGCCAATCGCGTGTGCCCCTTCCGCTCTGCATCAAAAGCAGTTGCACGACTAATCGGTCCCTTCTTCCGACTAATTACAGTGGAGGCAGTGTCTTGAGAATTACCAGCAAACGAGGAGACGTGTCGGGTTGCACCGCTGTTGTGCAGCGGACCTTTCAGTGACTCCAGTACGTCACGCATGTGATCTGGGTAACGGTCCACCACGTCCGTTGTTTCGACGTGATGCGTCCACACGTAGTCATCGCTGATGTCGTCACCGGAGCCTGTGGTGGCGCCGCTGTCAGGCCGATTGTCGCCGCTCTCCAGCTGCGGCGCAGAGCACGGCGGCTGCGAGCTGCGCAACACGCGCCGAGGAAGTGCGTCCAACGTGATCTTGCCCATACTGCCCAGCATAAAGTCGTGCGCGAAGAAGCGCTGCGCTCGCACAGGGTCGAGGTTGCCCATTTCAGTTTGTCCGCTGGAGCCGCTGCGTTCGCATATCATGGCCACACAGTCGTCGAAGCTGATGGGCACGCGTGGCAGGTGCAGGCACTCGGCCATGTGCTCCGACGAGCCGGAGGCGGCTAAGATGTCGTAGATGTACCGCGCCACCATGCCCGGCGGCAGCGAGACGTCGTTGGTAGGGATAATGCCACAGGCGGCCAGCTTGAGGCCGGACTCCTTCGTAAAGCACCCCGGGAGGGTCAGACCGGGTGTGTCGTAGAGCACCACCGGCGGGTCTTTCGAGAGCGGCACGAGCTTCATGCCACGCGTCGTGCCGGGCGTGATGGAGACCGTCTCCGGTGCGCGGGAACGGCGGAAATCTTCGCGATGAAATTGGTACTCGTGCGCCAGCCGCAGCGAGTTGATGAGGGTTGATTTCCCCACGTTCGGCATGCCCACCACGAGGCCGACGTGGGCGACCGTTTTGTACTGCTGCGGGGGTAAGACGTGTGTCGTGAAGCGCTGCACCGACTCCACCACGTCCCGCCAGCACCGCTGCGCACTTGTGAAGAGGGCAAAGGTGCCGTTGTTCTCGTAGTACTCCTGAATCGCGCGGTTGCAGTCCTCGTTGGACAGCTCCGCCTTGTTGAAGATGATGAGGCGCGGTTTGCCGGCGGTGAGTCGACGAATGTTTGGGTTTTCCGTCGTGAAGGGCAACCGAGCGTCGCGGATCTCTAGAATAAAATCGGCGTCCTTCACCTTGTCGGCGAGCAGCGTGGTGGCGGACTGCATATGACCCAAATACCAGGCAGCGCCCTTCTCGTCGATGTCCACAAAAGCCTCCCGTGACATGGGCTTCTTGGCGGAGCCTTCCATGGACCCTTTGTAGGCGCTTATGGTGCGCTTCACCTTGCGCATGAACGCAGGGTCGAAGACGTTCCATCGTCTCGGAGTGACGCGCATGGACAACACCAAATTTGACGATTCAACCAGGCAATGACGGTGACTCACAACTTCGACAACAACAAACGGAAAAGCGGGGAATGCCCAACAGTTTGTTTGGTTTCAGAGGAGTAACGTGCCGAGAACACACGTAAATAAGAGCTGAAATGTGCCGAGCACTTCTCACCAGATATTCGATTGGATAAGAAGAGAAAAAAAGAAGAAGATGTGGAGTCAACGTGAGACACACATCGTGTTATTTTTGAAAGAGACATGAAGAAAAGAATCAGAAGAAAGGAAGAGTAGAAGGAAGTCGCTGTGAAGTACATCAGTGCTGCACAGAGAATCGAATGGGTAGACTTGGATGGACGAACCACAATGAGGTGGAGAAACACAAAAAACCCGTTTCACAGATTCGCGCACAATAAATTTCGTCCTGATCCGTCGCGTTTGAGCCGCGAGTCCTCCCTCCACAGAAGCGACAGAAGAGGCTTTCGGCACCGACTTCAAAGTTCATTTTTGGGGGCCTTTGTACTCGTAGCGACACATCCATTTTTTGTCGAGGCAGTAACGCTTCCATAACAGGAAAAGAAGAAAGGGGAAAAAAATTGCAGGTGCAAAGGCTTTTCTGTTTTAGAATTTTTCTGTCTTTGCGTGTGTGTGTGAACCGTGTACCTAGACAACATCTATATAGTTAATCAAGTTGCGTCTTTCAGTGCGTCAAACGAGAACAAAAAAAAAAGCCGTGGCGGCTTAAACGTTTTTCATGCAAAAGAAATCAGCGATGTCGTTTACCATTTTCTTTTTAAATAGATTTCACAAGTAAGGAACAGTGAGAAGTCGACCAACACGAAAAGGAACAAAAAACAAAGAAAAACAGAATCGAGGAGTATCGTTAGAAAAACGCTGAGGAGAGGAAGCGATGGCCCCATAAATTATTGAAGGCGGCACTAAAATTGAGAAGAAGTGAGACGAATGCAGTTTTGCGAACAAGCGGCAGAACAAACAAAAAGAGAGAAAAACAAACAAAAAAGGAGCCAGGGGAGCAAAGAAGGAAGGAAAGGAATTCCCCTGCATTCGCGTGGAGAGTAGTCAGAAAAAAAAAAAGAAAAAAACACACAAGGCGAAGGGAGACAAGAGAAAAAAAAAGAGACCTCTATTTTCTTGTCATTCAGAAGTGGAGCTTACGTTAATGGCGGATACAAAATCAAAAAAGAAGAAGAGCGAGGAACAGAAAAAAGCGATACAACACATTAGAAAGATAAAGCAAAAGATGAGTGGAAGAGCCGATCACGTTGTAACCCCCAAAAAAGGGGAAACACATGAAGGTGAAATAATAACAATAAATAATAGTAACACACGGTGGTTTAACAGCGCACCACAAAAAGAGAATCCGCTTACGTTTACTTGGTGAATCGTTGTTACGGTGTTCGTGTAGGAGCGAGAGCGAAACAAACAAACAAAAAAGGACCCCTAACACGCGTAGTCGATCGATGGACAACAACAGAAAGGGGCGTCTAATAAGGGGGAAAAAGACTCATTTGAAGCCATAATAATTCACTGAAAAAATGCGGGAAGACGTACGACGTTGGGGCCGTTGATGCCGAAGAGTCGTGCGGGCTTCACGGAAAGAAGAGAAAGACAAGTCTCCCGTCGTGCCTTCGTAAGGAGCGAAAGGCACCTTCCATGAAGTAAAACCCACTGTGGTACGGATTTAAACGGCAAGGGAAGAGGTAGAGATCATGAATGAATTAACGATAGAATCACTCAAAGGGGAGAAAGAGGGAGGAAGAAGAATGATGAAGCACAGCAAAGAAAAAAAAGAGGTATCGTTCTCATCGAAGCGTTCATGATGACAAATATAAAAAAAGCCTAGTGTGCTGAGAAGGAAAAGAGTAAAAGCAACAGCTACAGTACCCAAGGTGTTCGGTTTACGGCTTCGGCTGATTGGAACGTCATCATCAACTTAGCATCCCAGCTGCAGGTATCGATATGATGTCTCGATCACTGCTCTAAACCACTTCGGACCTTGTCGCCACCGTAGGTTGCATCGAGTGGAATGAAGTACCCGAAAATCGAGTACACCGATTACGCAAATGAAAAGCAAATTGATCAGGAACTGAGAGGGAGTGAGAAGTAAAGAAAACAAAAAGACATGGACCAAAAGAAGAAGAAGAAAAAAGCCGCACACACACACGCACACAAACAAAGAGACGCACCAAAGGTAACGACGAGAAAAGGACAAAAGAAGCCAAAGACCATTGGAAAGCAACGTTCACAAAGCACCCTTTTTATATACCGCGGAAACTTCGCAGTTTTAATTCACACGTGTGTGAAAATGAAGGAAAAAAAAAAGAGACTATCGGCACTAAAAAAACGCAGCACATCAGCAACGCGGTGTCTCCAGAAACCATTCCTTGCGACAACGTTCGTTGTCGTCCCGCTTGAATGTGTGACACAGTTGCTGGTCGATGTGTAGGCACCTGTGTCCAAATTGATCTACGTTTAGCTAGACGAACACGAGGGCTGTGGCGGTAACACGCACAGAATGGCTTGAGTGAATGCTTCAACAGGGAGAACAAAGAAAAGAAAAACAGACGGTGTGGAAACCAAAGAGAACGCTAAATATTCTTAGTCGGCACATGGGAGAATTCGATTAGCGCTGAATCAGAGTCAACTGCTGCGTTCATCTCTTTGGTCCTACTTGGTGTGCCTCCAGCCTTCCTCTTTCTGTTTTTTTCCTTTTCCTTTTCTAATCGGAGAACGCAGTAGCTAACACACCAGAAGAAGAAGAAGAGGAAGAAAAAAGAAAATTTTGAAATGGTGTGCTTTTGCAGGTTCTTGAAGCTTCGGACATGAAATGTGGAGTTTGTCGAGGGCACGCTCCTTTTTTTCTTCTAATTAAACGAGTGTGCATTTAGGTCGTTTTCCGGGAACGCGCTGCTTCAAATAAGACACAAATCAAAACGGACAACAAATCAAAGAGAATTAAGTCGCTGCGTGCTATTCCGTGTGGTTGTCAAAAAACTGCAAAGAGTAGCCGTTTTAAGAACGAAAAATGAAAGAACAAAATAACCCCCCCCCCCGAATCCCTTCTTGGTATGGAAGTACACACCATACAGGGAAAATCGCTGGGCTGGGTACGAAAAACGCGCTCCTTTGAACGCGTTCTCCACGTGCGCCACGCTTGGAGTGGATGAAAAGACACACAAACGACACGAAAATAAAAGATGTAGTCGGTTCCGCACTTCGTTAAGCGCAAAGAGAAAAGAGAAAAACACACGCAGAAATCGGCGAACAAAGTGAATGGGGTAGAACGAAGAACGAAGGACATAACATCATGCAATAGGCCAAATTCAGTCAACGACAGAGAAATACAAGGGAAAACAAAATAGAAAAAAGACCAGAGAAAGGGAGGAAAATGAAAGAGAAACAAGATAAAAAGAAGCACGGTAAGAAAAGCTGATGCGGGGAAGAAACGCTTTTCACGTTGCGAGGAGAAAGAAAAGAGAAAAAAAAACCGCGCGAGAGAGAACCATGCAATCAGTCAAATTTAAAACACTCGAGCTCGGACACGGTGCGCCGAAGAAGTGAGTTAGAGATATATTCCGTTCCCAGTTTATAAACGACGAACTCGCTCTGCTTCTTACCGCTTGTGCGGATGTGAAACCTTACTAGCGGTGGCAACAACAGTAGGAATAGTGTGTTCCAGCCGTCGACGTATAAAGTGTTATTGTGAAAGGCAAGCAATAAAGCGCATTCACGTGCTACATTTAACTCGTCTTCTTCTTTGAGTCGCTCTGTTGTTAGAAAAAAAAAGAAAAAAAAGAAGGAAGACTAAAACACTTTTAAATGTTAAAATAGAAGTGGAAATCATCGAGAGGGGAAAAAACTTTTTGGGTTCAGCGCTTCGCTTGAGAACGTTGAGTTAGTCTTTTTTAAAACTATTCTTTCCGTGTTGTCATGCAGTTGGCATCCGCATGTACATAGGGCTACTCGTCCGGATACACCCTGGGCGGCAGAGCCGGGGGGAAGGGTGGCAATCGACTTTCATTACTGCAGTCAACACTGCCACACAAAGCAGCCCACACACAAAAAAGGATTTGATGAAGAGGGTGACTGGGGAAGAAAAAGAGAAGGAAAGAGAGAAGAAGCCCTCTTTTGAATGTAGGCAAAAAGCGGAAAACATTCATCACAGGGTAAAACAGATTAACAGAACCACAACTTTTACGAGCATTTCGGTGCTTCAGACACACACACTCTCGCACACTCACACACACACAAACACACCCACATGAATACGTACGCTGTGCAGACGCAGGATGGTTTTCCATTGTGGGAAACGCACCGGAGCATTCCGCTTAAAAATCCGGTGAAGTGTACATCTATGCTGCCGTTGATGTGGGAGCAGTAGCCAAACCTTTCCCTTCAGTTTCTTTAAAAGGAGAAAGAAAACCAAACGGAGGTCCCAGCAACCACCAGCTGCATCGACTAACACGGGAAAATCAAAAAGGAAAACAAGAGGGAAAGAGAGTGCGAGAGAAAGAAAGCAAGGTCCTTCGCACGCGAGTAGTGTCAGAACAAAATACTTCGCGGCTTAGAACCGTCTCCTTCAAGAGACAGTTTCTTTCCCTGTTCAAATCAGCTGATCTTTTAGAGTATCAGCTGCCATACGTGCACAGACATAATATATATATACTGAATGATAGTGAGTATTTTATCTAGATCTCAACAACGCCGAGACGCAACGTAACCAACAATCTCATTGACAGAAGAAGAAAAAAAAACTTTTTTTTTGATTAATGAGAGCAGCTTAAATAATTAGAAAACAAATAGAAAACACGTAAAACTGAATTGGAAGCTGAGAAGCAAAGCAATTGAAACCCGCGGAAACGCACGTAGCCGCGAATAGATTATTACGCCAGAAAAAAAATGAGGTAAGACAGGTTTGAGGAAGATAACAAAGTCGTGTTGAATCGCTGAGCAGGAAAAGAGGAAAAGAGCCCCAAAAGGAAAAGCACACGGAACTACAGAGGTGGCGTACTCATCTCATCAGTTATGCAAGCTGAAATGAAGGTACACGGGGGAAAAACATTTTACGGAAAACAAAAAGTGCTAAGAGAAGAAGAGGCAAAAAAAAAAAACAATAATAACTGCAAAGGTTAAATGAAAGAAAGAGAGGGAAAAGGGGTCCAGTTTTGCAAACAACCTGGAGTAGGCGCTTAAGATATAAAACGACACGTAAGGAAAAGATGCTTGAGATTTCGAATCAGAGCGATCTGCAGTTGACAGTCATAAAACCTACTAACAATTAACGCTCTTTAAAGAAAAAAGAGAAACAACTTTTCATTGTAAGAGGACAACAAGAAAAGAGTTAAAAAAAAAGATGAAAGAAAACAGATAATATAGCTTTTTGGCAGAGATTTCCACTATCTCCCATGAACGGGCAACATCTGCCCCCTCCCCCCTTCTCAACGTGCTCCTTTGTATAGTTGTTATAACTGCGCTTAGAAAAAAAAACTTTTTGTGTGTATACGTGACTTTTTGATGCTGTGTGCGCGTGTGTGTGCGTGTACCTTTAGTACCGTCGTTTACTTCAATCCGTATAACAACGTATTTCCTGTTCCTTCCATCACAGGGGCTTATTCTAGCGCAGCGCGCTCGTCATTGCGCATGCGACGCTCGAGCTGGTAAACAAGAAGTAGCAGCTGTATTCACAGTCACAAAAAGAGGACAAGGAGAACACAAACGAGTCAAAGAGAAGCAGTGCAAAGAAAGAGGAAATAAAACAGGAGTATAACGGCGAAATACAGAAGAAGAAAAAAAGAGGAAGTATTTTGAGCTATTAAAAATAATGGAAGATCCTTAAAAAAAAAAAGACAAGCAAAAAACGGCACAAAGGTTAGCGTCGAAGTCGAGAGGCCACTACACATTCAACAAAGAAACTTCTTGCTACATACATGGGCAACACGCACACACACACACATACATACAATAAAACGTGTAAGAATTTAATTGAACGCAACATCACTGAAACGTTGAGACAATATGTAGGGCGTGGGCAGCATAAACATAGGGCTGATCGATAGAGCAAGTGCTCATGCTGGCTGTCCCTCTAACGCGCATGGAGTTTTGAAAGGGTAGAAGGAGAAGAAAAAACAAAACAAAAGATTAAAGTCCAGTGAGCTTGTCAACACATCAACACAGTTGTTACCAAGTCCCAAGTGTTAAGGATAACAAAAGAGAGTCGTGCACGCATCCACACTCACCCACCCGCACCCGCACACACACACACACACACGCACGCACACGTGTGGAACACAAGGATAAAACATTGATGCTCGCTAATACTGCGATTTGTTTGACCCACGAAGGAGGGCGCGTAGGAGAGGAATCGCACAAATTCGTACCGAAAAGGGAGAAGGAGAAATTCGTTAAGCGTCGTGCACAACAAAGCAACGAGAAAAGGGGAAAAAACGGATAATAATGATAAGAAAAACGTCTTGCAGTCCGAGACTTTGAGAGGGTCAGTAAGAGGCGCTTTCTTGATTTGTTTCGCTTGCTCAGAACTTCATTCCATTGCACGAAGGGAAATACACAAAAAAAAGGAAGGAAAATGCGAGGAGTACAGCGCCTTGTGTGTGTCCAACGTCTTTGATGAATTCAGACGTGTTTGAGTGTGTGTTTTTTTGTGCTCGTACGTGTGAATTTGTGCCGAGAACTGCACGCGTACAACTCTCCGTTCTTCAACTTTAAGCTTTAGTGGCGCTGAAACACCATTCAAGAGAGAAATCTTTTGGCTTCAAAAAGGGTAAACTTTCGATGAAGGTAATAATAACACAAAACGAGGTTATGCTAACAAACAACACCACCAAAACACACACACACACAGAAACGTGATGAAACAGGGGAAACACAGCTGTTTATAAAACAACTGTTTTATGTTATGAAAAGAAAAACTAAATTAGCATTACCGCTGACCGAAACGGAAATGTGTGTGGGTGATTTGTCACCCGAAAAAGGAAGAAAAAAAAGCTTTGGAATGAGAAAGACAGGAGCGTCTTCTTTTTTGTTGTTTGGCTGTTGCTTGTGTGTTTCAATTTAGTGGCAGAAATACAAAAAAATGTAGAGCAGAAAGAGGAACGAAACGATTATTAGGTGTTATCGTCTTTCGCGTCATTATATTTACGGCTCTCACTCCAGCTTCAGCCAGCGGGTACAGCAGTTATCCGACGAAACGGGAGAGGATTCAAAAAAAAAAAAAACCATAGTCTAAAGAAGTGAAAAATGGAAAACTACTGCGAAAAATTACACCACAACAGCAAGTAAGAAACGATCACAATAAGGTTAACAAGACGACAGAACGCTCTACACCCTTGAAAAACGAAAAAGAAGAAATACAACGTCATGCAGAGTCGCACAGATGAATAGCGATAAAACATCGAGTTGAACTCAAAAAAAAAAAAAGGTGCTCAGGAAAAAAAAAACACAAGGGATGTAGTATAATGGCCTTGAGACCAAAAAAGAGGAAAAAAAATTGAGAGCGATGCTGAGCAAAAGAAAAAAAGAGTCGAACGGTCCGTCGGGAGAACAGATACGAAAATTGTGACGTGTGCGCTCACGATGCGAATCAGCGTACTCCAGTGAAGCAGAGATCACTTAACCTTCAAATGACAGTTAATCGTCCTCTCGTCTTGGTCAAGATTCTGTCGCTGCTGCTGTTTCACAGTACTATCACTAAGCAGCAGTGCTCTATTTGGAAAACAACAAACGGTGGCGTTTTTTCAGTAGAGAAACACTTGCCACATCTCCGTGATACTACTGCGATTGGATGTGAAAGTAGAGTTGATTGCCGAGTGGATGTTGCTGCTGCTGCGGTGGCTGAGAGTTCGGCTGCTGCTGTGCTTGCTGATGCGGTGTGTTATACTGCGAAGGAGACGCGTACTGTTGCGGTGGGGGCGGCATCATTTGCGGGTTTGCACTTTGGTAGTATGCTGCCGTCGGCATGGTCTGTAGACCTGGCGAAAAGACGGTCGTTGTTGCCTGCATGGGCATCTGCGCTGTCAAAGAAGAACTTGCGTAGAAGGGAAATTGTGACGGTCGTGAGTTGGGGGTGTTACCCTGCCCAGAGAACATCGAGGGGGTTATAGCCTGCGGGCTCTGCTGCATCAGCACCAACGGCTGGAAGGTGTTCACGGCGTTCTCATGCGGCATCGCGGGTCCCCGCATCACTTGCATGGTCGGAGTGGGCGGCACCGCGGAGAAAGAGACGCTCGTGGCGATGCTCCCGTCGGGATTGAGGTACTCTGGAGGTGGCACAGCGATCTTCATGTAGTCCTGCGGACGGTACACCGGCGACCCGGTGGCGTGCAGCTCCTCCAGCTGTGCTTGAGTGCCATGGAAGAAGGTGCAGCGGTCACGCAGGCACTTGCCTTGGGTAAAGAAGGTGCACACACTCCACGGCACTGGACGTGTCTCGCCGTTTGACACGTGCATGTAGGGGCACGTCGGCGTGCGAGGGCAGTGGGAAGTGCAAAGGTAGTCGCGGCAGATGACACCCTTGTTGCGCAACAGCTCAGCAATTTGCTGACGCCGCTGATCCGCCGTCCATTGCTGCTGCTGCTGCTGCTGGCGGTGTTGCTGCGGTTGCTGGGACATGGGTGCAGACGGGACTGATGATGATGTGTCCAGTGGGTTAATGGTAGTCAGAGAACAGAAATTTAATTATGCTTAACTAGAAAGGCAGTTGCAAAACATCAACACGCGCACATGCGAAGACACGCGGACACACTAGGTAAATCAATCGAAAAAGGAGAAAGAGAGGTTTTACTGGAAAAAGAACCGAAAGCAATCAAGCAACTGGAATGCGAACACACTCACATACACACGCACAAACGTGCACTCAACAAACACAGAAACGCACACACAAACAGCAAAAACAAATAAAAAGAAAGGATGTAACAGTAAAATACACACAAAACACGAGCGTAAAAAAAAAAAACAGGACAAAACAAAACAACGAAGAAGGAAGAAGGACACGTTCAAAAATCGTTGTTTGTTTTGGGGGTTTCTTCGTTTGATGGCGTCGCAGGAAGTTCTACCTTCCGTTTCTTATTGTTTCTTATTTGCAGCTCACACACACAGAAGGAAAAAAAATAGCGGATTGGAGCAAAAATGCGTGGAGTATTGAAATGAAAAAGAAAAGAAAAGAAATTTCAGATACGATAGAAAGACGTCAAAACAGAAATAATAAAGTAATAATAATAATAATAATAAAAGAATGTAGTTTTTAGAGCTTCGGTTTTCTCCGTCTTATTTTTGTGTGTCCACTTCTTGTTGTTTCGAATAGATGAACCGTTGTATGCTTCAGCTCACTGATGAAGCTCAATAACGATGGATGGCGCGGGAACGTTTCGGAATAGCTATGTAGTCGATACGAACAAAAACGTATTATGGAGTTTAAGGGTTTTCTTTGAGTAAAAGAAGCTTTAGAAATCAAACAAATCACCGTAGGAAAGCGAAATGGGAAAACACAAAAAACATCAAATAGAAGGGAAGAAAGAGGGGAAAAATTGCTTGATTCTTCGCTTTTAGACGAATGTGTCAATGCTTAGGCTGCTTGATCTGCGCAGGTGCGAGATAGGGGAAAGACATATATATATATAAATAAATACAGATGTGAACAAATAGATAAATATATATAGATGAGAGAAAGCACACTCTTGGAGAAAAAAAGCAAAAAGGTCAGGGTTAGGAAAACGAATAAAACGTTTAAAGGAAAAGAAAAAAAAAACTGAGAGAAGGACCAGTCTTTAAAAAAAATATATCAATAACAAAAAAGAAAAGGAAGGGAAACAAAGGAATCGTAAATATGCTATCGAAAGCAGAGCACAAACACAGACACATACACACGCACACCCCGCACAACTCAGAGGAAGTTCAATATAAATTTATGGTTTCGTTTAGTGTTGTTTTTTTTTTCCTTTGTGTTGTCACTTGTCAATGAGAGCCATGAACACGACAGCTGATGGAGGATACAACGAAAGTGACAAGAAGAGAAGTACCCGACAGATCAAAGCAAGAACCAAAAGAGTGGAAGGTGGGACGAGATAGATCTTGAGGCACAGAACAACAACCACAAAAAAACACACCTTCATTGACAAATCGGTCTACAGCTCGCTTTCATTTTCAGCAGAGCACCGACGCCATTCTGGGCGGAGAAAAATGCACATGTCCACGGCCTCCGCAAAGTGAGCCATCAGGTTGGAAGGATTTGTGCTTCGTGGTTGGTGAGCCGCGTCTGCGACGCCTCAACTTGGAAGAGTTGCATACGGCGCCCTTCCGCTTTAAAATGCGTCGGGCTATCTTTCCTTTTCTTTTCTTTTCGTTTGTGTGTGTACAAATGCGAGCTTGCACCAGGGGCAAGCATTAACGATGATGCAACCCGATTAGCGAGGCAGCTCTGCCGCCAAAAAATACGACACGCGCACATAAACCCCCAAAATGAGAGACGTGTGAATCAATACGCAGGTTGTTTAAAGGCTTCCGACTCCGTAGAGGTACGAAGTGGACGCGGAGAGGATGACGAGGTTGCTGAGGAGGCGGTGGCGGTAGCCTGCGTACAGCGACCGACCGAAGCTGGGCGATAGCTGCGGCTTGTAGAGGTCCCTCACAAAGCGCCGCACCACAACGGTCCCAAGGGGGTAGAAAAGGGCGTCGATGGCGAGCGTGGCCACAAAGGCGCCGGCGAGGGCGTCGTTGCGCAGGTGCGGCCACTCCTTGCTCTGCAGCAAGTCTTCGCGCGGCCGCCACACGGAGGAGAGTGTCGGCACGATAAAGGAGCCAACTGTCTCGTACCAGCTGAGCCAGCAGGCCTGGAAGGGCAGCAACACGCTGACAGGGACTAAAGCGAGGCTCCCCCGCAGCAGCATCCGCATGGGAGTCGGTCCAGGGCGAGCTGGACCGAAGTGGTGGGCGATGTTCGCGTTGTGCAGCGGCGTAGTGCAGACGTGCGCCACGACGGCGGAGGCGGCGTAGAGGACCACCGTGTCGTAGTACGGGTGCCGCGCGTCCACAATACCGGCGGTGCCACTGCGGGAGCGCGGTGGTGCCATCACCGCGCAGGATCCCGACACGTCGTACCAACGCGCCGCCGCCGCGAGAAAAAAGGCCTGCACCGCGGCAAAGGCCACATTGCGAGCAAAAACCCCGCAGGTGAGAGACCACACACTACCGCGTGCGAGAAACAGACCGAGCTGGCCCTCCATCCAGCGCAGCGTCAATGGAGCACACGGCACCGCGCAGGCGGCAAAGAGCACCCCAGAAGAAAACACGCGGAACCACAAGTTTGGCACCACGTCGTGACGGGTAACCGACTGCACCACCCACCGCGACGGCAGCAGCTCCGGCGACGCAGCCACCTCCAGCAGCGTCTCCGCCTGCGGAAGGCCACTCGTGGTGCGCACCGCATTTGCAAAGGCGAGGCGCTGCTCATCTGTAAGGGCGCCACACGCGGCTTCGCAGCTGCGGCCAAGAACGCCCGGCTGCGGTGCCGCCCCGTCCCAGTAGGCTTTGTACGCATCGCTGATCTTGATGGGCGTGATTTCTCCAAACTCGCTAGACGCGTTGAGGAAGTTGAACCGCGTGTCATCCAGCAAGTCGAAGGGCCGCATGGAGGACGCGGGAGGGAAGCCTTTAATGAGACCCACGCGCTGCCACAGATTGCAAATGAGCTCCGCACAGACCATCTTCTCAGCGTTGTTGACCCCGTCAATCCAGAAGTGCCCGCAGCTCCAGTCTACCGACAACGGATCGGCCGCAGCAGTGGGGCACCGCTTTAGGTGCGGGAAGTAGGTGGCGAGCAGAAACTCCTGTGCGTTTTTGTACTTGTGGATGAGGGCGCGGTAGACGCTCGCGCTACCGGGCTGCCGCGCCGCCATCGCCGTCAACGCGTCCGCCTCAATGCGCAGACGATTGAACTTGTGCGCCGCCGTAATGCGATCCATCTTGTCGGGTGGAGAAAAGATAGAAGGCAATATGTGCAGCACGTTGTCCTGGTACGGTGTGCTGTACAGCGACTCCATCGTCTGCAACAGCGCCTCCTGCGTGTGCCGCTCTTTCGGCGCGTCACCGACGTTGATAGAGCGCGACACTAATTCGTTGGCCGAGGTGCGTGTGATTCGGTGCTCCGCCGCGTAGAGGGTGATGCCGCGCATGTTCGTCTCCAGCACATAGGTGCCGGAGGGGGACACCTCCACGATGCGCTTGCGGGCCTCCGGGTACTTTTCCAGGTCCTTCTCATGGACTTTGAGCAGCATACCGACGTGGTCAAAGCGGTTCTCTGTTTTGGTCAGCAGGCACAGTGCGATGCCTAGCGGGTCTTTCATGGCGAGACACTTCCGGTTCATGAAGAGTACATCGCCGGAGCGGATGTGCTCGAAAGAGGAGGCGAGCGTCGCGTCGCCCATCTTTGACGTGGAAAACAAAAGCGAGGGTGCCCAAGGAATGCTGTTTTGGCAGCGTAGGTGTGCTCAGAGGTGTTGCGAGCACTGGAAGATGATTGTCTCCGCTGTGATCGATTGAAGTTGTAGAGCAGAGAAAGAGATTTTAAGAGAAAAAGGAGTAAGCCAACACAAACTGTCAAGACCCCTGTTGCCGCCATCTTGAGCGAGAACGACAGGGAGCCATACTCCGAGAGAGAGAGAGAGAGGAAGAAAGAGCGAGCGCAAACCAAGTACAGAAAAAAGAATAAACGAGAACTTCTTTTTAGCGGCGCAAACGTACTCGCCATTACGATTAGGACGGCAGGGGCCATCGAGATAAACGGTCATCCGATTTATCTGATATTTCCATTTTCTTTTTTGTTTTCTTGACCAACAAACAGCACGACGGTGAGAAGGCAAAAAGAGTGAAAAAGGGAGGAAACAACGAGAGAGCAGAGACGCGGGAAAAAGGTTTTCGGTGTCTAGTACGCACCCGCATAGGCCAAAGCACAAGTTGCGTCGTACTTTGGGGTGCCGCTACATGATTTGTATTTGGTGACCCCATTGTACGGCTAAGCAAATGTCCTCGTGCAGACGAACAAGATTCTGCTTGGTGCTTCGTTCGAGCACCATTGCCCGTCCGCTTGCCAGCAACGCGCGGTTCTCCACCGCGGCGGCGAAGTAGATGCGGTTGACCGGCACACACTGACTCAGCACCGAGGTGACCGCCGCGCACGCCCCACGGCTGCCTGCTCCGCCAAACTTGTCCATCTTCGTGACGACCACAAATGGAGACACGTCGTTCATGAGGGCCCGCAGGGAGGAGATGAGGTTTTTGGTGTACAAGATGCGTGCGGCCACGTCATCGGTAGGTCGATAGCGATTGCGCCACAGCAGCACACTCATCCATCCTTCATCTTCGATGAGGTCAGTGGCGGGAATAACAATGACGCACTGATGCGCCTTGTTCGCTGCGATTGGCGTCAAGTCAGCCACCGCGCTCAACGTAAGGGCTTTGGGACCGAGCAGCTTCGTTTTCCACGGCATCCCCTCCGTCAGCTTCTCGAGAATCACCTCACTTTCGGCCGTGTACAGCCGGCCAGGGGTATCGATGCAGAGCCACGTTGGTTCCCGAGGGTGATTGGGGAAGGGCTCCACGGTGGTCGTACCGTAGAAACCGGAGATGCCCACAGGAGCGGCCGGCCACCGCGTCGTGTTCGTCACGGCGGCTCGGTAGGTGTTGATGAAGAGCGACTTGCCGACTTGCGGGGCTCCCAGCACGAGGATGTTCATCGTGTTGTGCGTTTCCAGCACCTGCGGTGTGAAGGCGAAGGAGCCGCCGCGACTGCTGCCGGGCGACTGTGCGCGCGGTGTATTTAGGGCCGGGTCATTGACGGAGGAGCACACGCTGCTGCGATGCTGCAGCTGCTGGAGGCTCATCGCTCGCTGGTGAACTGCCTGCACGGTTAGCCGCTGAGGCGTGCCAACGCCCAGCATCATCGGGATTTTTGCTGCGCGTGCGGCAGCCCCGGAGGTGAATCCGCGAGAGCTGGTGACGACGGCAGCGCCAGAGGAGCAACGATGCGCCGGTGCCGCCGTGGCCGGTACGCGGTTAGGTGGTGATTCCAGCGAAGGAGGTGGGGACGCGATGGAAGGCTTCGAAGCGGGTGTGGGGGAGTAGGAGCTAGAGCGGCTGCTGGTGCTCGCACTCACCCGATCATCGTCCGAGCCCAACTCCACGGCGGCACGTTTCGCTGTGCTGAGGCCCCAGAGAGGCATTTTTCCGACGGTGGACTGAAAACAAACCGAGAAACACCACTACAACGGAGAAGGAGTTGACAAGGGTGCGGTTGTTCCGTCAATGCGGTGGCCCCGTTTGTGTAGCGCACGTAAAGATTAACGTAAGAAAGCGTGTTTGGCGCAGCGCACACACAACACATTTGCCCCAAAGTGGCTCTGATCGTCGCCTTTGCGTTTGATAATTTGTTGATGTTATTTTCCGTCTGACCTGTAAAGTCCAGCAAAAGTACGAGTATATATTTAAACAGATCTAAGTTTGCTCTCTCTTTTTTGTTGCAACGGCGATAGCGCACTGCTCTACGTATATATATATAGAGAGATGCCTCACAGCACCACGCCTCTACGCTTACTGAGAATATGAACGCGCCCTGACTTCAGAAGCTGCACCGTTTTTGTGTTGTTGCTGTTCGCTGGCCGGCTAACAATATATATTTCAAGTCGTGCTGAAATGGGCCTGCCGAACACGGCGCAAGGAAGCGACAGACGCGACTCCGACAAAAGAAGAGGAAAGTGAGGGAAGAGAAGAGGGGAGAGGAAAAGATGTGTTTGGCTTTAGAAAAAAAAAAGTGAAGCAAGGCGGCAACAACGTGAATGACGAAGAAATCTGCCAGGCATGAGAGAGAGAGAGAGCTACAACAATCGCAGGTAATTGCAACGTGAGATACAGAATACAAAAGCTGGCGTGGACAAGCAGCTTTACTGCTTGCACCTCGTTGATTCTCTGCACATGGGCGTGTTACGGTCTGGTTCGTGGAAAAGCGCTATTTGTGCGGCAAAGCAGGAAAAAATGCCCAACAGTGGCACCGAAGGAAACGCAAAACGACCTCTTTGTCCCGCCCCCACACAAAAGAAAACGGTGAACCGAAAAGACGAGCCCAATCAAAGGAAAACAGAATAGAACGACGGTCATGACGGAGGCCCTACGTTGTCGTCGCCTTCCGTTGCCTCCGCGCAGGCAGTCATTTTTCCACGGTGCTGCAGTTCCTCCATGATCCGCTCAACTACCACGTTGTGTAGAAAGGCGGAGAGTTCAAGGTTGTCGCCAACAGCGCGGCAGCGAGCCACGTAGACGCTGGGCGCCGTGGCGGCGCAGTCGCCGCACGTGCTGTTCTCTTCCCGGGCAGCGCACATCACAGATACGCACTCCGTCGTGTACACCGGCCGAAGATGCACGGCGGTCTCGTTGTACTCCGCGCAGACCGTCGAGGCGGATCTGTCGAGGGAGTCGAGCACAAAGCCGAGAAGGACCGCACCCGCTGAGATCTGGAAAGCCGGATCGAGGAAGTGGCGGAAGTGCGCGAGACGCAGCCGCTCGCCCTCCACAATGACCACCTTCCCCTCTCGCATCGCCTTGTCCACTTCTGCATTTACCGCTGCCACGACATGCGCCTCCGCCCTGTGCGACGCTGAGAGTTCCGAAGTTGCTGCGACGGCGTTTACAGGAAGCCGCTTCAACAAAAGGTCGTCAATGGCGGCATTGATGTCGTGCAGCACCTCCGTGTTGATGATCGTACTGCAGTTTAGGCGTGCACTGAGGAGGTGAGCGAGGGTTGTCTTCCCACGGCATGCAGGGCCGGCAATGAGCAGCACCAGTGGAATGCGCTCCGTGTGGAACTGTGTGACAACTGGAAACAGTCGCGTGTGCGCCTCGGAGAAGCCAAAGGCAGTAATCGCCGATTGCAGGTGGGCTTCCAGTTCGTCTTGCGTGATGCTGGTTTGCTCTCCGTTCACAAAGTGCTTCTTCACCGCCAGACTGATGCGCACCGCGGCGTCTTCTGGGATGCGGCAGAACATGAGCATTCTGGAGAGGAGGAAGCGGGAGAGAATGTAATAGTGAGCGCTGCTCAGGTGCACCTTGAGCTTGACGACATCGTATTTGGAGCTCATGATGACGATCAACGCGCAAGAAGGTGCGTCGTTGTGGTTCGCCTGGAAAAGGGAGGCACAGTGAAAAGACCAACGAAGAAGGAAGGAAGGGAAGTGCGAGGGATACAATTCAAGAAGAAGGGCACAAACCCAACCAACCAACCAAACAGACGAAAGGCACTCATTTCGCACGTGTCAACAAAGTCAGTTGGCCGCTGAACAGCAGCAGTAGTGCACACGCACCCCCACGCGGTGCGGTTTGCACGCCTAGACGAAACCGGCACAGCGTGCACTAGCAATTCTCCCCCACACGCATCAGGCAAAGTGGAAAGGCTCCCTTGACAGAAGGAAAGGATACACAGCTCATAAAATAATTAGTGGCTGCGTTTAATAAGAAGATAGGGAGTAGCGCAAACTTGGGATTGGGGAGTAGACCTTCGTTGATTGATCGCATCGCATCGCGAGCTCCCAGTGGGCAAGCCACTCACCGCAATGCCTGAAAAAAACGTATTGCGCGAGAAGGAAGTGAGAGACAAGAGAGACAATACACGTGGCAGAAGAGAGCTAACGCGAAACCAGCACGACGTACGGACATCGTCCAGCCCATCATCTGTACACACTCCTCCTGCTGACTTCAAGCTGTTCTGGCTTCCCACTCTCTCTCGTCTTTTTCTGTGCGGGGGGCAGAACGCGTCCCCCTTCGAAAAAACAAAGTTGTTTATCACTTCTTATTTCAAAGATGCTGTGCTTCGTAGACGCGCTTCAAAAATTCCTTCGAAAGAGGGGAAAGTGCTTTAACACGGAACGAAGATGAGACTCAAAAAAGAAAAAGATTAGATTCTGTTTCATTGGCGATCGATTGGACACTCTACAGCTGACAGGCATTTCACTGTTATTCCCTCCCTTTTTTTTTCCAGGGAGATTTATATCTGCTTGAGGACGAGTAATCCTTTCGAGATGTCAGAGATGCCCATTTAAACACAACAGCAAGCAGCACGGATTGGTTCACAGAAATACATGCGAAGTCAAGTCTCGACCGACACTCTGCCAAATAGAGCGTGGCACTTTATGGAGAGAGCGAAAACAGAAGAGACATAACACGTATTGCTACTGCAGAGATTCAATTGGGATTTCAAGACGATATATATATGTGAAGGCCAAGCACGAAAATAAAAAGATGAAAAGAAAAGGCAGTAATAAAAAATAGCGTAAACAGCTTCTGATATGTACTCAACGCCATGTGGGTGTTTCGTAAAACAGAGGCAAAATACGCACACACAAAGAAGAAGAGGAACGAAAAACGGTAAATAGGTTACAACAGCAGGTCGAAACGACAGCTGTTGAACGCCCGTTTGTTGTTCCACATCTACAGGAAGTTGTGTTCAAGTGAATGACATCAACCAGAGGGTTTTTAAAAAAAAGAAAGGGCTTAATTGAAGAGACGCTCGGTCGACATATTCGTAGAACACCAGTGGTTGGGATACAAAGAAACACAAATGATAATAATAACTCATTTTTTTTGAGGGAAAAGAAAAGAACGCTGATCCAAGTAGAACTGATGAAGGAGTTAAGTAAGCTCGCCTGCTTTACTTTCGGATCAGGCAGCTACACGTATTCCTCCTTTAAAAAACAAAGCAATACATTTAATTTATAAATTCACTCACGGTCTCCAAGCCGTTAATAAAGGTCGTAGAGCTCACTAGTAATTTTGATTTGGAAACTTGAGAGAAGACAGCCGCATACAGCTCTGTAACAGCGTTGAATGGGTCATTTTTTTTGGGGTTTCCTCCTCTCCTTTTCCTTTACGTTAAAAGGGAGAAGTATCCACGAGCGCTACTCACACAGCGCACTTTAACGTTACCAATCCCTTAAAGCAATTTGCTTCAAGCAACCATTACTACAAGCTTTTTAGCGAACGCGTGTCCAACGAGTATTTCTGTTGCGCCATGCACCACAGGAAAGCGCAAAAGACCTTTTTTTGGCGTCGCGTCCGTCGAGAACACTTTTTTCCTTCGATTGAAAATTTGACAATGAAAAAAAAAACGATTTGTAACAGCCGATTTGTTAATTGTAAACTCAAAGAAAAAAACAAGAGAAAAATAAAACAACACGTCTCGTTAATAGACAGAGAGGAAGCAGAGTTGAATTGAATTCCAGATAGAGCTGCAGCAATGTCAGGCCGACTCCTCGCCATCCACATGCGGCACAGCACACACATACGCCATCTTCCTGAGTTGATCGGTAATTTCAGTTGTAGTTTATTCGACCATACGCCGTCGAGAGAAATCAAAAAAGAGGAGAGAAGGCTTTTCATCTAGATAAAACGCGTACAACGGTGCTGAAAGGAAGAAGATTTTGTGGTGTGACACAGATCCGCACCACAAGCTTCTGCCACGGTTCACTCCACGCGACCGGACTTGTGCGGCCGATCGTCGACTGAGACACGCGAGCGCTGCTCCGTCCCGTTCCACTCGGCACGCGTGGGAGAGGCAGCTGTGTCCGCCTCCGCGTGCTGTACGTCCATGTCGGCGTCAGGAAAAATGACCTCCTCAACCTCATCGCCGTTCTCGTCCAACGTGGCGCAGATGCGAGAGGCGGGCAGCAGCAAAAAGGCCAGCGGCACAATGAACAGAGGAAGCACAATGTGGCCGGCGATCAGCAGCCACGGCGCGTTGTCGTAGTCGCACTGGCCTCTCGTCACCACGGGCCAGATCGTCTCCATCAGCAGGTAGCCCAGGGAAGACGAGGTCGACGAACCCACGCGAGCAACGGCACTCAGTAGCGCCAGCACCATCGACTCGGAGCCGCGGGGCGCCACGCGAGACATCAACAGCATTGCCGGCATCGAAATAAGCATGTTCATTGTGGAGTAGATGACGCCTTCGCCCAGGATGTACGTGGCGTGGTCAGGGATGCCGATGTACATATTCCACCGCTCCACAATGATCAGGTCGAACATTGAAATGAGGGGAATTATGATGGCCGACGATCCCATGATGGCGCGGTAGCTCAAGTTCTGGCAGCAGTGGGCAAAGATGGAGATGCCGATAATACTGCACACGTTGCCGATGATGCCGTTCATGAGGTTGTAGAAGGTGAAGTTGAAGTGCGGACCATCGGGCAAGCACTTGGGCTTGGCGACGTAAAAGGTGTTCAGCACGCCGGGAAGCTGGAGGTAAAAAATGTTGAACAGGTAGATGAAGGTACCGGCCTTGGCGACAATCAGCGGGAGCATGAAGAAGCCAAAGCCGCACACGGCAATGGTCATCGCCACGCACGCCCACATCATATCCCAACGAGTGCCGAGAATCGTCACGACGGCCGTTGCGACCACGGCAGCCGTGTTCAGGCAGCAGTAGATGATGATGAGCCAGTTGCGGGTCACGACCTCCTTGTTTATCTCGATGACCCCCCACAGCACACTGTCCACCTCCGGCTCCACGAAGCCCGCCAAGTCTTCCTCGTCTTCCCCCTCCGGCACCGCCTTCACGAGCTCTTTCTTGTCGTCGAAGTCAAGATCGGCGTCGTGCTGCTTCTGCCCGGGCGCTCGCTCCTCGCGCCTCTTGATGATGTAGTCGGCCTTCGCGTCCTCCACGCGAGCAACGCGGTTTGGCTGCTCACCAAACACGTTAAAGATGAACAGCGTACTGAGGAAGAAGAGGAGACCCGCGGCGATGTAAATACCAACCTGTGTGACGTTGTGATCAGTCAACGAGCCCTGCACGGCGGCAGCGAGCATGGCGCCGAACAAGGCGCAGCCCCACGCCCAGCTCACCAGGGCCGCACCACTCGCGGGGTTGCGACGGATGCGCCGACTGTAGATGGCCGATGCGAAGGTGTCCACGTTTGCCAAAAACAGCGCGGTCAAAAACATGAACGCAGCAGCCGGCTTCGCGCTGGATTCCTTCGCAGGCAGCAGGCCGTAGAGCAGGCCGAAGACGCCGCAGCCAAGGGTGCACACCACGCAGTACCACCGCTTCGTGTAGCCGAAGAGGGCAAACGTGTCGGCGATCGCCGTGAAGGAATTCACTGACCAGCCCAGCGCGTACAGAGTCGACAGGCGCTGATACATGGCACCCGACAGACCGTAGCGGCGCGTCAACATCGGTTGAATGGAGAAGCGCATGAAGCCGTGTGCGAGACCCTTCGCGAAGACACGCTCAAGACCAATCGAGACAACAAGGCGGGGGCTGTAGGCCTTGAGAACGAGACCCAGGACGGGCACATCCTCCAGGAACGGCATGTGGTTGAACAGCTTCTGCGAGAGTGGATGCACACCCGTCTGCGTCTCGACCTCGCCGTTTGACTTCAACTCGAGGAAGTCGATCTTGTCGTCCGCCGCGGCTTCCTGTTTGTTGCCCTTCGATTAGAGAGGCATCGTGTAGAGGACCTGCAGAGCCAAGACAAAGGGAAAAACAAGGGCAGAGAACGACTCTTCAGCGTCACAATGATGGCACTTCGACCGAAGAAAGAGGAGGGAGTTGATGTTTTTTTTTTAGCTTGAAGAGTTTATCGCAACCACTGCGCTGTCACAGAGATTTTATTGCTATTAAACAAAAAAGAAAGGAAAAAAAGCAATGGAATTTGTATATGCAGTATTGCAGGAAAGTAAATTAGTTAACTCAAAGCGCCCCAACTATCCAGAACGAGAACGTAGATGATGGTACGTAGAAAGCACCGGTCACGGTGAAAGCGGTGACACGAGGAAGTCGTTGAGGATGCATCGCCAGTACGAGATTGTCGAAGACAAATAGCCAAAAAAAAAACGACAACTACGGATGCTGAAGAAGCAACGGAAAGAAGCGGTAGCAGCCGAGCTGCTCGCCAGAGCACAGACGAACCGATGGGACCCATGGCGAGTCGGGCGTAAAAAGCGTCAACGCGCGATGGCAGCAAATGCGAATCGAGACACGGTGATGCGAGGTCATGAGAACGACGATGTGTAATTAAACCGCCACATCGTCAGCTTGTTGATATTATTGTTTGAAATATAATGAGAAGTAAGAACAGAAGGACCGTTTGCAGGCATGATGCAGCAACTGCGGGTCTTTTCCGTTTTACCCAACGCAGCTATAAATACTCGAGTTCCATCTCTTTCACGGTAAGTGGGTGTACATCAAAAGAGTCGCTCTGTGCGGGTTTGCCGCGATGACGCATTGCCGTGCGGTAGACCAGTGAAACTCATAACGATAACAAGAGAAGAAGAGAAGCAAAGAAGAAAACACGCTTTCACACAGACACACATAAAGGTGTTGCGTTGCCAGTTATCTAAGAAGTAGAGTTACTCTCCCTCTCATTTTACCAGTTGATGAAAAGAAAGAAAAAGGTTGAGACTCCATGTCATAGGAGAAGCGAAGGCGTGCCGTTCTTTAAAACCGTAACGCGCCGACCACGCGCCAGCACGACAACTGACGGCGAGACTGCCTCACGGAACCGCCTTGTCGTCCAACAGAGTTTTGCACGCCTCCGCGGACTGACAGGAAGCGAACACGATCGCTTTCGGCAGACTCGCAAACAGGTTCGTTATGTGATGCTCCGCCGGATGGCTGTACACCCACACCGGGTGCGACGCACTCAGCTTCGTCAACGTGCTCAGGAACTCCTCGCGGAAGCACTGTGTCTCCGCCGCGGAACGCCGGCTCGGTCCGCTGTTCTCCAACGACCCGAACGTCACCATCAACGGCGCAGCCTTCGGCTCGGCCCCCTTGTTCCCCAGAGTCTCAGCCCACGCACGCTGCAGCGCCACCAGCTCGAAGTCGTTGTACCACACCGACGGGCTCGCCGCGACGAACTTGCAGAAGCTGTGCGGGTGCTGCAGATAGGTGTGCATCACGAAGAGCCCGCCCAGCGAGTGCCCAAAGAGGGACTGCTGCTGTGCGTCCACTGGGAAGCGCTGCTGCACTTGAGGCTTGAGGTCGCGCTCGATGAAGTCGAAGAAGTCCGACGCGCGACCAAATTCAAACGGAGAGGCTTTCCGCTGCGCTGCCGTCGGCACCGGCGTGAAGTCACGGGCGCGCTGCGTCTCGTGGAAGGTGCTGTTATCGGGGTAGCCGATGGCGACGATCAGCACCGGCCGCATGTCGGGGTGAAGTCTGCGCGGGTTCGCGATCAGCGCTGCAATGTCACACGCGCTGTGGAAGAGGGCGTTGCCATCGAGGCAGAAAAGCGCCGGGAATCCGCCCTCCGGTGGCGTCTGGCACGGCGCGAAGGTTTGGATCAAATACGACTCACTCTGGCGAGAGCTGCTCACCGTGAACTGTGTGCAGTGCGACCAGCCTCGCTCCGCTGGGGTGCTCGACGCCATGCGTGGTGCGGATGTGTGCGAATGGGATTAGATAGCAAAAGTGTGTTGGTGAACTGCGTGAGTGCAGTAGCACAAGAGAGGGAGCGCAAAAGGAGGAGGGGGAGCGACACCGAGTAATAGGAGAATAAGATAGAGAGACGAGGAGTCAGCAGCGGACCAGTGCTTTACACATCCATACGAAGGCTCACACAGGAAGGGCACAAAGAACGCGAGAAAGAAGGCGACAGTTTCGCAGTGAAAAGACGCACAGCAACACACAGCCACAACAACAAAAACTTAACGGTTGAGCACAACGTTTTGAACTCTGCTGCGAGGTCTTCCGTTGAGCTCATTAGTCCCCTCTTGATCGAGTTGTCGAGCAGTGGGGGACACGGAAAAAGAAAAAACCTTCTCTTCCCTTTTCTGGCGTTGATGCTTCACTTCAAAACACCAAAGGCGCAAAGCGAGGCATCGTCTTTCACTGGCGCAGTGACCAAAGTAGCGTCACAGATGACTCTGCTTCTTCTCCTTAGGGACGTGTAGTGTTTCATGAAACACCAGGTGATAGGAAACCCGTCAAAATAGAAGGAGAAATATTTTTTACAGCCGTTGACATAGTGGTATCGCTCTTCCTTCACAACTCTTCTTTATCTGTGTGTGTGTGGATAACGCAATGAAGTTCGAGCCTCCCACGTTGCGTAGCTGACCAAAGAAAGAAACGTTTCATATTCCCTTAAAAACAGAACGAAGAAATAAAGATAGGAAACAAATAACCAAAAAAAAATTGAGGCGAAGCGGAAATCAGAAAAACGGAGAAGCATGGGAAAAAAAGGTTCTGCTGCGAGTGTTGCTGTCTTGACTATCAAAATCTGGAGTAAACGATTGTGTCGCACTTACATGCCAGTGAACCCATTACTGTACGTGTTCGGACTAACGGGACATCGATTCCTAGCATTCCATCGTGAATTCACGTTAAAAAAAAAAACATAATAGCATTACCAGTAGAATATACCCATCAGTTTGTTCGAAGAAGCAAATAGGGGAGTTGGGTGGTGACGGAGACAGAGGGAGCGAAAAAGACTGCACGCGTGAGAGTAAACTGGTCACTCCTAGTGCGTTTTAATACACTCTTTCGTTGATTGAATCGCGTCTTGAATACGTATGTAGATAAGAAACCATTGAAAGAAGAAAAGTTGAATTATTTTTTTCGCGTTGTAGAAGCGGTACGTCAAGACAAAGGTGAAAACACCTTCATAGAGAAGTAGGAGCACCTCTGCGTTTCCAGGCGTTGTGCCAGGAGCAGCAAACACGATCTTTCGCGTGATGGCTTACTGCAGCAGGCTAGGAGGCAATAGTGATGATGGAGAAAAAGAGCTACACGGGTACATCCCACATCGTCGTCTTTCGAGAACGCCTGGAAACGTGTGAAACCGGTGTTTCCACCTCAAAACCACCGTGAGCTCCTTCAACTCCTAATTTGCCAACGTCGCAGAAGGCTCGGAAAATAATTACGGGGAAAACTGGCCAAAAAAACAGACAAGGAAAAAATGAGACGTGAAAGGGAAAAAACGCTTCACTGAATGGGTGAAATCAGCAAACACGAAATACGTGCGGAGAGACGGAATCTTACACTCGCGGAGCTGCGAGAAGAACGAGGGACGCGAAGACAGGGAAAAAAAAAGAAAGTTCATTACAAACGTAACGAACAAACAGAGAACAAAGAAGTGGATGGGAAAAGTGATCTCTTCTTCCGCTGAGGAGGGGAGAAAATAGAAAAGCAACAACAATTGGAAGACGGCATTCTTTTAAAAACATATAGGCAGTCTTTCGTTGTTTGTTAGACCAGAAAAGAAAACACAACCAAAAAGGAACTGCTTCTAAAGAAAACTTGCAATACTTTACCTCAACTGCTAGTGCAATGGTCCTTTCGTTGTCGTTCTTGGTTTTGCTTGTACCATTATATAATTAGCTGCGTAGCTATCAGAGGAACGGCAAAGGAAAAGTGTAAAAAAAACCGATGAAAAAGGTCTGCATTAAAAGACTCACAGAAAAAGTTCATCTTTTGGCTTTAATTAATAAAGAGAGAGAAGACATAGCTTGAGACCCACAACTAATGGGAATGGAATAACAGCACAGTAAGCTGTCTTTCCGTAACAGATTTTTTGTGAACGAGCTTGAAACCGAGCAAAAAAAAAGGGATTGAGAAGAAACTTAAAAGGAAAGAAAGAAACCGTTCGAGATTGTTATGAGGAGACAACGCTGTCCGAAACGGCCCAGCTGCTTATCCGCTTTCGTTGTCGGTGAGTGAACCACCGTGGAGAATCGAGTGCACGCACGCACTACATCGCATTGTGCTCGCGGCGGCCCACGAACGGGTCACCAGCGGACACGTGCGACGACGAGTGCGACGACGAGTGTGAAGACGAGTGCGAAGAGTGGCTCGAGTGGGAGGAAGTGCGGAAGATGCTGGAGCCCTCGCTCGTGTCGTCGTCGCTGCGCGACACCTTCACCTCCTCCACCTCATCGCCGTTCTCATCCAGCGTGGCGGACACACGCGAAGAAGGCAGCAGCAAAAAGGCCAGCGGCAGAATCAGAAGAGGCGCTCCGATGTGACCGGCGATCACCAGCCACGGCGCGTTGTGGTAGTCGCAGTTGCCCTTCGTCTTGATCGGCCAGATCGTCTCCAGCAACAGGTAGCCGATAGCAGAGGACGTGGATTTGCCAAGGTGTGCAATGCCACCCAGCAGTGCCAGCACCATCGCCTCCGAGCCGCGGGGCGCCACGCGAGACATCAGCAAGAAAGTTGGCATGCGAACCAGCATATCTACCAGTTCAAAGATGATCGCATCACCAAAGATGTACATGGCGTGGTCAGGGATGCCGATGTACATATTCCACCGCTCCACAATGATCAGGTCGAACATTGAAATGAGGGGAATTATGATGGCCGACGATCCCATGATGGCGCGGTAGCTCAAGTTCTGGCAGCAGTGGGCAAAGATGGAGATGCCGATAATACTGCACACGTTGCCGATGATGCCGTTCATGAGGTTGTAGAAGGTGAAGTTGAAGTGCGGACCATCGGGCAAGCACTTGGGCTTGGCGACGTAAAAGGTGTTCAGCACGCCGGGAAGCTGGAGGTAAAAAATGTTGAACAGGTAGATGAAGGTACCGGCCTTGGCGACAATCAGCGGGAGCATGAAGAAGCCAAAGCCGCACACGGCAATGGTCATCGCCACGCACGCCCACATCATATCCCAACGAGTGCCGAGAATCGTCACGACGGCCGTTGCGACCACGGCAGCCGTGTTCAGGCAGCAGTAGATGATGATGAGCCAGTTGCGGGTCACGACCTCCTTGTTTATCTCGATGACCCCCCACAGAACACTGTCCACCTCCGGCTCCACGAAGCCCTCCAGGTCGTCTTCCTCTTCATTTTTCAACACATAGGGTGCAAGCGAGGCCTCCCTGCCCTCCGTGAAGGCTGGCTCCTTCGGCGCGGTCGGCTTCTTGGCATGCTCCTCCAGCTGCTGCGCCTCACGCTCCTCGCGCTTCTTGATGATGTAGTCCGCCCTGGCGTCTTGGAGGCGAGCAACACGGTTCGGCTTCTCATCGAAAACGTTGAAGATGAAAAGGAAGGAGAGGCTGAACAGGATCCCCGCAACGATGTAAACACCAACCTGCGTGACGTTGTGATCGGACAGCGGACCTTGCACGGCAGCAGCGATCATGGCACCCAACTTCGCAGCTCCCCAACCCCAACTGACAAGAGCGGGGCCGCGCTCAGGGCTGACACGGATGCGACGACTGTAGATGGCCTGCGCGAAAGTGTCCACGTTTGCCAAAAACAGCGCGGTCAAAAACATGAAACCGGCGGCTGCCTTCGCGCTGGATTCCTTCGCAGGCAGCAGTGCGTAGAGCAGCGCAAAAACACCACAACCGATAGCGCAGAAGAGAGAGTACCACCGCTTCGTGTAGCCGAATAGGGCAAACGTGTCGGCGATCGCCGTGAAGAAGGAATTCACTGACCATCCAAGTTCGTAGAGGGAAGAGAGGCGTTGGTACGGGGCACCCGATAATCCATAGCGATTCGTCAACATGGGCTGAACGGAGAGTCGCATGAAGCCGTGCGCAACACCTTTCACGCACAGCCGTTCCACAAAGACGGCAATCACGAGGTGAGGGCTGTAGGCCTTGAGAACGAGACCCAGGACGGGGATATCTTGCAGGATAGGACATGCCTTGAAGAGCTTCCACGTACCGGGGTGGATGTCCTCCGGCCGCGAGTCCACCGACGCGTCATCCGTCGCGCGTTCCTTGCTGTGCTCCTTCGACCCGAACTCTCCGCTGTCGGAGGTCTTTTCCGGTTGGGGGTTCGCCATGGTCTCGTGAGGAAGAGCGCTTTGGGGTGACGGAGTTGCGAAGGCGTCGGCAAAAGAAGAGAAAAAAAGGTCTGCCAAAGAACGATGTTAATCTCCGCGTTTTTGGTATCGCTTCGATGAATCACCGACCTTTGGGAGCTGTTTTAGTTACGCTTGTGTTGAGAGCACTCACAGAAAAGGGGCTTCTTGTTAACTCTGTGTGCAGTTGAAAGGGGCATGACGGCAACGCAGCGGTTTTGAGCACGGCGATCGAGAAGAAGGAACGGAGGAGAAAAATAAGAGTAAAGGACCCACTACCGACCCGTCGTGTTGAGTCTCTCCGCCGCTGAAAGACGGCAGCACAACAACACGTAGAGGCGCATCTTCCTCAGGCGGACGCCGGAGGAAAGAAAGATGAGAAAATAAAAGCGTTACCTGTGAAGTACCAAGGGACTCTATTCATAGATGAGTTGTTCAATAGTTTCCGTGTTCTTCCTGATGGCCCGTTTGCTTTGTGGAATCTGGCATTTCCCCTCTCGCCTGGGTGGCGTTTTTCTGTTTGGTGTGCTCTGCAGACATCAATATATATGAAGAGGGATAACAGGTACGTTTGGCGTTATGTGAATGCCGGCGTGATGAGGCAGTTCGTAAAGAAAACGACACCCAGAAAGACACGGGAACACGGCAAACGGTTTGTTCATCGTTTTTAATCCTTTTTGTTTTTCCACCATGGACAAAACCTTCGGTTAAAAAACAAAACAATTAAAATAGAAAAAAGCAACAGAATATTGAGAAGACTCCGCGCGCTTCCAGCTCCGAAGGATATATGGATTCAACTAGGCTTATCCAAACAGCACAAGATGAGAAACACATAACGTATCACGTTCATTTGCATGTTACCATCGCAAAATCGACAACCGTTACGATGTCTCGCTTCGATCCAGTAAAGTTGCGAAAGCGATGAATCACGAAGCGTCCGGAGAGGTACGTTTTGTTCTTCTTCTTTTGATTCTTCTAGTAGAATTAATGCGAAGGTTTTTTTTAGATATGTTCGTTTGGGTGCTTGTGTGTGTGTGTGTCTTTGAAGTCAGGTACCCATGAAAACAGCTCTCACACACGATATCGATAGTTTTTCAACAAGACCTCGAACTAGTGAAAAAAAAAAGAAAACCAACTGAAGAAAGGAAATGATATCGAGGAAGAGCACTCAAAACAGAAACCCGAGGATACGGAAAGGCGACGATCGCTTCTTATTGGAGTCAATGTGGAAGACACGCGTCACCATGTTGTACGGGATGAGTCGGGCCTCACGTTATTTGGTCCCTCTGTTGTTGGCGTCGTCGTGAGGGTCGTCTGCGGTTGTGGAGGACAGCTCCGAAAACACCACTTCCTTCACCTTCTTCCCTGACTGATCGATATTGTCGCAGATGCGCGAGGCTGGGAGCAGCATGTATGCGAGAGGGAAAATGAAAATCGGCGCAACGATGTGTCCGGCGATGAGGAGCCACGGTGCGTTGTGGTAGTCGCACTCGCCCTTCGTCACCACGGGCCAAATCGTGTCCATCAATATGTAGCCAATCGCAGAGGAGGTGGAAGTGCTGAGGTGGTAGATACTAGCCAGCAGCGCAAACACCATCGACTCGGAGCCGCGGGGGGCGATGCGGCACATCAGCATCATCGTCGGCATGTTCAGCAGCATCTCCACCAAGTCCAAGATGATCGCATCGCCAAAGATGTACATGGCGTGGTCAGGGATGCCGATGTGCGTGTTCCACCGCTTAACGATGATCAGGTCGGTCATCGAGGCGAGGGGGAGCAATATAGCAGAAAGACTCATCACAAAGCGATAGCTGCGTTTTGGGCAGAGATGGGTGAAGGCGGCGGCCCCGGCGAGACTCGCGATGTTGCCCAGAATGCCGTTCATGCAGTTGTAGAAGGTGTAGCTGAAATGCGGGCCGTCAGGGAGACAGGAGGGCTTCGCGACGTAGAAGGTGTTCAGCACGCCTGGCAGGTTCAGGTAGAGAATGCTGTTGAAGTACATGAACACAACCGCTTTGGAAATCGTCAGCGGCAGGGTAAAGAAGGCGCTGCCGCACACCACGACGGCCACTACCGCAGCGGAGTACAGAACGTCCCACCGCGAACCGAGAATGTTCACCACAGCGTTCACTACCACGCCGAGCGTGAGAATGAGGCAGAAGACCGCCATCTTCCACTGACGCGTAATGATGTCGCGGTTTACCTCGATCACGCCACACAGGTACGAATCGACGTGCGGCGGCGTGAAGCCCTTCGGCAAGACCGCCGCCGTCTGCTGCTGCTGCTGCTGCTGCTGCAACTGAGCACCGTCGCCGTCATCGTTTTCTCCCTCGATGATGCCGTTGTCCTCGGCGTCAACGCACCCACTCACTTCGAGGCGGCCTCCTTTCTCGTCCTTCTCACCGGGCGCCTTCGCGTCGGGTGAGGCCAACTCCGCGGCGTGCTGCAGGAACTCAATTCGCGCGTCCTCGTTTCGGGCAACACTGTTGCGGCGTTCCTCCATCAGATTGAAAATAAACAACATCGACGACAGGAACATGATTGCGGAGGTGATGTACACACCGATGTGCGTGAGGCCGCTGTCGGACAGCGGGCCCTGAACCACGTTGGAGATCATGATGCCGACCTTGGCCGTGCCCCACATCCAACTGACGAGGGCGGGGCCAGCGGAGGGGCGCCGGCGGATTTGCTCACTGTAGAGCGCCACCGCAAAGACGTCGATGTTGCTCATGAAGAGGGCCGTCACAAACATGAAAGCGGCAGCGGGCTTTGCACTCGACTCGTTGGCGGGCAGCAACGCGTACAGCAGGGCGAACACACCACCGCCCACTGCGGACACGACGCTGTACCACCGTTTAGTGTAGCCGCAAAAGGCGAGCGTGTCGGCGACCACGGTAATAAAAGCATTGATGGCCCAGCCCAACGTGTACAGCGTGGACAGACGCTGGTACATGGTGCCGGTCAGCCCGTAGCGGCCTGTCAGCATAGGCTGAATCGAGAGTCGCATGAGGCCATTGGCGAGGCCCATCTCAAACAAACGCTGCGCACAGATGGCGAAAACAAACTTCGGATGAAATGACCGGATAGTGATGTTGAAGATGGGGATGTAGCCCAGGAACGGCGCGACACGAAGAACGCGGGCCGAGACGGGATGCACGTACTCGGCAACGGGAGCCGTGTCCGCCTTCGGCTCCGGCGTTGTCTTGTACTTCTCGGACATTATAAGCACAGTAAAGAGAAGCAAGGAGCAAAATAGAACAGGCAAACAAAGGAAGGGCTTACGTTCAACGCGTTCTCACGCTCGTTGTGAAGCTGTACGTATGTGGGTGCTGTGGACTGCGGAGATATGGAATAATAATAAAAAGGGCCCAACCTTTGAGTACGAGGCGAAGGAGGTAGAATGAAGCACGTATGAAAGAGTTAGCATTCCTGCCGAGAAGAGCAGCGTGTAGCTGACAACGAGTTGTAACTGTTGTACGTTACACTGCCGCAGACCACCGGACGATGGCCGTTCGTCGGAGTGCAGAGCCAGATTCTACGAGCGATTCGCAGGACTCTGCGCTCACATGGATAAAACTGAGTAAAATCCGGACCGTTTTAAGGTTTGTTGACTCACCGTTGCATTGCTCTTTCGTTGTTCGTTTACGTCTGGTGACTTACGCCGCTTCATTTCCAGTTGAGCGACCAAACAAGAATGGATGCCACGTGATGATGATATGGGGTACAGAAACAGCAAGATGACTTTACCATTCGAAGAGCAGAATCACACGATGCAATCACCGCACGACAGAAGCAACCGTCAATCTGCAGGGAGCACAACAGTGTAGCCGTAACAGCTGTAGCGCGAGCCCAACGTTTCCACGCGCAGGTGGCGCAGCCCGCCAGCGCCCAGTTCAACAACGTCTGTGAACACCAGCTGGAAAGACTTGTCCCCGTCCTGCGCGGAGAGGAAGTACGGATTGACCACCTCCTCGCTGTTGATAGAGATGACAAACATTGCCCCACCAGGACGAAGCACCTTTAACATCTCCCCAACGTAAGCTTCCATGTTCGGGTTGAATTCACCGGCGAAGGCGCTGAGCAACGCGTCCGCCGTTCCCTTGTCGAAGACTACATCCACCGCGCTTTGACGCACCATTTGTACATGCAAAGTGTTATCAAGAACAAACCACGGCTCCTCGCCAGCGGGGCGCTCCTGCGACAACGATGCTGATCGAGCAGTCACGTGCAGGTCGCAGCAGTTACCAACAGCGTACAACCGCCACGGAAACCGACGCGCTAAGTGTGTGATAATGTTCTCGCAAATGTCCACGTTTAGCACCTCCGCAGGAGGAGAAGCGGAGACGCTGAGCTGATCTGAGAGGAGGCCCTCAACCTGGTCGCAGAAGTCGCTGTTACCGCACCCCACGTGCAACCACCGCATCGGCTTTTCTGTCGTGCGGGCGGTGGGCACCTGCGGAAGGAATGCGAGGAGCTTTTTTTCATAGAGCGGGTACTCCATAAACCACTCGTAGTGGTCCATCAAACTGCCTCCCTCCGCTAACTCCCGTGACTTCTTGTGTTGCTGCTCCTTCTCGCGCAGGTGCCCGTCCTCGTCGTCGTAGAACTGCACCCAGAAGTCGGCACGACCGGGATTCCATTCCTTTGTATCGTCCTGCATGATTCGATGAAGTGAAAGAGGTGTTCAGATAGGGCCCTGGTTCTTTCCTTATCGGCGTTTTTCCTGCGAAAGTGTTCTGCTTGTTTTCAAAGAACACACGAGCGTGATTCAACAAAACAAAAAGGGCCACACACCCGCAAAGAGAGAGAGAGCGCGAGAAAGGGAGCGAGCGCAGGGGTTTCGAAGGGGTGCAGAAGAAAACACTTGAGCACGGTGTGCAAGTCACAGCCGTCAATTTGGCACACTCAACAGCTTTGATCAATTCCTTTTCGCTGGTCCACACGTAGTGCCACAGGCGCACGCTACAACCGCACATGTCAGCGAGGCTTTGAAGCAGTTCTCCTTCGATAAACACAAAGAAAGAGTTTCATTTAGCCATTCAATACGAAACGTATGCACATGCAGAAGTAAGATGTCACTTCACAGCAGCAGCAGCAACAACAATATCTATATATATATATAAATATAACACTTCTTCTACAACGCCTTGTGTGAGCGTGCGTGGGTGGGGGTACGCGAGAAAGGCAGAAATAACCGTGCGCCTTTGAGACAATTTACCAACAGAACGTCCTTCGCACTCCGTTTCACCTCTGGACACCAAGATTGAATCGCTACCGACGAAAGAGACACGTTTTTCACTCGTTTATTCGTACAGTGTGACCACGAGTCATTCTTCTTCTTTTTTGGGGAGGAAGGGGAGGGGGGAGGGCATAAACGAAGATGGACATTTGGTGATGCAGTTCGTTTGCTTTTCTTTGTTATTCAAGCAGTGACAACACGCTACTTTACATCGTTCTGGAGGCGCACTGGGAAAAATCGTCTACGTCTTCCATAAGGAAGATGCTGGACGAGTGGGACGCGTCCAACGCGGAGCCGACCTCAAACGCGGAGCCCACCTCAAACGTCAAGCAGTCATTCGCGGACGGTGACACGGTGCTAATGCTCACCGACTCACAGTCGAAATAGTCGAAATACAGTTGCCTCAGTCGGGTAATTTCCTCCCTGTCCAGCACATCACTCGCGCTGTGGCTCTGCGAGCTGGAGGCGGTGTCTTCGGCGGAGTGCCGACGGGGGGGAGCCGCCGAGGTGAAACTCAGTGCCAGGTTTGTGCTGCTGGTGGCGGGTCGGTAGGTCGGGGCGGCCGTCGGGAGGGTGCCCCGGGCAGCCCCTAGTTGGCGGGAGCGGAAGGCCCGGGCGAAACTCTGAATGGTGCCGACGAGCGCGTTCGTTACGACGGAGCAGCGCGCCACCGCCAGCGTGTCGGTGAAGCCCTTGCCGGCTGTCTGCCGTGGGTCGCCACCGCTGCCGGCGTCGGTGAAGGACATCATGAAGACTTTGACCACCGCACGGAAGGCTTGCACCTTGGCGAAACTCGCGGCCTCCAACTCCTCCTTAATCTGCCGCTCTCGCGCCACGCACTCGGACAGGTACGTGAGGGCAGAAGACGCCATGCCGGCCTCCGTGTTTAGCACAGAGTTGCCTTCTACCCACAACGTGCGGGTGTGGGACAGCGGCACGTTGACGGAGCTGCGGGGGTGCGGTCCGGCTGCGTGCGCTCGCGCCTTCAGCCGTGGTTGAGGCGAGGACGTCAAGGAAAACTCTAAATTGCGCGGTCGCGCCGGTCGCAGCGGGTGGCCGATCTGTACCGGATTGCCCTTCATAGGCGTGTCCGTCATGGCGGGATTCGGCGGAAGCATCGCCCCGAAGGTCTCTCCGGGGCTGTTGCCGCCCTCGCCCGCCGCGTTGGCGCCACCTCGCTGCTGTTTGCCGCGCGAGACGTGCAACGCCTGTACTCGAGGCCCGGGTCGGAAGCCACGCCGCTCATCCGGCTTCGCAGCGCTTTCGGAGAAGCGATCGTCGTTGGCTACTCCGCCAACGTTGAGTTTCATCTCTCTGGGCTGCAGCGGACACTTCGCCGCGCTTTCCGTAAAGTGGCTCACGTTGCGTTCCATGCTGGCAGGAGAATACAAAGGAAAGAGAGTCGCAAAGGAACGTGTCTTCGGGTCGACGACGCTTCCCTGCAACGACGCAGGGGGAGGGGAGAAAAAAGCCTGAAAAGCGACCATTGAGGGCAGCCGGTACGAGAGATACAACCGAAGTGAAAGCGAATAAAAATGATGAGCGGGCGGGGGAGAGATGCGAGAAAAAAATTATCACGTATGGTTGCAACAGGGTTTTTCCCTCGAGGGCATGGGTGACACACGTGGCGTAAACCCCCCGCTCAAAATGGAAAAGAGTCATCGGGGGCTCGCGTAAGGCTGTCACACAACTTGACAGAGGGGACAGACGATACCTTCACAGTGCCTTCGCGCTTTCTTCGTTTTTATCGCTGTTGAATAGAAAACGGCAGGTGAGGCAAAACAGAAACGCACAGCTCATGAGGGGCCGTCACTGGCAACACAAACAGCAACAACAACAAAAAGATTGCTCCCATAGCAGAGCAGACACACCACTCCGATGAGACAGTCAAGAACCGAAAAAAGACAGGGGACTTAAAACGCTTGGCGGATCTGCACCTCCCACTCCTGGGGAGACAGGGGCATGTATTTCAATGGCTGCGAAGACCACACACGTCCATGCACCAAGCTCTCCATCAGCGCAAACTCGTCATGCATGGCGGTGACCGAGACGTCAATCAGCTGCGCTCGTGAGGCGCTGTCCATGACGGCCTCCGCCTTGCAGTCGTGTATCTTCTGCGTCAGATTGGCGCACACACGGCGGTGCCAACTTTTAACCGCCTCCCGCTGCGCCTTCCGCAGCGCGGCGTCGGAGTGCGGGTCGATCGATTGAAGGTCGGCGCTGTCCGTCAGGGAGGGAAAGCACGCCTCCCAGCTGGCCCCAAAGGCGTCCACGTAGCGCATCCGCTCCGACTCGAGCATGTCAAACATCCGCGTCAGCGGCGGGTCTGGTGGAGGCGGCGCCACGCCTTTACGCCCACCACCGCCGTTTTTGCCACCTGCCACTGTCGACGGGTCAGGCTGCGCCGCCAGCTGAGAAGCGAAGCACGGCTCGCGCCGATAGTTGTCCGCCAGGAAGCAGAGGTTGTTGATGAGAAAGATCTCGACGGAGAGTCGCACATCGCTGGTGAGAAGCTGCAGTGAACCTGGCTTGGTGTGGTGCGTGCGTTTGCCCATCACCTCGCTCTGCAGTTCACACGCCGCCTCGGCCACGACCTGCAGGTCGTCCACGGTGCCCATGACGCCCCTCGTCAGGTAATCCTCCACCTCCTGGCTGGACTCGTAGTCCGCGTTGCCGCCAATGACGCTACCGTAGAGGACGATGCGGACGGCCCCGTAGTAGGACGTCAGCAACATCTTGTGGAAGTACAAGACGTTCGTGGTGGACTCGTGCACGGTGCAGTCGACCGAGGGAAACCACTCCGTGCGGTGCAGTGACTGCGCAAACTGCTTCAGTCCGGCCTTTTCCAGCGCACCTTTCGAGTTGACGTAGGCGTCCAGCAGCTCGCGCACCTGATAAATGAAGTTGTCCACGCGGTCGTCGACGTGGTCGATGAAGTCACTGTTCTCACCCGGGACCTGCTTGGAGAGCGTCTTCCACTGCCAGAACTCCTCGAGCAGGTCGAGGCCGACAAAGATGTAGTCGCGGAAGTAGCGGACAATGGAGAAGAGACCAACGCCCTGCCCACGCGAGTCCACGAAGAGCTTCGTAGGATTGGCAAAGGTGGAGACATCGAGCTGAATCAGCTTCATAGCGCGATTGTACACCACATCGAAGACGGTCGTCGCGAGGGCGGTGGGTATATCCGCCACGGCATAATTATCCTCCAGTGGCGTTAAGACGTAACGCTGCAGGCACGCGCACGCGTCCACCACCAGCGCACGGGCAGACTGGCTGATGCTCAAGAGTCGGTGGTCGCCACGCTGGTAGTGCTTCATCACGGGGAGTAGCGAAGAGCGCGCCGTCACCTGTCCTTTGCCCATTTCCTCATCGCGATAGGTGCCATCAAACTGCGCCTGCACGGCGGCAACGAGTTTATCTTGGAACAGCTGGCGGACGTCGTTTTCCAAGATGTCGGTGCGGTTGAAGTTCTCGCCGAGGCGCTGCACCATTTGATCCACCCCCTTCAGCGCCGCCTCGTTGCGGATGATGCGGTTTGTGCCGGGGCCCGCCCCACTCGACAGGGCGTCTCTGCTGGTGAGGGGCAGCCCCGGTGTGACCTTGCTGCGCTGCAGCGCGTTGATGAATGCCGTCTTGACGAGGTCCTCGGTGATCCGCACAATTTGCTGAAGATGCATCTCTGTCTTGGCCTCGATGTTGGTGCCGTACGGGTTGGGTGGGTGACTGGCGAGGTAGTCGTCCGTGTAGACGAGGTAGTCGATGCACCGCGTGACGGCCTCGGGGCTCGTCTCCTTGCCGCTCAGCACGGCCGGCAGGATCGGCGGTGGATGGTAGCAGCGGGCAGCCTTCGACATCTCCTCAAAGGTCAGGGCGATGTTCTCTTGCGCCACGTCCCACGGCTTGACGTCGCGAATAATTGCATTCGCGCGGACGGAGATGGCGTTGGAGGTGTCGGCGAAGGTGTCGATGGCGCGTGCGCTGGCGCGGTTTAACGCGTTGAGGTCATTGAGTTGATCCTCCAACTGCGTAAGCGCTGACATGACACGAAAAAACAAAAAGGTCCCGAGGGAGTAAACGAACTACTGCGATGACAATACCAGCAGAAACAGCAAGATAAAAGAAGAGCAATAGGGAAGCAGCAAAATCAAGGTAAAAGAGGATTTTTGGTTGTTGTTTTTCACGGCACGGCAGCCGAATAACCCACGAGGCACTTGAAGCGCTTCACATTCCTTCACGTTGGATGCTCGGCTGCAACCGGTGCAAAGTGTATCGATGCAGCCAGCGAAGACACCCTGTAAAGAGCACTGGGAAAGAAAACAGAAAAGGGCAGAGAAGGGAGAAGTGCAGGGGTTGTGAGAAGGCAAAGACGAGATGCCAGAACGAAGAAAAGGAAAACGGAGGGAGCGAATGAGCCGACTCGTTGGCGTGTCACGCCACCATCGTGCATCAACGGCGAAGCAAAGAGGACAAAGAGCTTCGGCCGTTCAAAGTAAAAGGAGGAATTCCGCCGACAGACGACAACAACAGAAAAAAAAACAAGTGAAACGATGGGCAAATCTTTCAAAGATCAAATGCGAAATGGGCACAGAAATCGGTTTCCAATCTTCTTTTTTTTTGAGTATGTTCTCTCCGACCAAAAACACGCACAGGCGTGCGGACATATGTGATGAAGCCAACCATTCTCTGTTTCACGCATCGCGTCATCGCAGTTGGGCAAGGCAGCGTTGAAAGTCCGCCGGCAGCGGGGCCACCACGACAAGCGGGTGTGCGGTGACCGGGTGGATGAACGAGACACTGCGCGCGTGCAGCGCGACACGATCCATCATGGACTGACAACACGCCGCCCCCGCGTGCTCCACGTCTGCGAGAATGGGCAGCCCCCTGCTCGCGAGGTGTCGTCGAATCTGATGCTTCTTTCCCTGCTGGATGCGACACTCCAACCACGCAATGCGGTGCTTCGGGAAGAAGCGAAGCACACGGTACGCGGTGCGTATCTTCGGGTCCGCCACGTCGACCACCTCATCCTTCAACTTCACGTTGCGCAGCGACGGTTCCAGAACGAGACACATGGCGTGGTAGATCTTGCTCTGGTGCGAGAAGGCAGCACTGGTGCCCATCTGATGCCGCAACGAGTCCGCCGCCACGTCCGTCTTGGCGATAAGCAGGCACCCGCTCGTCTCGGCATCCAGGCGATGCACCTGGCCTTGACGAAATACGCGCTGCATCCCCGCCGCGTCTTGAAACTTCGTCGCCAACAGGACGGAAATGAGGTCGGTGGTCGGTTGGCCGACCTGCGTGGAGCTGAGGCCGTGACGGGACGTTGCCAGCCCCGCCGGCTTGTCCACCACCAGCACCTCCGCATCCTCGTACAGCACCGGCACCGATGGGAGCGGCACCCGACCGCTTTGCGCGGCAACAACACACTCGTGTGTACTGGGAAGCTGCACCTGCACTTTTACTTCATGCATGGGAGCCGTGTACGCTTGCACAGACGCCGCGGCATGGTGCGTGAGCAGCGTGCGCCAGTAGGAGCATTGCGGTGCAAGGTCCTGCAGGGCACGCAGCAGCGGTACATCGCTGGGCAGGCGTGGCAGCGTGAAAGACAGCGTTGACGGCCGCTCTGCGTCGCCCGCACTGTGACACTCCCCGCACTCCTCCAGAAAGGAAGAAAAAGAGTCGTCGAGGGCGGAGATGTCGTCGCGCGCAAGGGCCGCAGCGTACGTGTGCAGCAACCGGTTGTCCACCAAATTCCGTTTTGGATCTTTCAACGCTAGCTGATACGCCGTGCTGCGCCATATCTCATCTGCCCCCGCGTTGCCCCCATCAGCGGAAGAACTGTCGTTGTGCTTGAGGCGTGACTCCAGCGCGGCCCTCAGCCACGGCCGCTTCAGATCGTTCAACGTCCAAATGCTGAGGGCATCCATTGACACGAGCCGAGGCTGCAAACGGCGCTGCCGCACCTCACGGAGAAGCACCGCTGCCTTTTCTGCCGGCAGCATGGCGGACGTGAGAAACTGCTCTGCCCAGGATTGAACGGCGGTAGGCTCCGCGGGGAACACGACGCCGGGGTCCACGTTAAAGTGCGTTGCTTCCTTCAGCAGTCGCCCCGTTGCTGCGGCACCTGAGGGAGAGGTTGACGCTTGTTTTTCCGTGTCTCCGGGTGTGAGTGCGTGGCGCAGACGAAGGGCGAGATGGGTCGCGCAGGTCTCCGAGGCCAGCGTCAGCTCGTCCTTGTTCGCGAAAGACTCCAAAAAAGCGTGCACCGCCGCCGGGGAGTGAACTTGCACCAACGACGCCAGCGCAGCACTCGCGGCGGACGTGAGGTGGGGCAGGGCGGGATTGATGGCGAGTGCGATAGCCGCGGAGATGTCTGTCGACGCTAAGGATTCCACCATCCCTCGGTACTCGGCCACCGCGGCATCGTCCTGTGCGGGGAGCGGCGTGGCTAACAACTTCTCGAGTGTCGCTTCCACCGCCTGTGGTTCGGATGACACGTAACGACCGTGAAGCTTCGCAACGAAACGCCGCTGACGGCGCTGCACTTCACTGTCCGCCTCGACGCAGTCGTCCTTCACGTAAAGGACGGAGGGTGGAGCGTCGCTGCCGTTGGTGGTGGCGGTGGCAGGAGACTCTCGCTGAGAAGAGGAGGAGGATGCTGTTGCAGATGTCGCTGTGGTGTCCTCTGCGTTCAAGAGAAGATTTACTTCCCGCAACGCAGCCAATGCCTCTTCGCGGCTCATCTTCTCGGTCAGCTTGAGCAGAGCACCGAAGTGCAGCAGCGGCAGTTCGTGTGTGTGACCGTCAACGTCGAGAAGACGCACGCGTCGCACACACGCGGCAGGGCTCTGCGCCGAGGCTGCCTGAACCTCGATGCCGCGCAACGTGTGTCGACCCGCACGACGAACCAAACCTCGCACGTGATGCATTACGAAAAAAAAAAGAGAAATACAGAAGAAGACCGGCGAGATGTGCGCGGAACGCAAGGACGGCGAAAACGCCACGCGAATCGTCAAATGAACCCAAGACTTCGCGTGCTGCTTCTTCTCGTACACGGGTAAGTGTGTGCGGCCGTTGACCCAAGAGGACCGCAATGTGTAGGGGAGATGTTCGCGAATGGAGAAGTAAAAGATACAGAGGGGGAAAGAAGAACGATGTGAACATAAGGGTTTATATTTATGGCCACGTAGAACACAGGTTGTAAAGCAGAACAGCTGTAACACATATGTTGCCGGGGGAGTTCAGTGTTGGTGCCCAAAGCAAACCCGCAACGAAGGAGAGTCATTCAACGTTGCGGCGGTTGTCTGAGGAGAGAGCGTTTATCGCCAAAGTGAGAATACGCTTGTCGGCACCGCCAGCAGATTCTGTCGTGAGAGAAAGGCAGACAAGGGTCTTGCTCATTTCGAGAAGGGCAGCACTTCGCACATCTTTTTTCTTCAGCTTCGTATTGATTTTCTTTATGAAAAGTAGAAATGAAACGAACATTCTCTCATAGTGATAAACCTACAAAACGAGGCCTTGAACGGGCACTCAACAGATGGTCGCCTCCGCAGAGCGCGCCTATGCGGAGTGATTCACCGTGCGCCGAGGCAGCGCCTTACGCCTTCGGGGTCTTGAAGTGGTTCGCGATGCGGCGGTTGACCTCCTTCAGGTAGCGGCAGCGGCCGGTGCCAGTGCGACGGCGCTTGATGGCCTTCACGGACCAGTTGAAGCGACGGCGGCTGGCGCGCGGGTAGGCGCAGGCGGCGCAGCGCTCCCACTGGACGTGGTAGGAGTTGCGGCCACAGCGGCGGCACAGAATGTGCGTGCGCCCGTGGCGCTGACCCATCGAGGTGGTACCCTTCGTCATCGGAAATGAACTAGAAAGTAAGGCCTGTCGATGAAAGTTTGATGCGTGAGTGGATGTGCGTGTGGCGTGTGTGAAGGAAAGTGGTGGAAGCGGAAGAGGGATGAGGGCGACAGTATGAGAGGCTTGAAAATGATGGAGGAGAAAGAAGGCCTTCAAACGTTCCAGAAGAAAGGGGAAGAGGTCGGCCGTAATCCACTGAACTCGTGATTTGAAACACCGCATATGCCTGTCTGCAGCGCATTCTTCGTGTGTAATTGGATCTACAGTATCAAAAGACTCCTCGTTTTGCGTTGTTGTTGTTGTTGGTGTTTTTCAGTAATGTTGTTCTTTTAAATTGATTTGTTACACACGCGTTACTCGTCTGTTTACGCGTGTGTGGCAAGCGGCGCCTCGTCAGCGCCGTCGCGTCAAGGACGGGTGCAGATCCAGTCTGAACACGCATCGTCCCCGTCCTTCCCCAGTTCCACATCGGCGTTGGTCGACGTGGTTTGATTGGTGGCCTGATGCAGAACGTCTATCCCACTCAGATACGGCACGTGCCAGTGACGCGGCGCCCCTCCCGCACTGCACACCTGCTGCACCCAAACCGAGTATACACAGGGCAGATGGATGCGCAGCGTCGCCGTGCGGGAGACGCGGTTGTACATCGCCTTGTACGTGATGCGGTGCCGCTGACGCCAGCGCACAAAGAAGCGCGGTTGCAGCATGCAAAAGTGGTGGTCCCGCATTTGGTCGTTGGAGATGATGGACGAGTCTTGCCGGGTCAGCACCGCGTACAGCCAGCAGTAGTCATCGTTCAAAAAGCCGGGGCTCGGCAGCAGCGCCCCCATCGACCCCCACCGATCCGCGAAGGTCGCGTTTTCGGGTGTGGGATTCGTCAGGTGCCGACTGTGCAGCACGATGATGGCCCGCTTGCCATGCTTCTCGGCCGCGACGCGCATGTCCTCAATGAGCGAGAACTTTGGTTCCACGTCGACAGGGAACGGCACGTTGAAACGCTCTGCGGAGGGCACAGATGCGAGGTCTACCCCACGCGACCGCAGCAGTGCCTCCTTCGCCTCCGCGTACCAGCTATTCAAACCGTAGTAGCCGACATTAGCGCCATCAATGACCGTGTCGTAGTCCATCCCCGCCACCGCCACCTTGAAGGCGTCAAACTCCTTCCAGCGCTGCTGCTTCGTCTCCTCCGAGAGGTGCGTGTCCGGTTCGTAGCGGCTGGAGCCCTCAACGCGCGGCTTCACCAGCTTCTCCACTACGTCGTGCACGAGCACCGTTCGATCCTCCGGGGACAAGTCGAAGCTCTGCAGCTGCGCTCCACAGCGCGAGCAGACGCCCTCGGTGCTCACGCTGGCGACCGCACCCCCCATCAACTTCTGAATGAGCTTCGCGTTTGCTGCGCCAACGACAGGGTGCTGCTGCGCCATCTCCTCCAGCACACGACTCACGTACGGCACGACCTCCGTTGTTTGCAATGTGGTCTCGCCTCCGCTTGTGGGTTCAGTTTCCGCCACCGCCGCCGTAGCAGCAGCATCGATCGTGCACAACACATCGTGATAGTCCGTATCCCACAACTCAAGGCCCTTCGCACGAGCCATGTTGAAAAACTCGAAGCACAGCGGCACGTCGGTGGTGGCTCGGCAGTGAGCAAAGAGGGGCTGGAAGACGCGTCGTTTGAAGTCGTCGGGCGGCAGCGCGTCGATGACGCGGCGAATCAGCGTAACGTTGACTTCGTTTGTCTGCACAGCAAGACGCAGCGCCACCGCGGCCACTCGCTCGTCAAACGAAAGTTGAAACGCCTCTCGGAGGTCGGCCTTGTAGTCCAACAGCATTGTCACGATGTGTACGCCGGCGTTGATGAGGTCGGGCGAGGAACACCACGCGTAGAGCACCTTGGACACGGTCGTGTTGCGTGGCAGCTCATGGTGCTTGGCGGCCATTTCCGCTAGAAACGCCAAAACGACGTCGCGCTGAGAAGGATCCGTCCTTGCCGCCATCGCCAACGTATCGAAGGCGCGGTTTAAGAAGTCTCGCTGTGTGAGACGGCGTTTGGGTCGGCTTTGCGAATTGTTCTCGCGGATGAGTGCTTGCACCTCGGGAATCCCACTCGTACTCAGTGGCAAGTCTGCTGGCATCTCCGGCCTCTGCCGCTTCGCTGCAGGCCGCTCGTCATTGCCTGTGTCACTCATGAGGAGAGCGGCCGGGGAAACCGTGTAGTTTCTCGGAGACGGTAACGTGGACCGGGGGGGGGGAGGTAGAAAGAAAGAAACAAGGGAAAGACGCAGAAGGAGCAGAGAAGTTCATGGGACGCACTATCAAAAAAGGGAAAAATCAGCAGCCGAGTAGCAGTCAATTGAAGACGTTTTCTTGTCTTCCCGTTGCTCAGCTTCGATGACATCGCTTCGTCATTGCGATGTACGCTAAACATGCCACAAGTCTTTTCCTTCTCAGTGAAGAGCACAGTCGAAAGGTGCACAGTGGAATAATCCTTTTTCCAATTGTGCTGGCCACCGCGGAGGACCTGACCAGCAATGAAGGAGAACACAAAAATCGAGAGAATCTCTACAAACACATCTGTCATAGTAATAACAAGAGAACGTTACAAAGGAAAAAAGAAGAAAAAAACTAAGCCGCTGCGCTTACAAGACGAGAAATTCCAAAAAAAAAGAGAAAGACAGCGGCAACAGAAACAACGGATAAGAGACAACAACAAAAAAAGAAGAGCGTGCTGCACTTTTGTGAAAGCCGCTGAAACGAGATTTTCCGTTTGAAGAGGCATTCAGCACCCCACACACATACACAGAGCGAGAAGGAAAGAAAACGCTTTCTATTTACATGATTAAGTAATGTCTGACGAACTACTTTGATGATCGGTGACTCACGAAAAGTTCTAGTAATACAAACAGGCTCAAACGGCACGTTCACACTAGGGACACTCGCACGTACTCCGCCTTGAATACGTTGACGAGTTGCTGACTAAGACAGGCACGCTCGTAGATTAAATTGTCCGTCTCCTGACGCAGTTGAGTCACCTTCGCCTTGATAGCACGCAACGTGCGCTGCAGTTGGCGGGACGACACCCGCGCCTGCTTGGCCGCCGCGAGTTCAGCTTCCGTCGCGCTCTCCAGCTGCATCTGCTCTGCGAGCTGCGCATCGACATCATCGATGCGGGCAAGCACCGCTTTGTAGTCCCCCAAGCGTTGAAACACTTCAGCGGAGATGCGCGACGAAAACGTGGTCGGTGCGTCACTCGTGGAGTAGAACGTGTCCGCCAGGGAGAGATGCGCCACTTGCTCACCGTAGACGGCGGCGAGCTCGGCCGCTACCTTCTCCACCCATGCGCTGTAGTCGTCCACCTCGCCTAGTGCCTCGGCCTTTACGCCCATGACGACGTCATTTGTGGAGAAGTAGCGATGTGGGCGTTCAAATAGACTCATTGTGTGTAAGTATTAGTGATGTTCAGAGGAGAAGAAATTTTAACTGCAAAGGAGTACCGATGGATGTGGGGCAAGTAAGTATATTTCCTGTTCGACCTCCGCGTGAAAGCACAAGAGAGGATATCGCTGCTCTACAAGGCGAACAAGGAACATCAGAGTCAGAAGAGTGAAAGAGGAAGCAGCGAGGATGATTAACTCGTACGCACAGCTCGACCCTGTTCTATTCGAGCTAATTTTTAGCCCATGAACAAAGCGACGCAAAACAAAAAAAACGCACGGAGCACTACGTGTCTTTCTTCCTTGTTCTTCATCACAAAGAATCGAGTGATACAATAATTAATTCAAAACAGCCTGCGAACAAAGTAAGACATCTACTTCATCGGACACGCTTCCGAGTTTTTCAATGCGCTTAGCAGCTCGCTGGCGGAGTCGCAGAGAACTCGCTGAGCGTCGGTCGTTACTCTGACATTTTTCCGTTTTAATGAATATTAGTAGATGTAGAATTATATAATACCAAAAAAATATATACTGGCATGATGCTTAGTGACTCAGTAACGTGACGGGGAAGCCGTGGATCAGTGCCCTTCCTCTTTTTCGCTTGCTTCTCCTTTGTCCTTTCATCTCACTCGGTGGTACAACTGTACTGAAGCGTCACACTGCCGAAGACTGGCTCACCAGTGTTGTCTTCCAGAGACAAATAAAACGAAGCCATCAAGAGAACCATACAAGGAGGAACGGTTGATCCTGGCGCACTCGGGTACGACGCAAAGCCAGTGAGAAAAACTCAAAATAAATTTAAAAGATAAACTCAAGTCAGGGTAGTAAAGTGCGTGTTCACGTGTATATGACCAAACAAACCAACATTAAACACAGAAAACAAGAAGAGAAGGAAAATGAAACACAAGTGTGAGCCTTACGTTCACTTTACGCACGATGGCCGGAGCAGCGCCGTAAAAACCTCGAAACATAAAACCGATTTCCTTTCAATAATAACTTTGGTTGCGTGTGTTTTTCTGTTTGTGGTTTTGTTTTCACTCCCGCCTGTGAAGCACACGTGCGATCAGAGCACAACGCACGCGTAGAACGGTCTCTCAAGGCCCACAAACGGGGGAACACTAAATCAAGAGAACACCAGAAAAAAAGGTGCTCACAGTGATGAATCGTGTTGAAAAAAGAAGAAAAAGAAAATAAAGCGCGTAGTAGACGAGAGAGAGAGACAACGCGAGGAAAGGGTGGAAAAGAAAGCGCTTGGTATGGTGTAGAATACCGACGGTTTCTACCCACGCCTTGTGCCCCCGTGCCTTCGTAGAGAATCATGTGGAAATTCTGTAAAGGAAAAAGTATAAAAAAAAACAATTACAAGACAAAGAAAAAAGAAAGAAAGAAAAAAACAGCGCTTGACAAATGCAACTATAGATTAATATACTTAGTTTTATAAAAACTAAGAAAAACCGACGCGCTCCCTCGATACACGCACCCGCCAGGCAATCATACGTAAAACACGAGGGAGTCGTCGTGGCACACCAACAACAGAAAAAGGAGAAGAAACTTTGATGGCCTTCCTTCTTTTCGTTTCGATATTAAGTGTCGCTGAGCAGCTTAGTTTTTGCGGCGCACCTTGGTGACACATAAACCACCTTAACAACGTCAGCGGGACATGAGACCTCTGTGATCTGAGCGGCTTCTGTTGGAGCTTCCGTTTGCTTTGTTGGCCGTTTTGGTTGGTATCTACTCCAAGACGCCCGTGTTCAGAACACCCTGTTGCTCCAGTGATTCGCTGTCCTCCACCAGAGCATCTACGTTGTTAAACAAATAGCCGCCGTACATGTTCTCCAGGTCCACTAAACGGACAACCGGACCATCGCTGCCGAGATCCGCAAGCGTCAGGTCATACTCGTCGTTGAAAAAATCCTTCAGAGCCGCAGCGGACTCGATAGGCTCCCCCGTTCCGTGATCCGTCGCGTCTTGAAACGCGGTCCACTCCTTGCACGTCCAGTAGCCGCGTCTCTGCTTGTCGAAGTGATCGAAGATGAGCTTCACGAGAGCGAGGTCTTCGTTGGACAAGAGAATACGAAAGCCTTCCTTATCCGTTTGCGCGTACAAAGCCCGGCAGCGCCCGCAGTAACTCTGATTTGTATCGGCATCGAATTCGAGGTCATCAATACCTTGGCAGTGGCGGTTCGCACACACCTGCAGCACGACCACGTCTTCGTCGTCCGATGAATCACTACTCATTCCTTCAGTTATTGTTTTTTCTTCTATTATTCTGTAAACAACAACGCGTGCGTTCGAGAAAGAGCGAGTGGGAGAGAAGAGGAGGAGGAGGGGGCGGAGGAGGAAGAGGAAAACCACCACAGCGGAAAAGGAGATAAAAATACAAGAAGGGAAAAAATAGTCGGAAAGTAAATCTTCAAAAACAAAAAAGGTAGAAATTTGTTGACGGTGCTGCGAACCAGCGTTTATCTACCGAGACAGTGTAGGGAGAATGAAAGTGGTAAGCAATGCGTTGCTGGTCATAGGAGAATAAACAAGAGCAGCAACACTAAAGAAACAAACGAAAAAGAGGGGCGTTGAAAGTGATTTGGCCACGCCAACGTGAAAGTAAAACGCGTTACAGAACCGTGGGTTTACGCTGGCAAAATGAGCGAGGTTTGCGGTGCGTGTAGGTGAAGACAACAAAATGAGCAAATAATAATAATAATAATAATAACAATAAGAGAAGCAAGAGAGACGCCAACGCACTGTTGGAGTGTTAACGCGCGCGCGCAAATGAAAAACGGACAACGGACTCCGTGTGCGTCACTCAAAGCTGTGCTAAGTGAAAGGCAGCAGAAGTACACCACAAATCCAAACGACTTTTTTTTTCTGTGTAAATAGGTAAAGAATTGGCTCCAGTGCAAAACACGAACTCTGTTAGATGACTTCCACTACACAGCAAAACCCAGCAAGACAACACGTCTCTAAAGAAAAACAAAAAGGCCTGTTCTACCGTTCCGTTACCTGTCAGTGTTAGAACGGTGAAAGGAATGGAGCGCAAGGCGGCTAGTATACACGTGATACAGAGCACTCAGCCTAAAGAGAAAGGGAGAAAGAATCCAGAGAAACTGACACGGCTTAAAGCGTTGGCTTTTGGTGTGAAAGAGGCAATTGTGTTGCAAAAATCTGGTGTGGATAGAAAACAAAGAATACAGGAAGGTCGGAGACGCATCGAGAGAGGAGTGCAGCGACGAGGGAAGAAAAGAGAGAAGAAGAAGAAGAAGAGAGTCGACAATAGGAAAACAGCTCAGTGTCGAACGAAACAACAGAAAAAGCAAAACTGCCTTTACATCAATGAAAATGCGTGGCACGGCGAGACAGAACTTTTCGCTGTTGTCATCGTACATGTACGTGGCTCCGAAAGCGAACACGAGAGGAGACAACTTTGCTGTTGGTTTGCGTCATTGAGGGATCGGCACCGCAGATAGTTAACTTTTGCTGGTCATACTCTCGTTTTGGTCGGTTTTGTTTCCCGCCTGAACACGTATGCGGACCGACAAGATGTGGGAGGGCCGCGCTCCCTCTTTCCCCATCAAAAACAAAACAAAGCAAGAAAACTGTGCCGCGCAGTCCTGCAACCCTGCGATGGACGATTCGCTGCTCAGCTGAAAGTGTAAAAATCGCACGAGCTGCCTTCAGCGAACCGCACAGATAGACCCACAAGCGCAGCGGTTAATCCTTCGGCTTGTCCTTCACGTACAACAGCGAGCAACGCGAGCACACGCTGTAAACGCGCTGCACCTCCTCAAAGTTGGGACGGTGGGTCGTAATCGGCACTCTGCTCACGCGCCGGTCCTTCAGTTGGATAGGCGAGACACCTTTGCTCCCGCCCAACGCAGCCGTCGCCGGTAGCAACGAGAAGTCCGTCAGCACGGCCCTGTTCTGCGGCCCTGGAGCGGCGTAAAGGATGAAGGAGGCGGCGTGAAAGTAGGGGATCCACTCCAGTACAATATCTCGCACATCGACTCGCCACTTTACCTCCTGCGCGGCGCGTATCTGGGAGCCGACACTGTTGTAGCTGCCCACGTCCTTCGCGTTCGACGACTGCTTGCCGCCCTGCTTCTTGCGCACCACGTACCGCTGAAAAGCCTTGTGTATGACACACGTGCCTCCCACAAAGACACCGCCGGCAAAATAGCCGCCGTGGCACAGCAGCACCACCCAAACGTCATTGGTGAACGTATGCAGGCGCTGCTGTAGCTTCTCCGTCACCTCACGCGGTAGCGCAGACGTGTCGAGGTCTTGCTCCGCCTCTGCCAGCTGGGCCTGCTCGTACTCAGCGACGAGCTGCTCCGACAGCGTGAGGTCGTCTCCCGACTCCTCACTGCCGTCGTTTGCGTCCCCTGCTGCATCGTCGCCGTGTGCCTCTACTGTTGAGGCAGGTCTGGGGTCTGGTGCTGCCGTCACGGGCGTCGCCTTCGGCACAGTTCCTTTCCCAGTAGACACGCCGGCTGCCAGCTGCGCCTGCACCATCTTCTGACACTCGGCCCAGCTCAGCGACGGCTCGCCGTAGGTCAGGGCGATCGCCACGCAGCGGTACAGCTCAACAGCACAATAGCACACCGTGCCGTCCCAGTCCATACTCTCTGTGAAGAACAGTCGAGCCAAGGGGGAGTTGCTGACGGGCTCGCACTTGCCTTGCCCGCTTGTCGCTAACACCGCAGGGAGATCGGAGCTGAGAAGGTCCTCCTGGCGATCCAGCAGCGTCCACTGCGGTTGAGCCGTCCCCGCAGCTTTCTCTGGACTGCCGTCAACGCTATCGTACTGGCTTGCGGACGCCGGAGGGGGAGAGCTGACCAGCGTGCGTTCTTCCTTCGACAGGTCACCTTTCTCTCCACCTTTGCCCTTCTTGACCTTCGACTTGGCACTGCTTTTCTTAGATGAACGCTTGTGAGCACCCGCCGCCGCTTTCGCATGCTCCAGCTCGGCTGCGTTCGCCTCCTCCGCCTCCTTCATCTCAAAATCGAGCGAGAAGGCGTCGTCCACGGCGGGAGTGCTCGCGACACCCGCGGCGTGCTGCGCCCCGCCTGCTTCTCCGCCTCGCTGCACCGCGCCTTTAGCTTGTCCGCGTAGTCGCCGCTCATGTCCGCTAGAGCGGCCCGTGCAGACGCGATGCGTTCACAGTTCAGCCGATAAAGGTTGTCGACTTCATAGGTATTACGAGGGGTGAGGGTGAGAGACTTCAGCACGGCCGTGATTTCAGCCTCCACCTCGCTCAGCAGCATGACGGTACTCCCGTGCAGAGAGGGAGGGGAGGGGGGGGGGGAGGGAATCCTCGTTTCGCTCCACGAGCACGATGATACACATACAACTACAATATATATGTGTGTGTCAGTGTGTATGTGTGTGTGCGCAGAAACGAAGCGCAGTTGACTTCGCAAAATAAAGACAAAAAATATTGATGCGTGATGATAGGCAGAGCAGCGCTTTCAGAAAAGGGAAACACAAAGCACTATTTCTCGTTGGCATGCAACACAAGAACGCTGCCAAGCTGCAAGAAAACAGAAGAAAGAAAGAGAACGGTAAAGAAACGGTTGCATTCATTGAAGGAGTCTCAGGAAAGAAAAAGTAAAGTCGCACCTCTGCAACCGGCTTAAAGGAAAACAACAACACGTTGTGGACAGCAACGTTGCCAGGAGACGTCATCGGCTCGAAGCCGAGCTCTGGCAAGCCTGCAAACGTGTTGTTTGAACATGAGAGGACGTTACGCAACGGAGCCGTGAACGCAGTTGAATTAACGCGTTCGTTGAGTCGGCAAAAGAAAAAGGTTTCCGCTTGTTGGGGTACTTCTACAGCATCTTCTCATCAGCTTAAGAAACAGCGTTTGCGTATTATTACCATCTGTCCTCTACGGACTCCCCCTCCATGCGTATTCACAAGAGATTCTCTAAATTAATAGTACAAGAACAGGACAGCGTGCGTCATTCGCAGGCGGCTAACAAAAAAAAAAAGGAGTTTGAGAAAAGGAAAAAAAAGCGGCACTACAGATACAACCACGACCGCCAGCAACAGAGGAAACAAAAGCAGAAGGGAAGGGAAGCATACGGAGGAGTATTTGCCCCTACATCGCCTTCGACTCATTCGCCGAACCGGTCCGTGTGGACGCGGCGTGTGTCACGGGGAAGTCATCCGCAGAGGCCTCGGACCCCTTAGAGAGCCAGCTGATCGTGGGCTGCGCGTAGCTGGGGAGCGCGCTGGGGCGCTGCGACCGAACCGAGAGACGATGCGGCGAAACGCTGGCGGCTGCCGCCTCGTGCGTGTTGACGCGCGCCAGCTGCGACGAGGGCGTGAAGGAGCGGTTGAGCTGCGAAGATGGGGGAGAGGTCGTCGCAGCAGGCGGATTGCCCAGCAGGACAGTAGGGGCAGGAGGCGGCGCAGCAACTCGCGAACTAGACCGACGACGAAGGTGTGGCTCTACGCGAGTACGAGGCGATGTAGACGGCGGCGTCGTCACGGCTGCCGTGGGTTTAGAGAGTGCTGCACTGAGGTTCGAAAAGCCGCTGACGTTGCCCGCCCGCAAGAAGTCCGCCAGCTCCTGCAACCGCGAAGGATCCTCATGCAGCGAGCTGTGCGGGCCGCCACCTTCCGCGTGCCTCGCTGAAGGAATTGGCGGTGGAGACGTTTTGCGTGGCTGGGTTGACACCAGCGCCGCCGCGTGAACAGAGGAAGACGCGGAGGAGACAGGTATAGGGTCCGCCTCAAGCTGCGCCTCCGCTGGGAGCTCTGCCGGAGCAGCGACGACAGCAACAGGGCGATGCGACACCTCCGCAATTTTTTGACGCGAAGAAGTCCGCACGCCCCGTTGAGCAGGAAAGGGATCAACAGTGCTGGGGCGGTACTCGCATAGCTGCGATGTCGAAGTGGAGGTCAGTCCCAGCACCTTCGACTGCCCATCGAGGTTTCGTCGGCGCAGACGCTGCGCAACCATAACAGCGGGATCCGCCACCTTGCACAACACCATGAAGCGTGCCTTATCCAGTGCCGCCATCCCCGTCCCGTGTGTCGCGCCTCTCAACTCAGAAAGTTTTAGCATACCGCCAACCTTGGCACAGTTGGGGAAGTTGCGTTCCTCGTGGGTGACCGACATCGGAGAGACGTAATTAAGCGAGTCCACGGGGCTGCCTTCTTTCGACGACACCGGCACCGGCGCTGCCACCTCAACGGTGACGGTCGGCAACGTCGCCAGCTGAGGTGCCTTCTCCACAGCATCCGCCCTCCGTTCCTGTAGAGATAGCGGAGGGGGTGGGGCTAAGGCACGTGTCGCAGCGGCGATAGCAGTAGTGGCAGCGCCGGCGGCACCACTCAACTCAGGTGTTTCGCCCAACACGCGTTGCACATGGGCGAGTGCGTCACGAGAGCGCTGCAGCACCTCGTCCATCATCCCGCCCACCGCCTCCGACTCCGGCTCCGGCGTCGACGCTGGTGTTCCATTGGTCGGCGTGTCCTTGGCAGTGTTGCCGACAGGAAGGGACATTGGCGAAATCGACACGGACGGCGCCGTCGGATCGACCAGGGGATCCGGCGGGGGGACGACTCTGGGCATCGCTGTCGCCGTCGCCGGGAGCCGCGGAGGCGACGCCCGCACGCCGTTTTTGGTGAAGTTGTCGGTCGGTTTTGCCCTCCCCTCCTCCTCAGTTTCTGGTGCGGCGGGGAGGACTGAAGAGCCGGTAGGGGCGGTGACCGCATCGTGCCCTTCCGCCGCGGACGACGCAAAGGTGGACGAGGACGACGCGGAGGAGTTCGACGGGCCGGATGTTTTGACCCAGCTGCGGAGCAGACCCTCCCCGCCGTCCCTCGCGCCGTCTTTCGTGCCTACACGGGAGTGTCCAGCCGGCAGCAAGGGTGGGAGCGAGTTGAGCGAGCTGTTGCCTCTCGGCGTGAGAGGGCGCGAGGGAAAGTTGTCGATCAAAACACCCCGGTGCAGGCGGAGGGAGGCGAAGACGTCCGACACGTCCGCCCTTACGACGTTGCTCGTGCCGTTGGTGGGGGGTAGGCTCGACGCCACGGGAGGTGCGTTTTTGGGCCTGAAGACGGTGTGTGTCATGTGCGCCGCGTTGGGGAATCGGCGGAATCCGTCTGCGGCGCTGACCTCCTCGACTGCTCCCTCCTCCGGGAAGGCGGACATCAGCTCCATGGAGCTGCCATAGTGCTGGGTGATGTACGGATTGGACGTCATAAACGGTAAAGGGAGAAACACGGTGGATGGGCCAAACGAGCTCTATGAATCCTTTTTTGAAATATGAGAAAAGGAAACGAAGACCCGATCCGTTTCTGTCGCTTCCTCTGAAAAGCGCCAAAACAAGGGAGAAGAAAGGAATATGAAAAGAGACGAAAAAGAACAACAGCGCTATGACGATGAAGCCTATGAGAGCCAGAGAAGAGCAAAGAGAGATGTGACTCAAAAAATAATAAAAGACATTTGACGCTGCTGCCGCAGTGATTGAGCTTCCTACTGGAGAAAGAAAGAGTACTTTTACAAATATCGACGCTTCTGTTCTCTCTCTCTCTCAAAAGGAAAAAAAAGAGCTACGTGTTTTCTCTATCCGTGTCTCTATCGGCGGGTATGCAGAAGTGTCCACGATGAAGCCTCGCTATTTATTATTGTTTTATATACGTGGTAGCGACAGATATCGTCCGTTGATGTGGATGTCTACGTGTTTCTTACAAGCATGGAACTGCGGTCATATGCTCATCTAAGGGTACCTGCGACGCGAGGCTAAACAACAACAAAAAAAGACAAAGAAGAAGGGGAAAAAACAAACGCCGCTTATTTCTATGTCCTGAAGCTGTCGAAGGCAGACGTTTCAAAAGTTGAAAACTCAGGAAAGCGCATTCGTTTTCCGCTGTTCCAAACACGCAGAGAGAGAGTGTGTGGTTGAAATAACACACGCAGAGAGAGAAAGAGAGAGAACTAAGTGAAGGGCGAAAAGGTCAGAGCTCACATTTAAGGTGATTCTTTTTCACCTTTTGTAAGTGACGCAAAGAGTTTCTCAAACACAAGAGGGGTCGATGCAGTTATTGCGGGTTATCAGTTCGAGATGAGTGCGTCTGTGGCCCGCACACTCGTAAAGGGACTCGCGAGCTGTGGTAGCGCAACTCATCGCCTGTGTTACCTCGCACCATGACTCAAACGGAGTGCGGTCATCCTGCCTGACGGATGACTTCAGCGCAATAGCACCGAACTCTAGCCCACGAGAATGTGGAGAGCGGCAACGCATCGTTGGCTCATTTGCATTGTCGCTTCTTGTGGTGGTTTGGCTTCAAAATGAAAAGTTCAAGAAAGGAAATCGAAATACAGTTAAGATGCTAAACAACGTAAAATATGCTGTTATATTTCTTTTTTAGGGCGGGCCCAACGGCGCCTTAACTTTTAGTTCGATTCTTGTTTTTCGTCCGTCTCACGCTCTCGTTCTTCTCAACGACATGCATCGTGACCGGCAAGAAAGAGCTGTCGTTGTCGTGATAATGGCTTACTGCCTTTATTGGCAACAACAAAAGTCAACGCGCACACGCAAAACATTAAAAAAAGACCGAGGAACGAAGCTGTGCGTTGATCTCTCACTCGGTGTCGCTCCACCGAACTGCGCTGTTGCACTCCATCACCACCACCACAACACCCTGCTTGCTTGTGCCCGAGCAGCCGATCAGAAGAAGGGGAAAATATACCAGCATCTCAACTATTTCTGCTATCGCATGCACAGGTGGCTCGATCTTCTTCGTCTTCTTTTTTTTTCCCGCGCATCTGCTTTCAAAAGAGCACCTCACCATGAATTTACTCGAGAAAGTTTGGTGCAATAAAGTGCTTTTCCTTTTTTTGAAAACCGACAACATGCTTTGGCACTCAGAAGCAACAACGTAGGTGGAAAACCAATTACAGTTCTTTAAATCGGAAAACAGAAACGAAGGGAAAATAGATCCATACACACCGTGTCTTGAACCTCTCACCATATTGCATTATAAAATACGACAAAGATAGATATTAGGATAAGATAGAGCATTAAATCGACGAAGACAGGAGTTAAAGAAAAAAAAGAAAAAACAAAAATGCCAGGACGCGGCGAGCTCGTACAGCGTGACGAGAAAACAGAAACGGCGCATTTCATCTCTACGTGATTGTGTATAAGCAGGCAGCACTGCAGTGCCTTGGAAAGAAGCCCTTTCAGGCTTCTTTTCCCATTAGGCAGTCTGGTGGGCTTGGAGCACGCACAGCGCCTCGGTCACACGGTCCTCCAGACGCTTCTGGTCATTGAGCAGCTCATACGCGTCCTTAAACTTCATCTCGAGGAACATACCCGTAATCTTTGGCGCCAGCTCCGGGGCGATGTCGTACACTTTGAGGAAGAGGCGGTCACCCAAGGCGGCGCGCTGCTCCTGCGGCGACATGCTCTCGAGCTCCTGCGGCGTGATCGGCGGCAGCGGCGGTGTCTCCGGCGCCTGACCGGGCGAGTGCTTCGGCGTGGCCGAGACAAAACCAGACTTGGCGGGTGTGGCAAAGCCGATCTGCTGCTGCTGGGGCGCCACCTGCGGCTGTTGCTGCTGCTGCTGCTGCGGAGACGGCATCGGCATCGGGTGGCCCTGCGCACGACCGCCGTGCTGCTGACGACCACCCCGGCCGCGCATTGGCCTGCCCTGCTGACCGCCCACAAACGGCATCTGCTGGTGCATCTGGCGCATCATCATCTGCAGCCGCTGCTGGAACTGCATGCGCAGCATGGTGTAGCGCTGGTCACGGCGCTGAGCGATGTTCACGATGAGAGGCTTGCCGTTCAGCATGCGGCCGTTCATTTCACGCAGAGCAGCGTTCGCCTCGTCGGCGTCGGTGAAGCTGACAAAGCCGAAGCCGCGGCTCGCGCCGTTCTCGCTCACCATGACACGGCAACTCTTCACGTTGCCGTACTCCTTGAAGAGCTCCAACAAGTCTGCATCGGTGAACTCGGGGTCAAAGTTGCGAACGTACAGGTTGTTACCGAGGGACTGGTGCTGCATGTACTTCTGGCGCAGCGCGATCAGCCGCTCGCTGCGGGGCTGCGCCCGCTGCACGTACAACTTCTCGCCCGGGGCGGTGATGCCGTCGATGTGGTGGTCGTGCATCGCCTCGATCGCCTTCACGGCGTCGTCATGCTTCTCGAAGTTGCAGAACGCAAAGACGCGGCCGCTCTTGTCCTTGCAGGCCGCCGCCGAGGTGATGCCGCCGAACTTGGCGAAGAACTTCTCAATGACGTCTTTGTTCACGGAGGGCAACACCTGCTTGATGTACACGTTCGTGAAGTTCGCCACCAGCGCCGCCAGACGCGCGTTGCGCCGGATGAAGTTGGCGACGTACAACGCTTTCTTCTCCTCGTTGGCGTGATCGGTCGAGCCGTTCATCTTCACGATGGCGTCCGTAGCGGACGTCTCCTCCTTGAAGTGGACGAAGCCGTAGCCGCGGCTTTTGCCCTCCTCGTCCTCCATCACTTTGCAGGAAAGGATCGCGCCGAACTTGGTGAAGAGGTCGTGTAGGCTCTTGCTGTCCACCTCCGTCTCGAGATTCTTCACGAAGATGTTGCCGTTGCCGCTGTAGCGCAGAGCAGGGTCGCGCTGCTGCCACATGAGGCGCATGCACTTGTCGCCCACGCGCTTGAAGTTCATCGCCTCGATGGCCTTCTCGGCGTCGTTGTGGTTGTCGAAGTTGACGTAGCCGTATCCGAGGGAGCGCTGGGTGATGATGTCGCGGCACACACGGACGTTCAGAATCGTGCCGAAGGTCTTGAAAAGCTCCACCAACTGCGGTTCGTTGATCGTCGCATCGAGGTCGCCGACGTAGATTGAGGCGATCTGGATCGGCTTGTTCGGCTGCTGCGGTGGCGGTGCCGGAGGAGCCGCACCGTTGTCCTGGACTGTAGCAGACATGATTAGGAAATGTGAGTAACGATTTTTTTCTTTGGTTTTAAAAAAATATTGTTTTTCTTTTGTTTTTGTTGTTTTAGGGCACCGCTGAGGTGTGGTTTAGCTAATTTTTTTTTAAGAAAAAGAAAGGGTGTGAAATGAGAAATGAAAATGACGCGAACAACGTTGGGGTTGTCGTGCTGCAGCGGTGAACGCAGCCACGTTGGGGGAGGGGAGGGGGAGGGAGGCCGGGGAGGGGCGCGAGGTGAGAAAGAGAAAGTGAAAGAGAGAGAGCGCGAAACGTAAAAATCCGTCAGAACATAAAAAGAAAAGGAAGGTTGGGCTGTATTTGAAGAGCACCGCAGACGCAGACGCCTTCGCAAAGTCGCCCCCATTGCAGTCTCAGCAGTATCAAACGTGCAACAGAGGACAAGCACATTCAATACTTCCTGGTCTTGTACCATGTACTATCGTTAATATTGTAGCGGTAGGTGATCATGAAGCATAGGATACAAGATCCGGAAAGGAGAAAAAGAGAAAAAAAAACTCTAGTATCCTGAGAAAAAATAATAACCACACACTGTACATCATTGCATGGTGAATATAAACCGTATCCTCTACAAAAACTAACATCTTGAAGTGATCTTGTTGTTGTTAAGCCGAACATCACTACAACCAAATACCTCCGCTTACACAGATGCCGCGGAGCTCGGCAGAAGTTCGTAGGCATACTTCGCAAACGATGCCTCCGCTTTGGACGGCAACGCATCCAGGATGTCGTATGCCCGACGCGCCGCACGCGCCTTGGACAGTGTCGGGAGGTGCGGCGAGTAGCGGGTCTGCGCAAACCTTAGAAAGTGCTCCCGAGTGAACACAAGAGCACGGCGGTTGCCGACGAACTTTTCTGGATGCCACACCCGCGTGATCGTCTCCGCACGGAACTCCCCCATGGCCACCAGCGTCAGCGCTGCGGCGCCGCACGTGACCTCAAACGCGTTCAGCAAACTTGTGAGCCGCTCCTTTTCCTCACGCAACGCCCGCCGCGCCGCCTCCGTCGTCCACGCACTACGGTGGTTCACCGCAGCTAACTGCACCGGCACTTCCCCTGCCGTGTGCGGTCGCTGCTTCGACGGACGCGTAAACACCTCGTCAAGCAACCTTTGGGAAACTATATCGGTGGCGGGTTTGGAGGAGAGGAATGAGGAGGTGACGGGTCGGGAGTTCGGCGGCGTAACGACCGGCACGAGCGCTGCGCCGCTGTCGATGCTTCGTCGACGCAACACCGCCGCTTGACACTGCTCCCGCCATTCGAGGGCATCCTCCAGCTCCGTATGTAAAACGTACCGTTGGTGTTCGAAGTTGTGCTGCAGACGTTCAAGGTTGGCGCGTCGCAGTCGGGCCGCCCGCAGCAGCGGAATTTGAGAGGAGGGACGCAGCTCGATCGATGGCGTGGTGGCATCCCTCAGCATGCAGTAGCTGCGGACGGGTTCGGCTGATAGGCGCTCCCCTAGTACGGCTTCGGTTGACAACTTCTTTTGATGCTCAGTGGAGGCAACGGAGGGGGTGGCCGTCTCTGCAACAACATCCGGAGGGGATGCGACAGTAGCGGCTGCAGCGTTGGACGGCCTAAACTTGCACTTGCGCAGCCGCATCACGCAGGAGTTGTGGACGGGTGTCGCAGCCTGCGCGGGCACCGTGCGGTATGCCGGCATCTTGCCGACGGTGGCTCGTGATCGGATCTCTCCCGCACTCCCAGCCCTCTGCGCGGTTGCTGCAGCAGCTGCCTCTGCCGCCTCCTCTTTCGCTTCCGCTAACACCCACCTCCTCGTGAGATCCTCAAGGTGCGCCGACATGGTCGATCCTGCGGAGTCGCGGTAACTTCGATCGCTCGGCGCGTGCGGTGTAGGAAAGGAGTTGGCGGTGTAGGAGTTTTCGTAGGAGGGGTGGAGACCCTTCCGTCCAGCAGACGTGCGCCGCTGCCTCTGCTCCTGCTGCTCCTGCAGCTGTTGCTGTTGCGCGTCACAGTCATTGAGAACACTCATGAGACGACCAACGGCGTCCTGCGAGGTCAACGAGCCTTCCGTCACCCGCACGGAGTTGCCGGCAGACCGCACGGTGCCGTGGGCGGGGCTGATAGAGATGCGGGGACGCTGCCGCGGACGTGCAAAACGGCGGTTCGACTCTGCCGACCTGCGCCCCACGGTGGAGATCATCACATCGCACGGTATCACGTCGAAGCCGACCGTTGTGGCGGCATCCGCCGTGGCCGGTCGCGGCCGCTGTCGCAGCGTTGCAGCGGCGGTTCCGTACGGCACTGCCCCACCCGCATCACCGTCCGCCGCGGCGTGCGTTGCCGTTAGCTGATGCCGTGCGTTGGAGTAGAACCAAACCGCAGTGTCCGCCGGAGGGTCTGTTTCGTCCGTTGCATTGACAACGGCAATCTGCGCACTGCCGGTGCAGCTTCTCCACGTCCCGTCTTCGCCTTGAGACCAAGCAGAGGCGGCGGAGGAGGCGAAGCTCGTCATCCACGCGGTGTGTGTTTTGACGACGCAGAAAAGGAAGAAGAAAATGGTAAGCGTGCAATACGTATATATGCGCGTATGTCTGGTTGTAGGTGTGCAAGTGTGTGCGTTCTTATTGGATGTGAGGCGAGAAGGAAAGGACTTCTACGCCAGAGCCGTACACGATGCAGCCGGCGGCAGTTCTTTTACCGAGGAAGCGCTCTTCCCCTTTGTTTCGAAATGGAGAGGTATCTGAGGGTCGCGCTGAGGATGTGCGTGACGCATCGGTACAGGCAGAAGAAATAAGATAGATTGAGATGACACACGCACACACAAGATAAGTGGAGCCCAAACAGCTAGACAATTCGACTCTGTTGCGGTATTTCTCGTCACGTGAGCCGAAACGTAAAACAAAAAGGATACATTTTTCGTTTCTCCGCACCTGAAGCACTGCAACGACGCGCGCCTGTGTGTCAGTTCGTGGTGTACTGCATTTCGAATGATCAGCGACACGGAGGCGGTACTGAACGAGAGCCAGCCGCTGCTTCCATATATGTGCACTTCTTCACTACTTTTATCGTCGTGTTACCATTCAACGCAAGTGCCTGCGAGATCTTTTCGGCGTACAACACAAAAACACAGAAAAGGATGGAAGCACAGAACCCTGCGGAGTTTAAGAACCAGAAGAAAAAAACGCATAGAGAGGCGTGTGTTTATGTGAAGATCGGGCGGAGGAGAAGGCGCCTTCGCAGCTTTCGCGCCTCGTGTGGAGTCGTTCAGAGACCTTCCTTTTTCCCGAAGGGAACAGCAGCAGTGGGTCGAAGTACGTATGAAAACGAGAGGTGTCACTTCAAGTTAAGACGCAGTCGCACCTGCGGTTGCATCCTCGGCCGTCTGCTGCTTCAAGGCAACGCAGTAACGCAAAAGTCGCTCTTCTATCGCAGCTGCCTCGGTCTGCCGAGTGAGCGCTCTTTGCTGGAACGAAAAGACCGGCTGCACCTCTATCCCACCACGTGCAGAGGCGGAGTCCGTGGCGGGCCCACCCGTCAGCGCCGCGTCCAGCCGCTCCACTTCACGCTCCAACAGCGCAGTGGCAGCGGCCCGTGCAGCAGGCGAGACGCACGACAGGTACATTGTCCGCTCCGCCATCTGCGCGTCGTCGTCCAGCAGCCCCTGGAGTCCTGCCGGCCCCTTCGCTTCCTCCGTTAATACCTGCAGGAGTGCACGCGTCAGATATGCGTCGTAGGCCGCATACCACGCAGAGGGTGCCAGGTGCAGTGCTTCCATCGCCTCTAGGGTGCTTGCGGCGAGCAGCGGCGTACACAACGTATGTAGTTGCCGCTTCTGCTCGCCCTTTCCGTGGGGCGTGCGTGCCCACGTCGCCAACGCTGGTGGCGTAGTGGCAAGTTGGAGGGCCGCACACGTGACGAGGCACTCCTGATACGCGTCTTCGCTTCCGTCACCCGCGAACGGCAGGGGCTCTATGTCGGTACGAAGACCCCGCTGCAGCTCTTCTCGCGCCTTGTCCGACAGGGACCGCACCACTTCCACGTCGTCCTCCGCAGAAGCCAACTCGCCAGCAGCCGATGCCAGCAATACGGCATAGCGCACGTGATCCCCCGACGACCAGCTATGGACGTTGGCCGTCAGCGACGACTGCGCCACGAGCAGCATCAGCGACGGAAAGGATGGGTAACGACTAAAGCGCAGTGCACGCAGCACACTCCACACTTCTGACAGACTCGCCGATACCTCGGACCCTGAAGCTGCGCCGCTGTTCTCTTCCACTGCCGCCACCACGCGTGTCGCGACGGCCTGCTGCACCGCCTGCGAGACTCCGTGCGGCCCGGTAATCTGCAGCATCGCCACGAGAGCACGCGCCGTTTCACCGAGTGAGAAGGCACCACGCATAATCAGCCGCAACGCCACCATCTCCAGCTGCTTGTACGAACTCGGCACAAAGTGACATTGCGCGAGACCCTCGAGAAGCTCTAGCACCACCGTCGTGCTTGGGGCCTGCTGCAAACCGACGCCAACGCTGGTGGACATGGCGGCAAGCAACCGATCAAACTTCGCCTTCACCTGCTGCTCTGACGTCTGACGCATCAAGTCCGCCAGCAGCGGCAGCGCACGCGTGACCTCTTCCAGCGTGAGCCGTGCTTTGCCCAGCGCGGCCTTATGGGCGATGTGCTGCAGAAGATCAGCGCGCAGGCTGTGCGTGCTCGTCGCCAATCGGCTGTTGGCCTCCTCGATGCGGCTGAGCAGCTGTGCTAAGGTGGCAGAAGCGGGCGATTGCAGTCGAGCGAAGCGGAGACCCTGTGCGTTGGCTCTTCCGACCTTCGTGTGCACCCGCACCGCCGGGTGGTTGTGCTCGGCAAATGCCTGCAGATCGACGAGGGGAATATTCGCTTCGTCCCCGCTCAGCAGCGACGCAGCCGGACCGTCGGGCTTGTAGAGCAGCTGTCGGCAGCGTGCGATGGCGAGCTGCGTCAAGTTCTGCAGGAGTCGCCTGTCCGGCGCGTGTGCATCCGCGGAGTCGCTAGCCGCCATGGACGCTTGCAGAAACGCCGCATTCGTCTCCTGCAGCTCCGCTACAAAACGCATGAGCACACACAGCTCTCCCTCGTCCACATTCGCTAAAGCATCGGCGTGGGGAAACAACGAAACAGAGACCAGTCGACCCAGCGCTTTCAAAACATCCGCGTTTTCCACTTCGCCCTTCTCGTTACTGAAACGTAAGATTTGTGAGGCGACGCCCGTACGTGCGTCCGCGGAGACCTCGGCGACGGACTGAAGCACCGCCATCACGCGAATGGCGTCCTTCACGCGTATGAAAACAGGCAGAGTCGACAGCCACGCCTGAGCAGCGACGGTGGAACTATTCGATGAGCCGCCACGCCTCGTGCTGTCATTGGACTGGTATGCAGAAGTAGCACAAGAGGGTGAAAACGCCACCGACAACGGCACCTTGTGATTTGCACACAGGGCCGCGAAAGAAATGAAACGATCTGTTGCGGCTCTCCGCTTGTCTTCGTCCGCGTCTTCTTCGCTGCGGCCAGTAGCCGACATGGCCTGTTCTCCGTCCTCCACGCTGTATGGTGGACGGGGCAAGAGGAGCTCCGAGGCTCCCACTACGCCGATGCACTCCGCCACAACCCGCACCTCGCGCGACAGGTCTAAGGGCGCGAACTCTGCTGCCTCTGCCATGTCATAGGGACGGTGTTTACGGACGGCAAAGGTGGAGGCGGCCTCCAACCAGTTGAGGGCCTCCATCATAGACGCAAGGGGCAGCAGGGGCGCCCCCGTCTCATCACTTTCTCTGCCGTCGCGCATCTCAGACGCGGCCTCCGTCGGCCACAGCAACTCCCGCACATCCTCGAAGCGGTGGCGGAGGGCAATCCAGTGTCGACGGCGACGCGTCTTGCGGTCGTAGTGCTCGTAGTCCGGACCGTTGTTCAGCTCGCCGTACGTCATCGACGTCTTCATGCCGTTGATGTCCATCAAAACGTAGTCTTTGCACAGCTGCACAAATGCGTCGTGCACGCCGCGAAGCTGTTCCGCGTTCACCTCGACGACCACGCCGCTACTTTCCTCGCCGCCGCTCGTCACGCGCACCGCGGCAAGACGTTCGTCCAGCTCGGTTGGCATGTCGTCGTCCAAGTCGCCAACGTCGCTGAAGCTGGTGTCGATCTCGTGCCACCCGGCGGCCGACGCGCCACGCCGGGTTACGGGTGGGTGGGTCAGCTGCGTGACGGGGATGGAAAAGGTGAAGGTGCGTCCTTTGTGGTTCGTGTAGCGCACCTTCGTGGTGCCAGGGATACGCTGGGGGAGGTCCCGCGAGGTACTTTGCTTCACTCGCGGTGCCTTGCCCTGCTCCCTGGAGGAGCCCAGGCGACTGGCTCGCCCACCGATGGAAACGGGCGTGCGTTGACTGACAGTGAGGGCGGCGAGGATGGGCGGCGCCGCTTCTCCGCACGAGGCGAGGCCGCGAACGACGCAGCGTCGCATTCGCGTGGCTGACGCGGACGGAATAGAGGGGCGCGTATGCTGCGCCTTTTCTTTTCTATCTCCCCCCTACACAGAGAAGAGGAGGCTCAGCCGCGCTAAGACAGATTCTTTTGAGGAAGAGATATTTCTTAATCCTTTGTGTGTGCGTGCGTGCGTGGTTTTGCTTCAGCCAAAGCACTGTGGACACGGAAGGAAAACACATCGAAAGACACACCACGGTGGTGTTGATTGACAGAAGACGCAAGAAAGGAGAGGAAGCGGGGTTTGTAAGGACCAGAATATGCTCACGAAATAGAGCGCAACGGGTACAGCAGGAAGCCTTTTCATAATAATAATAATAATAATAATAAACGCCCTATAGAACACATCTGACGCAACAAATATGAATGTCAGCTCAGCCGTTTTTAGGGCCTTCCGGCTCTGCTCGACTACCTGGGTGGATGGCTCTCCGCCGTGCGCGAGCGTTAACGGGCGTTTCACTCTAAGAAAGCGCTGAACAATCGCCGACGCAATACCGTGCGTAACGGTCTCCCGTTCCTCTCCCGTTCTACTCTTTGAAACGCCGCAAAAATATGCCCGAACACACAACGAGGCAGTAAAGAGGAAATAAAAAAAGACCCGAAAGCGGGAACGATGACGCGTATGTATTCAAAAAAAAAAGGAAGGAGGCAACCATCTCACAAAGAACGAGGAAATAAAACGAAAAACGTAAAGGAAAACCCAAAGTTGGGCAAGGAGACGAAAAACAAGAGAAGGAGTCTACAAAACCAGATCTTGAAAAACCGGAAAAAAAGAACATAGGAAAAAGGAATGAGAACGATAGAAGTTAAAGCAAATCTACATCGCTACAGGCGTTGTGCGAATCAATTCCGTTATGCACGACGACAGACCTGTTTGTTATTCTATATGTTCTCAGACACCATGTCTTGAAGTGAACCCCACAAACGGTACTCTAATTTGAGAAGTAACGGAAGCGAATAGGTGGAAAAGGCAACACGGGTAAACAGTATGGCACGACAAGCAGAATCAGAAAATAAGTGAACGAAAAAAATGGGAGCTCGTGACGCACTTATAATAGTAAAAAAATGGAGGGAGGGGGGGGGGGGGAAGAGGTACGGGAAAACTAAACGGGTTTTTTTTTTTGCGAGACTTTTCGCCGTGCAAAGGGCGCTGAAAAGAGACAACTCCGTAACGTCGAGAAACCCAACTGGCACCGTATACAATCTGGGAGGCCTTTCTCTTGCTTTCTTACCGTTGTTGTTGTTGTTTTGCGTGGGAGGAGGAGCCCTGCAGCGAAATGCACGAAAAGAAACTTAAATACAACTCCAGCGCAGACCTCACAACCACCCAGCTCCCCAACGCCAGGTTGGCATGCGTGCGATCTAAAGAGGGTGAAAACAACAACCAAAAAGGAAAACTGTACAGTGAACGCGTAGGCTCTACCACCTTCTACTTCTAGAGCCCCATTCCGTTAGTAATTAATTTGTTCGGATTAACTATATCTTTTTTTTCCTTTACTTGCGAGCGTGCCTCCGTGTTGACCGTCCGGCGTTTCAAAGCTTTAAAACAAAATTAACATAATAAATGAAAACGCGCAAACTATGCATTGTCCGGAGAAAGATCAGAACCATGATAAAACGTACGCTGCAGAGGAGGGATTGCCTTCACAGGTGTAGCCAGGTGGAATACAAAGAGAAGGTTTCCTCTAAAAATGATACTAATAACAAAAGGTGCACAAGAGAAAAGAACTGTAAGCTCTTGGCACTCGTGGGCTGGAAACACAACAACCACAACAAAAGATGTGTAAAATATGATAAGGAAAAGGAAGAGGAGGAAGATGCTCTTCAACCACACACGCACGCGTTTACACTTAAATAAATATAGATATATATATATATATATATATATATATATATACGTTTAAAGAAAAAACAATGTAAGAGTTAAGACACCAGGGAGTTCTTTAAGAAAAGAAACAAAGAACAGATAGCAAGAAGAAAAATCGCTCTTAGAGGAAAATCACCGACAACTGAACGCATCAACCGCAACCACGGCGATCACATCGAAAGCGTCTTGCTCTAAATCCTTGGCAGACTCTGCAGGCTCAGGTTTTCGCCAGATGCGGAGACCGGCGCGTTTGGGCCCGACAGCGGGTGGCCCTGGAGCGATGCGTGAAATGCAGTAGACTTCACGGGCGACACCCCTTCAATCACCGGCAGTCGCCGGTTCGAAGTCAACGTGGTGTTCAATGACGGCACCGCGTTATTGGGGTTCTTGCGAGGGCTGCTGCTAAGGCCGAGGGTCGCAACGCCGTCCGGCACCGCGCCGGGGAAGCTGGAAATGCTGTGGTGCATGCGACGACTCTTTTTGTCCGCCTCGCGCAGAGTGCTGAAGTACGGATGGCGTAGCGCCTCCTTCGCGGTGCAGCGGTGCTCGTCGTCGTAGGTCAACAGCTTTTGCATCAGGTCGAGCGCCTCGGGCGACACGTGTGGCAGCAGTTTTGCTAAACCGGTCCCCTGCTTATTGGGGAAGTCGAAGTCCATGTGGCTGCCGAACTTCTTCAGCCGGTCTAGCACCTCCGATGGCGGCGTCCCGAGCACGTTGTGAATGCGGTGCACCTGATCTAATTCACTGGTGCCGGGGAACAGGGGGAAGAGGGCGATCATTTCAAAGAAGACGCACCCGGCACTCCACAGGTCCATCTTGTAGGTGTAGTAGCCGTCCGTCAGAAGGCACTCCGGGGCGCGATACCACCGCGTGGAGATGTACTCCGTCAGCGGCTGCTTCGAGTACACGCCCTTGCACGACCCAAAGTCGGCGATCTTCAAGTTACCCTCCCCGTCGAGGAGCAGGTTCTCCGGTTTGATGTCGCGGTGGAAGACACCGGTGCGGTGCGCGTGATCGAGGCCTTTGAGCAGCTGATACATGTAGGAGCGCACTTTCTCCTCGCCCAGGTACTGCTTTCGACCCTTGATGAGCTCGTACAGGTTCATGTCCAGCAGCTCCAACACCAGCGCCAGGCGGCCCGTGCTCCGGTCGAACAGGACCTCGATCAGGTCCACAATGTTTGGGTGGGGTTGCAGGCGCCGCACCGCTTGGATCTCGCGCAGACGGTTCACCTGCTCTTTTGACTTGAAGGCCTTCTTCATGCATTTGATCGCAACAAACTGCTTCGTCTTCACGTCTTGCGCGCGCAGCACCTCGCTGAAGGTGCCCTCGCCTTTTTTCCCTAGAATTTGATACTTCTGCATTGCCCTATCTGCGTTTGTGGGTCTGTTCGCGCAGCCGCGTTCAAACGAAAAAAAAAGGAAAGGGGAAAAATACAAAAATAAAAATGAAATGACCGATTCGCTTTAGAGGTATGATCAATCGTTCGATGCAGTGCAGTTCACCTACGCTGTACTGCGGTTGGGACGCTGCGCAGTCAAACGTCAGAGAATCGTGTATGATGTGGAAAGGAAACAAGACAAGAAAACAACAACAAAAAAAGAGAACGTGTCAAAACCTGTGTGCGCTCGTCAACGTGAAGGCGCGCGAGAAGGCTCCTCTCTCTCTCTCTCTCCTCCTTCTCCTTTTCGTGCAGCGAACAATTTATGCCAGTTTGTCTGAGGAGAAAACAAACAAACGCAAGCAACTGTGAACAATGCTTCAAAGTGTTTTATAGACCGTTGGCTTTGAAAGCGTGTATTGTGCCTCAAAGCCACCGCCCGCAGATGCCACTACCGACTACTTTGACAAGTGGCGCCGAGGGAAAGCGCACACCGAAGCAAACAGAAAGAGATACAAGATAGAAAGAGGAAGAGAAAAAGTTTTCGTTGCTATTTGAATGGTTCAAGGCAGTCTGCGCACACGAGGAGAGAATGAAAAGGCTTAACACCGCCTTCAATTGCGTAAACATCCAAAAATTATTGTGGTCCTCCACGAGCCACCATTTCGTGCCTTCGTCGCAGCATCAGAAGAAGAAGCGCCGTGAGCTGCAGCCGTTGTCGGGGAGACTTACGGCAAAAAGCAAAGATAGCACCGAATGAACAAGAAGAAGAATTCCTTCTCGCAGCTATTGATTGTCGTGCTTCATCCCAGCATTCCGATGTCTGCACTAGCTGCACCACAAATCAAGAAACCAGAAGGTTTTCCTCTTGGCTCTTCTTAACTGGCACTGTCTGATGCGACTTCCTCTTTTTTTAGCTTTCTTTTTTGACATATTTTTCTTTTCGATTTGCTTTGTCGTTACTCATACTTTGGAACGCAATAAACTGGATCGTTTGAACTCTGTAATAATAAACAATAAATAAATAAATAATAATAACCGTTGCAGAAATAAAAAGATTACTTCACCTAGATATATATACGTATATAACAGGAAGAAGTGATAATGTTTTCATATAAATGCAAGTTGGCAAATTAGTATGATTACCTTTTCCTTTAAAAAACAAAAAAAATGCGTTTGCTTTTAAAGCAAAGACGAGAGAGAGATAGAGAGAGAGAGAGAAACGATCTTTTTTCCTATTTCAAAAAAGTTCTGCTTTTTGGTTTAGCGTCTGTCGAAATTTTGTGTCCCTGTCTCACACCGAGTCGATACAGCCAATATTCCTTGAAGAAAAAAAAGTAATAACAGTAACAACAGCAGGCGTGAAGAAGGAAAAAAACTTACGACAACTCTTCACGCAGTAGCAACTAGAGAAAGTTCCTACGTACGTAGAAAGAAGAGAGCGGAGGTTAGAAAAGCTGCTATTGGCTCGCATCGCAAACACGCACTTCTGCTGACGTCGGACCAGAGAGCTGACTCACAACAAACAGCAAAACAAAAAGTAAAAACCCAGAAGCGTCCTTCTCAATGTATCACATATTTCTTTGCGAAAACGAAAATGCGTCACAAAGGGAGAAAAAGAAAGAAAGAGAAAATAGAGACGATCGCGTTTACGGAGATGATGAGAACGGAAGCAAAAAAGGAAAAATAGAAATACAAACGTAAACCAAAAACCACATGCACATCGCCGCGCACCGTCCAGCGGTGGAGCTCAAAGAAAAAGGTAACAAAGACGCGTATTCAACACTTTTCCTGTTTCGAGACAACCAAAAAAAAAACATGCTTTTGGTAACCGCTGAGTAAGAAAAGGGCCTTAAGGAAAGCATTGCACAGAGGCACAAACAAATTCAAAGGAGGGAAAATTCTTAGTCGGTTCTACTATGTAGCGCAAGATGGGAGAAGGGAAGAGAAAGAGAGAGACAGTTAAGGAGATCCTTAATTAGGCGGATCGTGTCGCTGGATTTGTACCTCAGCGTCCATGTAAAGGTTTTTATTTACTCATTCCATGTTCAGTAGGTTTTCTCAGCATATATCAAAGATCAATAGAAACTTACAACTCTTCACTTACGAATGGGAGGTTTGCCTTCCTTTCATCTTGAGGCTTTTTCAACTCGCGGGGAGGAAAAAGGGGTGGGATGGTGGGAAAAAGAAACGGATCCCGATAGCAGAAACCGACTAAGAGGAGGAGAAAGAGAGGAGAAGTAGAAAATATAACAACGAGAAAGTATCAGCTCCTTTCCAATTTTCCTGTCGCAGGCTTTCAAAAAAAACGTCTTTGCAGCTGTTATTATATTTTCGCCGAAGAAATCACTAAAAGAATCCCTTCAGTGCAGAAATAAAGGGAAGACGCGTGTGCGCCCTCGTCGCATCGCCACACGCGAGGGGGGGGGGGGACGGGGACGGAGAACAAAGGAGATAAGATTTGACATTTCGTGTACAGACACAAAAACCGTTGTCGAAGGCTCAAAAAAAAAAAAAAACAGAAGCTGATGTCACACAGAGAAAGAAAAACTTGCTTCGTTTCTCCCTGATCATTCTGTTGAGCTTCTAAACAAAGCGGTTTGGACAGCAAGCTTTCGTGAACCGCTTTCGTGGCTACATACATGCAATTCCAGGACTGAGCTATGAGAGCGTATTACACGGGAATAACCACAACGGGAAAAAGATACAACCAATAAAACGTAATATATATCACAGAAAGCAGCTGTCTCACATCAGCAAACAACAACCAGTAGTGGGCAAATAATACAAGACGATAAAAAGAAAACCGACGAGATCGAAAACCATGTTTATGGTTTTCCTGAATATTTCAACCTACACTGTTGCTATGTTGAAGAATGAGAGAGAGAAAAAACGGGGAAAATAGTAAAATAAAGATGAAGAAGATAATTTTAAATGGGCTACGCCTAACCCTCAATCTAGAAATATCAGCGACTGAATCCCAGCCGTCTCATCCACTGTCACCTGTCAGATGAGAGATCAGTAAAAAAAAAACCTTCGTTTTTTGTACTTTAAAAAAAGGTAAAGGTTTTTTTTGTTGTTGTTTAGCATTACTCGATATCCATTTAACAGGTAGTTTAATTTCGTCAACGTCTCTGCCTGGCTCTCGTCGCAGAAGAACCGAAAAAAAAAAACGATGGCAAAGCCGGAGAAAAGCATCGAAACTGCGCATGGCCTTCAGAGTCTTCGCGACGCTCACGAGCACAGACTATAAAGAACAAGAATGGGAAGTCAGTAGATCTGCAAGCACAGCATCTTTTTCTTTTTTTTCTTCTTTTGGTCACAATGTGCAACTCAATGTGATTAGTACCTATAAACAAAGATAGTTTCTGCTTTGAAAAGCAGCTACTTTCTGAGCTTGACATTTTCTGTTAAACATTCCTGCTACCCCACTATCATAAGAGTTCTTTCCTTGTAGTTTGGTCGCGACTTCCCAAATCCAGAATCGATCGCATGGGAAATGTAAACAAGAAAAACGTTTCCTCGCCGTCTCGTAAAAGATGCGAATCTCCAAGATTAATGAACATGGAAGAAAAGGGAAAAAAAAAGAGAAGGGAGACACATCAGCAGAAAAGCATTTTTATACTTTTCGATTCACATTCACGCAGAAATCGGGGTCATAAATAATAATAATAATAATAATAATAATAATAATAATAATAATAAAAGAACTCACGTGCTCAAAGAGGGGTTTCTTACAACCAAAAAGGCATAAATTGAAAAAGAAAGCGAACGAGGGGGTGTTAGAAGAAAAACAACAAAAACAAAAAAGGAAGCAGAACCAAAGGAAAACGGAGGAAACGTTTTTTGTTTCTGCTGTTGTCTGCTCTTTTCGGTTTCAATGTTCCGTCGTCGCCTTCGTGTAGGACAAAAGGAAAAAGAAAAAAAAACATATATGCGGAATACATGAGGTCGAGATATCATCCACTGGAGATCCACAAGAACACTCTTCAACGTGCTTTGAACAGACAGCTATTCTTAACTTGGCGTATTCAAGGCGATGCAAAAAAAAAGTTTTTATGCTACTGGTCGAGCACCTCTACGGAAAGCTATTGAAGAAAAATTGTCTGAAGAGAGAGGTCAAAGCGACGTAGGGAAAAAAGAGGAGAAAAAAAAAACAGCGTTAAAGTCATCAGGTATCACTAAATAAAATAAAAATCAATTTAAAAGAGAACAGAGCAAAAGTAAAAAGGTAGTGTTAGCTAAACTAGGACAATTCTTGAGGCAACACAAAAAAAAGGTACGAATCCGAGAATCTGAGATGGCAGACGTGGAGGAGAGGGAAAAAAAAAAGAACAGAGCGAGCGCTTGGCAGCCGTAAAGCCAAAGAAGGTAAAACGTAGATCTTTAGCAATCACACAATGGAAATAATCGCAATGACAACTGTGGGAAAAAGAAACAAATAGTTTTGATCAGAGACACATCAAGAAGAAAGAGAAAAAAGACAAAACACCAAACGTTGATGTGCATTTTTTCCAGAAACAGCGTTACTTCACTCTTAATACTTGCATCGTTGTTTATCTTTGACGGTTTCTACTCTCTGAACCAACGGTTTTTCTTCTTCTTTTGAAGAGATTGATCAATTACACTGGGGGTCTGCCTTGATGCAGAGAAAACCAAAAACAGATCACATAATTTCCTTTGGAGCAGGAAGAAAACTTTTCAAAAAAAAAAAAACAGGTCAACCTTCGTGCTGTGAGCGTTCGGCACTCGTGTGAAACTTGACGAAGCAAAACACGGAACGAGAATTACCTCGAAACAAGTAACGCATTTCGCAACTGCAAAAAAACCTACGCTGACACAGCTGTAAAAAGTGCGAAAGCAAAAGACGAAAATGCTCTTATTATTATTTTTTGCCGAGCCCTCCTCTCATCCTCCTTTCTTAAGAAAGAGTTACTGTAAAACAATAAAAACAAGGAGGGAGCCTATCCTCTCAGAAGAGTCTCGCCAGGTGATATTTGGAGAGGAAAAGTGACAGAAACCTTAAAAAAAAACGTTGATCAAAATACACCAGAAGAAAAAGAAAGGACAAGAACTTATGCTAAACCAAAAATGAAGAAGAAACGAAAACTGCGAGAGCCAGTACAACGGTGCCGGAGGAAAACGCGGGGGAAAATAATTACGACAAAATGAAATTCACTGGGGGGCTGCCTTGTCGCAAAGCGTACTGGCAGAAAGGTACAGGAAGTGAGCGCGGTGCAAGGCATTTTGAGGAGGACAGTGATAGTAGTGAGACGAATAAAGAAGAGGGGTCTTTTCTTTCGGCGATGCACGGCTTTTTTCTTTCGGCCACGCGTTACTCGAATCACCACCACTACCAGAGCCTCCGAGAGTGTGGAGAAGAAGAAAAAGAAGTCACGAGACAGTGGACATCAATGAGCACCGAAGAGTTTGCCGGTGAGGTTTGAGCTCGAGGGCCGGGGGCGAAAAAGAAAAGCCACATTCACCAGCGAAAACAAACGCGAATAAAACGCGGCGTCGAACATTCCTCGTCTCCGCATGACACCACGTCACTGAGAAGGGTTCCGCAGTAGCTAAACAACAAGGAGGGGGGGAACGAAAAACACGGAAGGAAAAGCTCATATACAGGAAACAACGATGCCGATTGTGATACAAAGACATTGCGATACGAAGGAGTGGGGGGGGGGGGGGGGTGGATGACTGCGAGACGCATCTATTTTCTTCCTCTTGGTGGCTAGATGCTTTGCTGGCACCCTCTTTCGTGTCTTTCCTTTTTTTTTTGCGATTGTCAACCGTCGACGGTGCCTCGGCATGCGTGCAAACTAAAACAGCACCCGCACGACAACAACAAAACCTAATCAAAACAATGAATAAATACGCACACAGGAAGTGAAGAGGACGGTGGTCTTCTCCATTACGAAAAAAAAGAGAAAGAATCCACTTTTGCTCTCATCACATCTTCTCTTCTTTCCTTTCTTCCTGTTTCAGAGGATTATCAATATACACCACACGCGGGCTTTTGACACGTTGATATTGTGGATGAAAGATCGTCGCTGTTTGTGCCAAGGCGCAAGCAGCAATGGTAGCCCGTGGGCGGCCGTTTATATCAAAAAAAAAAGAAAAGAATAAGAAAACGCGACTCACTAAGCCAGCGCTCCATCTCATGCGTCCAGCATTGAATAGGAAAGCACGCCAGGACACCAGCTAGAGCTCACGAAGAGTAAAGCATCGAAGAGACATACACGAGCAACATGAGATGGTACACAAATAATAATAATAATAGAAAAGAAAAGCTGAAGCAAAAAGGGCATCACAAAGGAGAACGTTGATATATATAAATACATATAGATGAACACACATCATAGTAGTAATAGTAGTACCAGTAAAAGAGCAAAGGCGCAGCACATCACATTTCGTTTTTTTTTTTGGGGGGGGGGGTTTGGCCTTTGTACCTTGTACTAACGCCTTCTGCCTTACATCGGCGTACGCTTTAAAGGAGTTCACAGAGATATGGTAGAAAAGAGTCACAAAAAAAAACAAAAGAGAAACAGAAACAACAACAACAACAAAACAAAGAAAAGAGATATAAAAAACCGGAACGAAAAGATACAGAAAAAAAATGAGTCGGAAAACAAACGAAAAAAAAGAATGGGGGAGGGGAGGGGAAATAGTGCAGATACTGAAGAGGCTGTGAAGCATTGTATCCGCGCACGAACGCGCAAAAAAGAAAAGGAAAAAATGAATAAAACAGAAATCATAAACAGGAGACAAAGTGAAGGCACACCGTGGCAGTTCGCAAAGGGGAGGAGTAAAAAAAAAACCAAATTCGGAAGTTACGGACGATGAAGAAGACATATAAAGAGTTAAAACGACAGGAGAAACTAACGCGCACAGCGGAATGATGTGCATTGGCAATGAGAGTAACCACTATCGGGATGATAGAGGTAAAAACGGTAAAGAGAAACACGATGAAAAAAAAAATGAGGTACAAAACAGGGCTGTTCCTTCAACCCGCCAGCTCCGACGAAGCACTTCGCTACAAACACACGCATACACAGATCGAGAGAGGATGGAGGCAAAAGAAACCGTAGTAGTTGTTCGATGTACATGAGTGTGCTTCCTTTTACTTAACACCAACTAATACTTTATTTGCTGCTTCACCTCCCTCTTACATGTGTATGGATGACTGAACTGGCTTTGGGTGCTTTGGCGGAGTTGTGTGCCCGCATTTAACCTTCGCTCGGTTAGCGGAAGAGAGAGATATATGAAGAAGCAAAGGATGCACATCACATGGTACACAAACTACGCCTGGATATCCAGAGACGTGACGGAGCCGTGGCGAGTCTTCTTCGCACTGGCATCGTCCAGAAAGGAGCGGTTGCGCTGACCGCGGTGCAACGGCTGCGTGACGTCGGTGCTCATCGTCTCCTGAATCTCGTCCAGGTAGGCGAACCAGATGCGGCAGCGGTACACGTCAAAGAGCGCGCGCTGCAGGCGTCGGAAGTCGACAAAGGAGCGCGTCGTGCGGGAGATGATGACCGTGATCTTCTTGCCGTCGAGCTGGAACATGGCGTCCTCCACGTGGGCCGGGCAGTCCACCTGGGCCGCGAGGGTGCGCATCGTGCGCAGCGCCTCCTGCTCCTTCAGTGAGCGCTCCGCGTGCTTCGCCTCGTCCTCGGCACTAGCACGGCGCAGCACGGTCTGTGGACGCGGCCCACCCTGCATGAGGCAGGCGTCACCGACGATGCCGAGATCCACGCCGCGGTCGCCCTCGACGACGACCTTATCCCCGGCGTGCAGCGCGAAGGAAGCACGGAAGGGCTTGCGCCCGTACTTGAAGGCGATCCAGACAGGCGTCTGCGGAGAGAAGGTGGCGGGCGCCTTCGGCACGAAGAGGGCGGACGACACGGGGGAGTAGTCGCTGATCCCGCCGCTGGACAGCGCGGAGTCCGAGATGGAGCGCGCCGGCGACGGCAAGTTCCAGATGCTCGGCGGCGATTTCGCGGCGCGGGTGTGGCAGCAGACAAAGGCCGCATCGGCAGGGGAAGCGGGAGTGATGAGGCTTGCCGCGTATGGCTCGTGGCGGTACACCCTTACCTGACCGCTGAGGCTGCTGGGGACGGAGGTCTGCGAGGAGTTGGCGGACATCGGGCTCTTGGCCATCATCGGGGACATCATCATTGTCACCTAACTAAGAGAGAGAGAGGGTGGAGGAGGAGGATTTGTTCTACTTTCTGGGGCCCCTGCTTCGCATGCTCCCTCAGAGTACAACATATCGGTCATTACTTGCATTATTCATAGTCAGTGGCGAGACCAGCTACCGCGGGGGAACTACCCGACTAGTTCCGCTCGCAGCGCTGGGTTAGATACAAACTAAGGTTTAGAAAAAACTAGGGAGAGTCACGGCCAAGTAATCCGCAGAACAACGGACAGCAAGGGAAAAACACAGTCAAAACCCCCGCTCAACATTTTGTTAAACCAATACTCGGCCGGACCTCCATCTCTTGTGTTAATGATCCCGTGGCCATTTGCCCAGGATCGTGGTGAAAAGAATACAAACGTCCAGGAGCAGTTAACTAGGCACCCTTAATTAGGCAGGTAACCTTCGCTCCGACTTAGGACAACAATGAGAAAGAAAATAACGGGGAAAAATTTCAAAACCCCCGAAAGATTTAAGAAAGAAAAAACTCAGAGAACGATGAGACCCGATAAACGATTAACAAAAAACAATAACTGGACTGGGTGGGAGTATGAACAAGAAAAAACTTTGTCAAGTGACCAAAACGAAAGCGCTAGGCTTCACGAAATGTGTAAAAATATGTAAAAAGGGAGAAAGGGGGGAGAGAGAGTAGATGCATTGGCAGGGAGAAAGGTAGATTCATTCCAACTGACCCGAAGGGATCACACTCGACACGCCTGAATCACTCCAGATTAGGCTTCGTCTTGGACGTTTGTGTGTGTGTGTGGAGGGTGTCTGTGCAGCACTTGTTCTTGGGTGGAAGATGAAATAGACTTTTTGCGGTTGGGCGTTGAGCAATCACCGTAAGTTTCGCTGGCAAGACGAAAAAAAAAAGAGACGGAAGGGGAAAGGTTCGCAACTTGGCAGCAGAAAACGGAAGGAGAACACAAAGAAACGCAGTTGATGAGGTGGGAAAAACGGGGGTGGAAAAGGGGGTTGGGGGTTGCAAGTAGTTTGTTGAAGATGATAACGTATTACACTGGGGAGTGGGGAGGTTTTCAACCAGTCGTGGTGTGGCGTATGGTTTGATTTCGCGGGACGCGACATACATCGCGGTCGGGCGGTTTGGGATGGGTTGTGAGGTCAAGTGGGGTAGAAGAAGATGACACGGAGAAACAGTAGCAGAGGTGCAGCGAGTTCATTTGACGCATGGAAAGGAGCCACGTGTAGCGAGTGAGAGCGACAGTGAGTGGATCGATGTGTGTGGAGCAGAGCTGAAGGAGCTGCAATGCCGCTTCCAGGGACGTTGCAACCACCGACCATGAGTCAAAGGGGTATTTTTTCAGCAGAACAAAAAAGAAGAACACTTACGCACACAGGCGCTGCGAAGCTTCAGAACTAATTACTGCCTCAAAAGGAGACAGAAAGACCGTCTTTCTTATGTCCTTCTGACGTCGGAAAAACAGGAAAAACAAAAGAGAGGAAAAAAGGTATCAGTCACGCACCTTGCCTTGTGAGAAAAAATCCTGTATTAAGACAAACACAAGAGGGGGAAAAAACATTATCATTAGCTACGCAACAAAATAAAACGCAAGTTGTCGCCGCCGCGACGCATCAGTGCAACCGTCGCTGTTTACGATGAAGCCCAGAGAAAACAAAAACACCTTCTTTTCAAGCGACTGCTCCCGTCATCCGGGAGTGACTATCGCAGCAAATTTCACCTTTCTCTTTCTTCGTTTGCCTTTTCCGTCGCACGCAACACTCCTCATTAGAACAACAATAAACCACCTCGTTCTTTCCCTTGGCTTCTTTTAGCTCGTCTTCTTGGCCACCGTTTCGCCTGCTGCGGGGACTGCCGCGGCGAGGTACGGGCCGCTGCGTGGCCGCTCCTGCGATGGAGTCGCCGCCTCCGCCTCGTTCTGGTCATCCGCCCGCGTCTCCTTCCCAAGCGGACCCTCGACCGCCGCCGCCGCCTCGTCCTGCGCTTCCACAACGACGACGTCCTGCGCCGCCCCGCGACTCGCCTCCGCCGGCCACTCCTCCCTCCATGTGTTCGAGCCCGGCCACGGTAGCCAACGAATGCAGAGCTGCAGCTGCCACGGCGCACCCGTCTCGCTGTGGTCGATAATCTTGTACGTCGCGATCATGCAGTAGGCGGCGACCAAAATGTCATCGGTGTAATGCGACCGCGAGGCCAGAATGCAGTAGAAGCTCGCCGGCAGCAACACGCCCACCCACACACGCAGCGCCCACGGGTGCAGAAAGGGGCTGTACTCCCACACCAGCATGAAGGTGACGCAGAGAATCATGGTGTGGCCGCTGAACATGAGGTCGCCGCAGTGGATGGCGCCACTGCCCAGCGTCACCAGCGTTAGAATGATGTTGAGCAGCGGATGCTCGATCGGCACGGGACGCTGGCAGTGGTTGTCGGTGGCCGGGTAGGCGGTCGCCATGATGACAAACGCGCGGAAGAACATGACGACCGCGTACGACGTCAGGAAGCGGATGGCCATGATCTTGTAAACCCCCCGCAGCGGGTGCGGACGCCGGCCCGAGTCGACCACGCCAAAGACGACGCGGTTTACGAAGCGTCCGACTTTGGGGATGCGCTCAAGAAAGGTGAAGCCGGGGAGGCCGTGCACGTGGCGCTCCAGCAAAAACAGCTTGAAGGCCACAAGCACGGTGGTGACGTTCAGCAAGCCAATAATGATGTCTGTCACAGGCTCCAACGCCCGCCACAGCGGAATCCACTCTAACAAAAAGTCTGGCAGCGGGCGCACCTCCTTTGGGTCCGGCATCCGCGCATTGGTCACGACGATGCCGGCGCCGAGAATCAACACCGTGATGAGGAGAAAAGGAATGAAGCGCAGCAGCTGCGTCCAGAGCGGGAGGGGTTGCTTGTACCAAGGAAGCGGGTGCTCCTCGTCCGCCTCGTGCAGCGCTGGCATCTCGACCACGGTGGTTTGGCTCGCTATTCTTCGTGAATACAGGAGATGGGAGTTGTGCCACGAGAGAAGCGGTTCGGAGGCGGAGGCGGAGGTCGGGGAGCTCGAGACCGATGGCGAGAGGCTGAGCTCTCGCCGCCTAACGGCCGCCACTTTCGTCGATGGAAGCTGCAGAAGAGGGAGAACCAGATCAAGACGCCACAGCTTTCCCCGATACTGAAAAGCTGAGGTGCTCACGCACGCAGACACCCTCAAAACGCACACACGGAAGAGAGAAAGGTGCTCGCTGAGTCAAAACAGAAGTGTACGCCGCTCCGCAACCCACGACCACAGTTGTGTACTCTTCTGTAAAAGAAAGAAAAAGTATTTGTAAACAACTAGGGAGAATTGTATTATTATTATTGGTACACAAGTACCCGTCAATTGTCACGCAACAGACAAACACACGCAAGGAGAGTTGAGGAGCAGGTGCAGTAAAAAGGAGAGGAGACTCGCAATGACGCAGAAAACGCCCTATTACGCACGGTGCGATAAAACTGCGAAACGGCGTGAGAGATTGTTGTGTGGCTGTGGTTGATATATATATAGTAGGTGTACGAGACAGCAGCTTTGATTGTAGTCCTTCTCCTCCTAAAGAAGGCAACCACACAATTTTACTTTCCAAATAAATAAGGACGAGAGAATATGAACGCTTTGCGCGCTCAAGGGAAAAAAACCCACAGAAAAATGAGTTTCTAAGTTGCAGTTTGCTTCCCATCCACATTAAAAAAAAGGGCGTGCAGCGGATAGTCTTGATTCACGCCTTCTTCGTTTGCACTTCAACAGTACGAAAAGGGCAAAGAAAAACAATGCGAATGCCTGAAGGGAAAGGCTTCAACAAGCAGCAGCGATGACGATGATTTGTGCTCTTCATCAGTGCGAAAACAGAGAAACAGTCGGAGACGGTGAGATAGAATATATATATATTTTGTTAAGCGAACGTTGATGGGCATGCAAGTGGCTGCATAGCGTGGCGCTGGTACGCACCTGACGCGAGTTTAGTGCGTAATGAACGGCGTAGCATTCTCTCTCCGTTCGTGTGAGGCATCAAGTGTGCGCTGCCTCAGCGTGGCAGGAGCTCACCACCTTTGTACACTTTCAAGTCGACGGCATTACATCGTAGTCGTCCGCATGCCCTCTCCCTGCTAGAGTGCGACTTGATCGTGCTTTCCATATCTGTTTAGTTTGGTAGTTTGGTTTGTACTGAAGAGAAGTGTCCACGCCAGACACAGATAAGGTTCGGTAACGGCAATAGAAAGCGAGGGAGGTGCAGCGAAGACGAGAATCGCGCCCACATACACAACAACAACAAAAAAGAAACACGAATGAATCGGGATGCCGTCAGTTGGCGACGGGTCACCCCTGCACACACCAATAACAAGGGATGCTCACGAGGCCACGAAAACCATAGCAACCGCATTCAGAAGAGCAACACTAAAAATGAGTGGAACCTTGACAGCAGCTGTTTTTGAAAAAGTATGTATCTACTACGCAGTCAGATGTGCTTTTGCTCTCCCATACATACGATAAAGGAGGCAGAGAGAAACAGAAGATGACGCAGACACCGACAGCTGTCACGTTACACGCGTTTTCGGACTTCCTCTCGGCCTTGCCGCGCCGTCTTTTTCAGAGATTTGGCGGCGCCTTTTCGCTCCCTCGCTGGATTCCTCTTCTGTGTCGTTGCAGGCGGCTCCGTCACCGCATTCGTGCTGGTCGGGGGTGCGGTCGGCGCAGGAGGCGGCTTCGGCGTCCCATCTTCCTCAGGAGACTTCGTCGGCGCCGCAGTGGTGGTCGTCGTGGTCGTCGTGGTGGTGGTCGTCGTGGTGGTGGTCGTGTTTGCATTCCTCGCCTCACGAGAGTACTGAATCTCCCGCTGAATAGAAATGGTGGAAGCGATGAGAAGGCAAATGAGCACCGCGGCGACGGGGATGATGTGACCGTAACGCAGCAGCACCGCGTTGGCCTTCAGGCGAGTTCGTTGGTAGGCGGCAGCAAACGCCGGCTGCACGTTGAAGGCAGACGACTCATCGTTCTGTGGCATCATTTTTTCTTCCTTTTCAGAAAACGACTTCCTCTTCTTGCGTGAAAAAATAATTCAAACCCTTCCAGTTTGTCTTCGTGCGTTACTGACAATGTGCACGTGGACAAAGAAAAAAGAAAAGAAGGTGCGAGGGTGAAGGAATGAGAAGAAATACGACGACGCGGAAGCGCCTCGAAGTGTCACTATGGACTCTACAAGGACCGGAGAAAGGAGGGGGGAAAAAGAGGTAAGTGTTCCACTGATTTCAAACGTGAAAAGCCAAAGGAGCTTTCGTGCGGTTCTCCCGTTGGCGGAAACGCAAAAAAGAAAGATTGCTGTGTGTTTCATGTAAGCGACATTTATAAACACCCGTAAGGCAATCCGTGTGATGCTGGCAAGCGCGATTTACTCCGCCCCGCGCCAATGAGAAAAAAGGAGAACGGTAAATCGGCACATCCTTCTGAACAAACATAATCAAAACACCAAACGAAAGTAGCTTCAAACTACATCTTCAGCTTCTGTGCGCTCCGTCTTGCGCAACTCCGAGCACCGCAGCCGCTTGTTCATCACATCTACTAGCACCAGCGCTGTCTCCGCAGCTCGGCCAGACACGCTCGCGTTCAGCTGTCCAAACGCACGGCACCACTGGTCCGGCTGTACCTTGCGAGCGAGCGGGTAGGGTCCGGTACTTGGCGCTCCAAGCAGCGGCACCCACCGAGTGTGAATAGAAACGTCGTTGATGGCGCGCAGGAAGAAGAGCGTGGCAGCCGTCACTTCCTCCGGTGCGACCACGTCAGAGTCACACGACGTCGACCCGTCAGCCGCCGTCTTCTTCAGCCTCGCTGTGTATTCCGCGTAGAGCCGCACCACTTCGTCCGGCGTGCAGACCCGTGCCAGCCGCTTCGCGTTTGCCTTATTGTTGACGGCCAGCACGCAGAGGGCACGGATGCTGACATCAAATGGGATGACGTTGTGCAGCATCTTGTCGTAGAGAGCGTGGCACAAAGTATCAGAGTCGAAGTCCGCGTCGTTGCGCATGACAAGCGGGGAGGCGGAGGAGGCGCCAGCGGAAGTCGATCTCCCAGCAGCCTCAGCCGCAACGGACGGGGTCATCTCCGTGTCCTTCGCCTTCGCAAAACTGTTTACATTTAGGTTTGCCCACGAGTGGAAGATGTCGGCGATGTAAAAGTACGGAACTTCTTCCGACGCGTGCTCCTCGAGGAACGCGATCTGCTCCGGCACCGCACACTGCCGTAGCACCTCGTCGAAGGTCATTCGGTCAGACACCGCCGCCTCCGTGTAGCCCTTTTCCATCAGCTCAATCATCGACTTGAGCGTTTCCTCGGGGTAGCCGTACTTGTCCACGAGGGAGGCGGGTAGCAGGCGCTGCGTGTACATCTGCAGCTTCAGGTTGTGCACGTTCAGCCAGCGCTGCGTCACGTCACCGAGAAGTTGGTAGTGCTCCACGGCCGTGAAGGCACCCCAGCCGATGCCGAAGCCAATGAAAGGCACGCCCACGTTTTTCAAGAGACGCTTCGCTGCATTACTCATTTGGTATTTTTCAGTTCTTTGCGTGGGTGCTGATGGGTGTGTCTGTGATCACGATCTACCGTTTATGAGGGGATGGAAATGGAAGCAGAAACACAAGAGAGCGCGAGAAGTAAACACAGAATTAGAGTGGATCAAGAATAATCGGTTGCGGTATATCATGCTTGAGTGAAGAGGGAAAAAAAGATACTGAGCTTATACCGAACCACTTCATGTATGAGCCACGGAGTAGCCCAGCTCCATCACCATGCTGTTTGAAACTCAAACGAGAGGAAAACACAAGGGCTTGGACAATCTGCCTCTCGCAGCTAAAAAAAAAAGGGATCGCGCAAACCAATGCGCGCAACTTTCCCCTGCGCGTAAGCCGCAGTTGAAAACAAATACATTCTATTTATTTATTTACTTGAAAACTGGATTCAAGAATAGAGAGGTGTTACTTTAAAGCATGGATGAAAAATAGGATTTAATAAACGCCACGTAGTGCACCGCTAGACGTGGTCCTTCTTTTGACTCAGTGTTGCTCATCCTTCGCAGCCGACGAACTTCCCGTC